CCACGAACAACCACAGTGATGCCGGAGGCCATGTTGGTGTGGGCCGCGGGAGTTGGACGTGGGATTTGGTCGCCCGCGGCCGACTTTATCCATGTTGGTACTATATACTTCGTTAACATGTCTGTTATTTACCGTATTAGTGTAGTGAACGTCAACAACTACGCACTTCAAGCAAGCTTGTCGCGGCGGAAGCCGTGTCGGTGTGGGCTGCGGGAGTTGGCCGTTGGAGATGGTCGCCCCTGCCCAAGGCTGATGCATGTACATCGTTGGCTGCCCCACTCGACAATTTACGCCACGTGGGAGACCACGACTCTCTACATGACTAATTTTGGTACTATTTGCACTGTATGCACAGTGTATATGCTTGTATTTAACCATCAATAATCTTATGCAAATCTAGGATGTCGTGTGTGTACTTGGGGGCCGCGTCGGTAATGAGTCCCGTGTTGAGCAACTGGCGGTACCGGACGATTTTGTCGTTGAGGTCACCCGCGCGATGCAAAGATGCGCAAGTGCTTGAGAACTGCGCTTGAGCCTTTTGATTCCAGGCCGCGCCCCGCAAGGTAGCCCAATAAGTTGATTTCGGCTGACCTTCCGACGGCAATGACGTCATCGCGATAGGTTAGCGATGTGGCGTCTAATACGAAGCCATGCTCGAGGAACAGCTTCATGAACGCAACAAGAACTTTGAGTTTGACTTCTTCTGTTTCTCACCCCTTGATTCGGCGAGGCTGCAAAACGTACCATTCAAACCATGTCGCATTGAGGTGTGCGTTGTACTGGATTTCTTTCGTTGGGGGACATTCGGCGTTAGCTGATGTTCGTGGCTGCTAGTTAGCTAAGGTAGATCGGCTGTTGGCTTGGATGGCTACGGCTGACACGATGAGTTGAGGCGGGCTTCAAGTACGTCCATTCGAGCGTTTTGGATCCTTGCGTTCTCGATGTAATGTTCAATGACCCTGGCGTGGTGCTGAATACGTTTGTCTTGATCATGACTTGTAACACTTGCAGCCGTGTCATGTGTAGAGGCATGCGCCACAGTCAGTGCTCCCTGGACTTCAACAACGTGCGACGACCAAGCAAGCACGTCAACTAGCGTGCACCCAGCCTCGACATCGCACGTCTCCAAGCGCTTCAGTGCCGGTGTTTCGGGACCGATTTGCTTCAACATCGGGTAGTGTAGTATGATGTAAGCCATAAGGACACTCAGCACTGACATACTCACGTTGTACATTGCTGTACCGAGGCCATTGCAAGATGAGAAGACTCGCACCAGCACGGCGTCGATTTGCTCTTTCGTGCGGACATCAAACGTTGATAGGCTCGCAAGTTTGACGGTGTATGTTGGCGCCCAGCCGCTCAAGGCCTTTGCGACTTTATGATTTTCTTGCGACGTGTTAAACACATAGTTAAACCCCTTGATCGTAGCACTGACATTCCAAGCGCCGCGATCGAATATCCACCGAGAGGAAAGATGTTCAACTGCGTTCGCATGCTGCGCGCCGCCACGACGGAAGGAGTGGGAGGTAAGCTGCTTGTCTACACCAGCCAACTTGATGATGCGATCGAATAAACGGTTTACGTGGAGGTGATTCGTAGAGCTTGGCGCAGCCTTGGAGTCGATGGCGCTTGATTACACAGTGGCGCTAGGGTTGTCCAGAAGATCGATGAGCGGTGCGTCTAGACCGAGGGTCACAGGTGACATCTTTGCTTGTTGCTGTAGGTTGTCGACGAGGTCGGGGGATAGGGCGACATGAGACATTAGCGATAGACCGATGGCAAGGAGAGGGCAGGTTTGGAACTCGTTGTCGGGAAAGAGCGAAAGCCCCTGCTCTTCATTTGTCTTCATGCGGATAAACTTCATAAAGAAAACACCACCACCATCAAGTAATGTTTTGCTTCCGCACGTCGCAGAGATCGGAGGCACGCCCAAATAAGTACCACAATAGGTTGATCAGTGCCGCGTCTTGATAGTCGCTGCTTGTACGGGCTGTCGAGTACAAGTGCGTCATCATCTGCTTTAAATGGAGCTTAGTACATACAATTGCTTGATTCACAATGCCGCCGCCGTCTCACTTCACGCAATAGTTCTCCAACGTCTGGCCTAGCTTGAGAAGGCACGTTTCGATCAGAACTTTGCGCTGTGGGAATTAGTCGAGGAGCCAGTGCTTAACTTGCCTATACAGTAGTATTGCATACATGAATGTCTAGCTAGCTTCTTACCAGACTTGCCTTCATTAAATGCAAGCTACATACCAAATTTGTCCATGACAGACAGAAAGCTATGTCCTCTCGAATCGTTAGTGATACACGATTTCATGTAGTATAGTTCAACGCTTTCAGACAAAAGGAATCTTTCGAATGCCTTCACAGCAGTAGCTCAGGCTCGCTTAGAGTTTCCTGGCAAATAGATCATCTAACCCCATGCACTGGTCGGAGAATGCAGAAAAATGCAAATGGTATCGGTTATACTTGGTTTCATTATTCGAATATCCATATTTTCTTCTACCATCCGACCTTTCCTTTGAAATCTACCTCCTTCCTCGACTACCCTAACCCTAGACTTTATAATTGGCTGAAATAGAATCATCCTTTGCAATCACTGGCTAGCCCGAGTAGTGCGAACTCTCATTGGATGAAACCAATCATACTAGAATAAAGGTTGGTCGGAGTGATATTCATCCATAAACTTTATGGTGACGTGACAGTTTAAAGTGCACACTCAAATTGGCCTATGGAATTGCTTGAATTCATGAATAGCCAATCGAATGGCTAGAAATACGAAATCACCAAAACATAAGCAAAACCCGCATACATATTTTAAGCTTACACTGTGCACCATAAATCGTCCCTCGAATTTTCCTGTGAGTGGAAATCGAAGTATGTAAATGAACACTATCATTAAGATGAAGCGATTCAAGGCGATTAGAATCGGAAGAATGCCCAACCTTTCGGCTTCACGCAGCACTTTTCATAATTGAAATCCCGGTCCTGACAGTCAAATAAGGTCTCTTCAAGAAGTGCACCATAAATTGGCCATTTACGTTATCGAATGCATGGTGACATGGTGACGAAGAAGATTTCATAGGGATTAGATCTCAGTAGATCCTCAGTTAATTCATTGTGCATTTTGCCCTCAACTACCTACGCTTCCTCCCGCAATGCTACAAGTGGTAGCACTTCCTAGTTCTCTTGCCCCAAGCCCCATTAACCCGCCGTATGTAGCCAGTCTTCTTAGACGGTTGTGTGGTCGTTGGCAGCGACAACAGATCACCAACGGTTTGAAAACGTGGTCCTTGCTACCCGTTGCCTGGTGATAGTCTCAGCAACAAAATCCATACACGATCTGAGTGATTTGCTAGTGTATGTGACCCGCAAGCCCCAACTCGCGGCCACGAACGACATCGGCGAATTATTCGATTATCCGGATTTTCCGGTTAAGTTACGCGAAGACCTTTGCCTGCTGACCCGTCACCAACGCGTGGTTATCAACAATTTGCGTGCCCAGATCCCCGAAGCCAAGAACTCCGAGCGCGCAAGGCTATCCAGGAGATCGTTTTGATCCATCAGAACCACCAAATCGAGCTACTGATTGAAGGATCCCTCGACCGGAAGATCCAAGTGTACCACAAGGCCAGCAAGATCAAGGCTGAAGCAAGAGTAGATCTAAGTTCGAAGTAGAGTAATCCAATTTCACCGGAATTACAAACAAAAAAATCGACGATGGATGGAGTTTTGCGCAAAATGGCAAAATCCTTTCAGCGACATGAACAGCTGTTGGAAATGCTTACCCGCACCCAAGCCGCCCGAGTGGAAGCGAGCGAGCGTATGGCCAGACACATGGAACGAGCGAAACGACAACCAGAGCTTAAAGTTGAATGAAATGACCAAGTATTATGGACGAAAGTATTACTCTATACATCCACCAAGTTACGACATTTCTCAAGGCAAAGTACGTGGATTACCAAGAAAACGATGGGACTCAACACCGATGCATTGCCATGATGGTGGCAAATTTCCGTGGTCTTGCCGCAGCCTTGTACGAAGTACGGCTTTCGCGCGGTGAGTCTCCAAGCACCCTCATTGAACTGGAAAAGAGCTGCGAGCCGAGTTTGAACCCAACGATTTACAAGATCGGCTGCATGATCAGCTATACGAATTGAAGCAAGCCCAGTGTGCGAGTTTGACCGCGTATGTTGCCAAAGTTCCGACGAATCTGTACGCAAGTGTGCGACATGACCGAACGCGACAAGGTGTCCTGGTTCCAATGCGGTCTGCCAACCAGAACCCGTGAGAAGTTGCAGTATCGTCGTTGTGAGACTGTGACTGCCGCGATCCAAGTTGCCCTGGATTATGAGCACTCCTACAACTCGACCCTTAACGATGGTCACGCCAGAGACCGCGACCGCTTTCATCGCCACGATCGCCACCCGCATCGAGGATTTCAAGATCGCCGCCATCAGTTCAACAACCGATACCAAGGAAGCCCAATCACAGCGCAACAACATCTCAAGACATGCCGACCGGCCTCAGCGACCCCAGCGCAATACACCAAGTCGTCAGCACAATGTCCAAGTAACCGAAGTCAACAGCGACACAGACGACAGCGAAGATGACGTGGAAGAAGTGATCCTAGGCAACAACATGGACCTAGCCCAGCAAGACTCCGGGGGGGAGGAGTCACTTGATATCAATACCGCCCAGAAAGCAAGCAAGGTGCCAGCGCGTGAAAACATGTTGATGATAATTCACGGCGTACTCGACAGCACAAGCGTTCGCATCCTGATCGACTCTGGTACCTCGAACTTGCTTGACCGCCCAGGTTTGGCCAAGACAGTGATCCGTTCCAAGGAAGTTCAAGCGGCAGGCTTCTATAGACACTGCTCTGGCATCAAGAAAGGTGAAACCTTCAAGTGGAAGGAATGACTCTGCTTGCTGCGAAGCCAAGACCAAGTTTGGAGGCTATGTGTCCCCAACGATGACGTGCTACGCGCCGAGATTTTATCTCACGCACACGATCCAAACACTGCAACGCACCCTGGAACTCGACGTACAATGTTAAGTGTAGCGCAGTGGTACTACTGGAACACTCTTGCCGAAGACGTGAAATTATACGTCGCGACTTGTTAAACATGCAGTCGATACAAGACGAGCAGTCTGCGTGGAAATGGCAAGATGATTCCCATTTCCGCGCCGGAAGAGTGTTGGCAAACTGTCTCAGCGGATTGGATCACCAATTTGCCCGTGTCAAAAGGCTATGATGCCATTTTGGTCGTGGTAGACAAGCGGTCAAAGTACGTCCCGACGAGATCAGATGTCGACGCACCCCAAACGGCGAAGGAATTTTTCGAACATGTTCTTCGCCACCATCGAGTACCAGCAATAATCACCAGCGGCCGTGACTCCAAGTTTACAAGCATGTGTTGGAAGTCCGTCATGGAGATTATGGGTATCTGCCAAGCCATGAGCACCGCCGGCAGAGCTCAAGCCGATGGAGCGACTGAGCGCCAGAATCGAACTCTCGAAGATGCGCTCAGATATCAAGTGTCGTATCTAAGACAAGACTGGGTCGACCAGTTGCCAACGATCGAGTATGCCCACCAAGGATTGGTCCAAGCATCAACCGGCTTGATGCCGTTCGAACTCGACACAGGCCGCAAGTTGCGCAACCCTGCCGTGAGCGGCTCCTTGCCCAAGAATGACTTTGCTAAGAATTTTGCGGAACATCGAAAGGAAGTCACTCGGATGGCTCACGAGAATTTGACGAAGGCCCAGCAACGTCAGATGGAGTATTATGACAAGCGCCGCTCGAACGTAACCTTCAAGGAAAACGATCAAGTGCTGCTAGCGACTCGCAACCTGCCTCTACAGCATGCCCAGATGCTCGACAAGTCCGAGCGTCCGAAGCTGGCTCCACGATTCATCGGTTCCTTTGAGATCGTCCATCAATGACAACGCCATGCGCCTCATGTTGCCTCGCTCGATGTCACGTTTGTATGACGTGTGCAACGTTGATCGACTTAAGCACTACCAGTCCAATGAAGTCAAGTTTTCCTCCCGGCCTATCCCGAAACCTACCTTTTTTGCTTGTGGTTTATCTAATTATGCTTACTAAATGACTTGTTGTTGTATAACACCTATCCTTCTCAACCACACCCGCATCCATTGCATACAAAAGTGGCATGGAGAGCCCGAAAGCGAAGCCACGTGGGTACTGATGACGGACATCAAGCATGTTCTGCACTTCAAGCACCTCGTCCAAGACTTGGAGTCGAGGCGTTTCAAGGTGTAGCAAGGCGTCAGGGGGAGAATGTAGCGATGTCACAGGTGGGGATGACGCCTTGCCACCACCTTGCCCGCACCCAGCTCATAGGTGCCTGGCCCATGACGCACCCTAGCTAATGCTTGCCTGGGATGTGGCTCAAGGGCATGCATGGCTTAGAATTGCTAGCCTAGTGAAGTCCCCCAAGGTCTCAACCGCACCCGCATCCATTGTATACAAAAATTAGCGTAGAAAGACGAAGAAGATTTCATAGCGATGAGGCCTAAGGGGATCTCAGTAGATCCTCAGTTAATCCATTTTGCATTTTGCCCTCAACTACCTACACTTCCTCCCGCAGTGCTACACAATGCCTCCAGTGATGTGCGCGCAAATCCCCGCCTTCCGACGCGACGTGGTTGACCACAGTGATGTACGCTGTGTAACCGTACTCATGAGTCCCAAAATATCAAAGTTCACGGCTACTGGAAGTGACGACGGCATGGCTTGAATGTCTTGGAATGGTGCTGTCAATGCGGTCTGAACACGTCGTCGGGTGTTGGTTCGGCCCGAGGTATATGTGTCGTGGGCTAGACGGAAAGTAGCCAAGGTCATGACGGCTGTGGTCAAGATGAGAATGCTCCCAAAGGTCGCGAGGGATTGGGCTAGGCTACCGACACCGTCAGCTGTCCTCCATGACCGAATGATCACGTTCGCAGCCATCATGGTCATATTGAGGGAAATGTCTTTCGACACATAGGACGGACGAGTCACCGACTGTTGTAGCATTAACAGTAGTAGTATTAACTGTAAAACATGAACAAGACCCCCAACAGAATCGGCACAATCGCGCCGCCGACGAGGTGCAAACAGACGACGGCAGGACGATCTCTAGCAGCGGGTCAACTACTGTGCCAACCGCGCCATCATGATGGCAAGGCACGGGGTTGTAAGAAGGACCATGAATGGAATCGAGCAGCCCTTCGATGTGAAGGACTCTGTGGGTGACTGCGCGACTAAGAATGTAGACATGTCATCCACATGGCGTTGGAGTGAGATGCGGTCGTCGTTTTGTTCTCTCCTTGGAATATGACCGTGGCCCTTGCTTGATATCATGACGTAGGATCGGCTGTGGTTGATCATTCAAGGATCGTTGGAGTGGCTGTAATGCTATTGTCCGAAAATGTCGGGTGTTTTGCCTTATATCGGGTTGAAATTATCCTATTCCCTTCATTCGGACACAATCGCCCACTCACATTCTCAACTTGAACTTGACAATCTGCTAACGTTAACCCCAGCTAACAACACTTGCGGTGTAAGCAAGTGATTATTTATCGTTAATAGTCCCTTTAAATTGGCTCCATCGACGGCCTAGCCATCCATCCACGTGTACGTAAAGACAATCGGAATGCACCATACGGCACTATATATATATTTACCTTGACGTTGAAGGAAACAGTCCCCGCCTTGATGCGGACGGCGACTTCTCCATGGTGCGTCTGTACATATATTTCAGTACAAAAAACTCCATTCGCGGTGCAATGTGTCGTACGCTGCGGGCGAGTCGGTCGGTTGTTTCGGAGGGCTGGCTCTGCATAAACACAAGTACACGTAAACCTTCCACTTTCAATAAGCAGGAAAAGCTCGACGACGACGCACTTTAGGGGGGAGGTGGCCACGGACGCGGTTGTTCCAAGCATACGTCGCGATGGGGTGCTAGTAGGGGACATCTGTGGGTACACGAAAACGAGGGAGGGTTTGGGACAAACCTTTGGCCCAAAAAGGACGCCCCAGAGGGGGGTGTCGCGAGTAGTTGTTCTAGCCCGGCGGCGCCGCTATTGAATGAAAGAGGCGGAAATGTGTCCATTGGGGCGGTCGTGGAACTACAATGTTGTTTAGCTATAACAAAGTCCATAAGAGACATACGGAATGATGCGCGCCAAGTGTTTGGACGTGCGCTGTTTCACGGGAGAGGAAGTCGCCAGCCCCGTGGGGGGATCGAGGGGCTTCGGGGGGCTCACTCTGCTTGTACTAGTCGAATGTCAGCTCGATGAAAAAGTGCAATGGCTCGAATTCAATTGCATCGTACTTAAAGCACGCATTGGAGGTAGCCCTAGAATCCCACAAGAGTCAGAACTTCGTCCGTGACACTATATATATATATATATATATATTGAAGAGTACGTTTGATGGAGGGGGGTTAGCCGAGGGGGGCTGCTACGCTGGGACATGGAGCCATCCACAGACGACCTTGCCGACACTTCTTCCGGTTCTGGTCGTGGTGTATCTCTGTCTCAGAAATGATATATACATAATAAATCCATTACACTCCGGTAATGATGCATATATAAATACCGCATTATCACGGCGTGCGAGAGCGACCTGCGTTTACACATATTCCCCGTCAACCATGACGACCACACAACCTAAAACATCCATTCGCAGTACGTACAAGTTTAACGACTCAAAATGCGGTCGCGGCGGGCTACGTTGGATACCATACAAACAATTAATATATGTGCTGACGATACCAATTGCACGCTAGTGCTGCTGCGTTGCAATGCGATTGTACCTGATTTGAATCTCCATGTCCGTGCGAGAGGTGGCGGGCCTGACACAAAACAGCAACTTCAATTTGATGTCGAATGAACTTTGTTTACGTCAACGTGGGTGGGGCCGAGTCGCGGTCGTTGGGTGTTTGGTCCGTGGTCACGCAGAGGTCCACAAGTTCGAACGGCTCCACCATGGCTAGCCGGGGAATGCTACTTCCTCGCCATTTAAAAATGACCAAATTAAACCAGCAAACGAAACTCGTACCTTTTGGCCGGTTTCGGGGGCGATGGCGGCTCCTGAACAGGCGGCGTTGTCCTATTGAATATATGTGTCAGCTCAACATGGCATTCGAACAAGAAAGCCCTCACCGGATGCCCAATGTGCTGCCCCGCAGCGACCCCCGCCGCAGCGCGATGTTCGGAACATGTTCCCTACAAACCACACGTCCATACTACTTCTATACATGGGACAAACGACACACATTTCGTCGGCGGTGACGTGGCGCACGGGATGGACCACGGGCATGACGGCGGCCGCGCGTTCGTCCACAACTGGCACAGATCTACATCGATTGGACGATCGATTACTCTTCTGGGCGGAGACTTTTTATATAGATCAATGTATGCACACAGAGAGATATCTATCGTACAAGGGGTGCTTGGAGCTTGGCCGCCTCGTCAAGCTCGGTCTGTCTGGAGACCCGGCGCCACTGTCCGGCGACGTCGTGTCCCTGCGAAACATACCGAGATCGTCATGTCGTTCTGTCGTCAATTCGCGTACCGAATGACCCGAGAGCCCGCGCGACGCATGACTGGGTGCAGCGACTTCTCACTGTCATAGGACACCAAGTATGGTGAGATTATTCAAGTATGGTGAGATTATTCGTTGCCTAGGGCTGACACAGTACATGGTGTTGGCGGTTTCCGTTTGAACTTGCCGTCGACTGGGCGACCGTTCCAAGCCCCCTCTACAAGTGTATGTGCGAAACATGGTGAGATGTTTAGCTGAAAACGAATGTACGGTCGAGGGGTGCGGGCGTGTTGGAGGTCGGGGGGTAGAACCATGGTGTCATTGCCTAATAGTCCTGGCAACACCAACGCATCCAATTCCTCGTTTCTGGATAAGGGGACATGCATGGCTGTTAGATGAAGACGAGAACGAGGAGAGGGCGTAGTACCCGCCATTGGTTTCTTGAGTGAGCAACTCCCTTCGAATGCGCTCGGACGACGCCCGTCGATGTTCACGGTGATGGGGCGACAGTTTGTTTGCATTGGCAGATGACGGCGGCGTCAGTTGCGCCGGCTCCAACTCGTCCGACACTGGCAACACGGTTTGGCTACAAACCCCCTGAAATATACACGACAGGCGAGAAAACGATGGTGTCGTACAGTAAGATCGGCGAGATGGCCGAGCCGCTACGTGTATTAAGTCAAGATATACTGTGAGGGGGGACTAGTGTACCTGCCAACGCTGTCAGACCGGGGGCGCCGCCGACGGGGCGATGGTGTTTTCTCAACTTGCGGCAGCTCCCCCGTCTTCGCACAGGGGGGGGTCTTCCTGGACGTTTTGGGGGAGACTGCAATGGATGTCGATGTGGTGGTTGTCAACTCCAGTTGAAGCGGCAAGTGAGAAATCAACACGTCAGTCTACGGCCATGTTCGAAATGAATCAACATATATATATATGCACATTCAGCAGGAAGCGCATGTGTATGTACCAGGGTAGCTATGTCCTTAGTGGTCCATTCGCGGCCCAAATTCGACTAGAGGGTAAGCATTTACGTCAACGCCTCTGTCTAGCGGTCTACGATACGTAAACGAATACCTTTGTTCCTCGAACATGTTCTCGTACAAACAGCTCGACGTGGCGCGCCTGCATCATATTACGATTGACACCATCGCGAAATCCCAGTGTCATACCGTCACGAGCACAAGAAGCGACTTGTTGCCAATGGTGTCTGCTGTTGCCGCAGTGTTGGCTCGTTTCTATAGCTCCGATTCAACAAGACATTCTGCTAAGCGTTGGTTGTTGACATCCTTCCTACCCTGGTGAGGCGGTCCAGATGTCGTGACAAGTCGGCGATTTCCAGGTCGAGGGTTGTTGTCTTGGACGTCAACGCAGCGGTGCGCTGCTTCGCAGTGGCCACGTCGGCGGCGGATACTTGGTCTTTCGTGGCCGCCTATTCATATTTCAATGACTTTGACGTTGCGAGGTTATTTTTGACGCACGGGAGTCCCGTGGGAATCGAGTTGGGCCAGCGCCGCAGTGGTTGCATCGACGCCGGCCTGAAGCGTGGCGGACGTGATCGTCGCAGCGGTCAACTGCCTCTGCAGTTCCACAACCAACCCGCGCAGCTGAGCATTGAGCAGCGTCGTAGAAATACTGGTCAAGGAGTTACAGTGACGTGGGGAAGAAGATGGGACAACAACCACACATGTGAAAAAGGATATCTTTGAGCCAACAACGCATTCTCTGCTTGCCCGTCGGGGCTGCCCAGCGGGCGCAATCTACAACCACGAGGTTGAGTGAGGGGCGGAGAGAAGGGCGGGGCGTACGTTTGGGCCTTCTTGCATCCATCTAGTGCCGCAACCGGTCGCAGCATGAAGCGGCGGTGTCGATGGGATGATGCAACAATTCGAACTATTCCCGTCACCGAAACTGCCGACCCGACGTCTCATCAAAATAGCACGGGGCAGCGTAGATACTAATACATAATTCCATGATCACGTAAGCAACAATTCCACTATTGCTTACGTAACCATTGCACTTGGTCGTATTCTGTCGAGTACCTGGTAGTCAAATGCTGTGTAAACCAAAACTAAGCGCATTTCAGCTGAGGTGCAACGTAACCCCGGAAATAGCAACACTAAGGCTCCGGGGATTCCGAGATTACAGGGGTACTGGTTCTGCTGAAGGGAAAACATGATTAAGTAAGCAACAGTCGAACTGTTGCTTTCTGGGAATTATTCATCGCAACAACGGGTTGCGAGCGAAACGGTCACGGTTTCGAGTGTAACGGTCATGGTCAACCGTTACATATGGGCAGCGAAGACACTCACGAATTTGGGTTCACCATACGTTGGATGCTCCATTGTAATATTAACTAATCGCTCGTCGTATGCATGTGTAGTGTATGTACCAAATGGAGTCTGTTTCCGACTGCTGATTACAAGCACTCCGTTATTTCGGAAGTGAACCGTTAGTTACTTTGCCACGACAGCCTGCGGGCGTTGGATGAGCTCTTCTTGGTCGATGATCCTCGATAGAGTGTCTCGAGCTTGATCATGGCCGTATGTCCACTCAAAAGAATTGGAATCGCGGTAATCTGCTGATGCTCCTGCGAGGACTTGATGCTTCTGGCGACACCTTTCATTAAAACCACCACGCGTGTTGCTGCCTCTCGAAGTAATTGAAGTCGAAGCCGACGCCTGTCGCGTCAGAGCACGACGCGTTGTCCTAGCCAAGGGGTCCGAGACCGGTGTGGTGGGTTGGAGTTTTCTATTGTCGCCCAGGAAGTGATGGGTCGGTGACTCGGGAAGGATCCATGTAAGTGTGCTTCAATCACGGACGTAAGAGTGGTGGCGTTCTCGATGGCGGTGGGTGTACAAGTGGTTACTCCAAGTAACCTACGAGGAGTCCGTGATGGAATGGCCGATTCCCGAGTGGAAACTTGGCCCTCGAGTTCGATGTCGTCAACGTCGAGGGAATCAAGTCGCTGCATCTTTGAATCGCGTTCTGGATGTCGGCGCTCCGAAGGGGGTTGTGCTTTTGGCGCGCCCCCAGTCGGATGACGACTGCTCGACGAAGATGCCAGTGAAGAACGAGGGGCTACTACATGCTTGCGAAATGTTGGCACCAGGTCGTGGGCGGACAGAAACATCATCGCCGTCGAAATCTCCCGAGCCAACGTCGTCGAGTCGCATTGAAAGCGGCGCTGGATCAGCCACCCATCCGCGCTAGGCTACAGATGCAACCATCAACACGTCGCGATTTTCATTATCGATACGTACGAGGGTCTTTAGTCGCAATGGAATGTGGGCCACGAGAAGGCGACGCTACAAAGCCGTCCTACAGCTATACTCGTACGGAACGACCAACCAAAAAACTCACGAACTACTGCATCAATCGCATCGGGGGCAATCGCTGCTGGACTTCGTATATCTGTCTTATCAAGTTGTTGGTTGAGCGCTTGGCAACGGCGCTGCACCACGACATCGACGTCGGCTATCTGTAGTTACACGGAAAATCCTTCATCCTGTTGATTTGTTTTTCGTTTACGTACAGTGGCGCAAGTACAGTATTTCAGCTCAAAACTGCGGCTATCTTGCACCACTTGTTGCATAGCGCGGTCGTGCGCCTAGAACCAAGACAACCAACGACGGGCGAGGACGTTGTCACAGAAAGTTCACCGTTTGCATGGCAGCCAAGATCGCGGCGAGGTGGTGGTTGGTCTTTTTCAGGGCGTCCACATCGGCATGGAGTTGGATCCGTTGCGAGGCCAGACTGGAACGACGTCGCAATTCCACCTCTAGGCCCTACATCCATCGTCCATGTGATGCTTGATGTTGGAGCACGACGTATAAATTAAGTACTCGAAGTTGCGACTCGTCTCGCTGCAGTTGGACAATGTCGGCTTCGATCAGGTTGGCCACGGCAAGTTCCGTTGCATCTTCACTGCTTTGAATGCTATGCGCCGCACCATCTCCGTTTTACCAGCGATCTCTCGCCGCAACCGGCTAGAAACTTCATCCACCAAGTCCATTTGACGCTGCCTCCATGAGGCTGTCGACCTCAAGTGTGCATTTGTCGCGGACGTACAGTGGCAGTTAAGGTTTACACTCAAGAACGTTAGGTCGACATGTATGTGCACACGTGGTAGGCAAGGAAGGATATGTCTTGGCGACGGCTTGGTATTGCTTGGCTACCACAGCTTTGATCGACTTGGTACGTGGCAGAAGCACCGGCGCGCGGCGCTCACCCATCGCCTGCAACTTCCACCACGTTAGCCGTTTCAGTTATTGAAACGCTCCGATGCCAAATACCCCACCACCACAAGCTGGCACAATAATACATCACCATTATTATTAAAATCATACAAGTTACTCCGGAGTATTAATAGTAGTACAGTGTAATACCGTATAGTGTATATGTATTGCGACGGATTAATCTATTGTGACTCCTGTAAGAACTGATAATTCTCTTGTAATAACTGATACTATTAATAGTATTTACTTGTGACCATGTTGAATATACTTCAAATTTGTATGACGCAATGGATTACCAAAGTTTGAGACGAGTGTCGGCTGGTTGTGAAATATCACCTGTCGCAATACATATACACTATACGGTAAAGTTATCGCGATATGTAAAACGTCCGTATAAATTTCGGTTGACAAAATACAGTATGCAAGCGGGGGCGAGTGAGGTCACGGACGCAAACACCCTTGCGCTGGAGAAAGTCGTCGCGTTCGTCAAGAAGCAACGCCCACGAGCGCTGACAAAGGAGGAGCGACTGGACATCTTGATGCTGTACGCGCGCATGTCGCTCGACGGGGAGAAGGACGTGAGCAACCGCGTCGCCAAGCTCCTGGGCCGGAATCGTCAGATCGTGCAATCTGTGTGGCGAGACTTCCGCACGACCGAGAGCGTGCGCGTCCAACAGGTCGCGGCGAATCGAGTGAACCACGCGACCAAGTTTCCTCGCACGAAGGCGGTGGTGTCGCTAGTCGTACGTTTTGTCACGGAGCGTCAAGCCGCGGGAGTCACGTGCGCCGACGTGTTGACTTGTTTAGAAGCGTACAACGTCCTTCAAGTCGACCGAAGCGATCCCAAAGCAGTAAGTGCGTCCTTGCGCTCTATCTTGCGCTTCCTAAACACGCTTGACGGTATTGTGAAGGCGCCCGATGGCAAGTTCATCGTGTCAGTTGCGCCAAGCTCGTAGTGATATCATATTTGTACAAACCCTGTACCTACTACTATAATACCTCGGAAGTACGTAAATATTAACAGTAAGTTTTTTTAAATACTATTAATACTAGTACTACTGCGGAGTATTAATAGTACTACCGGTAGTAGTATAATCTTACTACCGGTACATTGATATTTATAATAATACCAACAGAGTATGTATGTTCCTGTAGTACGGACAGTATTCAGTTTTTAGGAACGAAGTCTATAAATAGAAAGTCCTGGTGAAACCGTCGCGGGTGTATTTTCTTTATCATTTTCATCCCAAAGCCGAAGATGAGCCGCCCGTCGCCGCGGGTCCTGGCTGCGACGCCGTCGTCCCCGATGAGCAAGAAGGAGGCGACGAACCCGTTGTGGAAGACGTGGGACGCCAAGAGCGTCAAGTCTGGCGCGCACCATTCCGTGTATTGGGTCAAGCAAGGCTCGACGTCCAATGAAGACAAGTTTGGTCATGTCGAAGTGGGCAAGTCGACATTTGTGCAGGCCGCCAAGTACACGGGGGACTGGCACGACGACGTCAAAAGTGGCTACGGCACTCAGTTGTGTGCCAGCGGCAACAAATACGAAGGCGAGTGGAAGGACGGGTGTCGTCACGGAAAAGGTACCTACTTACCTCTCCATGACAGTATGTAGCCGCGCACGGCACAGATCGGGTGTAGTAGCAGCATGAGTAGGCTGGTCTATAGAAGGCAGGCAGCTTGTACTTGTATCGTGTGTTATGATGGCTGCATGATACGTAGGCACGTTCTGGGTCAAACGAAATGGCAAACTGCGTAAACAATACACGGGGGATTGGTTGTTGGACAAGCGAGAGGTATGCACGTCGTTTGTCGTTCATATTTATACAGTCCAATCTGCAAAATACCAAAAGGCAATGTGATGCTGTGACAGAGTACTAGCTACCGTACTAGTACACTAGTATATCATTGTGATGTTGAGACACATTTCCTTTCATTGTGGACAGGGCCTGGGGGTATTTTACTACGAAGACGGCGGCAAGTTTGAAGGGTTTTGGGCGGGAAACGCGCGGCAGGGCAAAGGTCGCATGAATTACTCGGATGGGTCGGTCTACGAGGGCCACTGGATGGACAACGAGCGAAGTGGCATGGGCGTGTGGACCATGCGTACGTGATAACGTCACATGACGTGGTCAATATATCACTTTATGTAGCCAATGGCAACCGATACGAGGGGTACTGGTTGCACGACCAAAAGGAAGGGCCGGGGCGGTTCTACTACAAGTCCACGGGCAAAGTGTACGAAGCCGAGTGGCAAAACGACACGGCCAAATGTGGGGTACGAACGTAGAGTATGACGTGGCACGCTCTCCGTTCCTCCAACAAGTAGTACATCCAGAACGCTCATGTCAACCGTAGACGTACCACGACAGCGGCGATGCCGAGTGGGATCCCACCGCGATGACCGAAGCGTTTACGTTGCCCGAGGTTTGTCATGCCATCGTGTGTTCGTGTCGTTCGTTCGTTCATTCGATATATGATTTGAAACCGCGGACATCTTTGAATTAACCAAAAGTTGGTGGCTACATGAACTACTACTAGCTCGAGTTGGCCGCGCCCGAGAGTGTCCTGAACGACACGATTCTGCGACTCCGCGAAGCCCGGCTCAAAGACCAAGTGACGTCCAGCCAATCGCCGACGTCGGTGGTGTTTACGCTGTCGCAGGAGACCCAGCGCCGCGTGCATGACGAGTTCCACGCGATCGACTTTAACCGAAACGGGGTCATCCGGTGTGTGGACGTGGTGCAGATCCTGACGTTGCTGGTGGGAGAAGAAGAAGAGGAGAGTTCCGACCTCCACGTGCGTGTGGAGGCGCTGCTTGGGGAGTTGGGCGCGTCTTATGACACGGCCATCACGTTGCCAGAGTGCATGGATATTGTGGCACTGCTCATGGAGCCAGACGAGCCAAGTGAAACCAAACCCCGTCGTGGCCCCGATGATGGTCACAAAGGGTGACCATATGTTGTTAAATCGGTGACGACAATAATAACGTTAACGAAGTACAGTTACTATGGAATCATCGTGTGGACAGCCACGTGCAGCTTCTAGGACACCATCATCACCTTGGAGTGACGTGAACCCCATATTTCCAAAGCTAACGATAGACATAGATCAACGAGTCATGATGTGCAAAGGACATGGTCACACGTGAAAAGGCAGTGAATGAGCGTTCAAGCTAAAGCAGCTTCCTCGACGCATCGCAATACTGTATGACAAGTATGCACATGGGAAGCTTGTTGCGATCAACTGGTTAAGACGGACGTCACCTTAGCCATCGCACATGAGACCTCGTAATGGAAGGTGGCGGGTTCAACACGAGGTAGAGATGTGTTGTGGCGGGTTGGACTGTACTTGTGTGGTTAGTGTATATATCTAGGTGAAACGCAGCCCCAACGCGGCCACGACGGCGCGGAATTGCTGGAGGTTTTCTCGGCGGAGGTACTTGAGCAGGCTCTTGCGCTTGTTGATCATCGTCTGCAGCCCGCGTCGCGAGTGGTTGTCGTGCTTGTGGTCGCGGAAGTGCTCGGTCATGCGCTTGATCTTTTGTGTCAAGATCGCGATCTGGACCTCGGACGAGCCCGTGTCACCGGGGAATCGCTCAAACGCAGCGATGGCCTTCTGGATGGCAATCTTGTTCAACTCCGCCTGCGACGCGTTGTCCAAACTCAGCGTGCGGCGCACCTCCTCGGGCGCGTCCACAACTTGCGACGGCTTGAAGCCCAAGCGCAAGTCGCCTTCCGCAATACCTGCAGGGGCGACGTAGTTGAAAACGCGCTTCTTTTCACCGCCGACAGACGAGCTGAAGGATGCCGTTCGCAACGGCGCGGCAGTGCGGAGGTTCAGAGCGCCGACTCGGCTGGCCAACGAGCGCAACATGGCTTCAATAATGGTGGGGCCTGTCACCACTACTTTGAACCGGCCAATCCGCATCGTCCAACTATTGGATTTATATTTCACGGATCCCTTACAAATACATAGGCATTTTAAAACTAATGGAAAATTGGAGCACATAACATAATATTCGTAGAAATAATTCGAAATATGGCGGTTTTTGAAATAATTTAATCCCTACTTTATCCTTGCTCATATTACGTACGTCGACCACATACGTACTTTAGCCAATCAAGATCCCGCACTTAAAAGGGTTGTGCCGCGTGTCTGCTAAAATGTGGGGGCATTTCACCGTATTTCACGGCGGCCATGAGTCTCACGCTTCAAGCGGCACCGTCATCAGCATACGACCAGCGCGTACGAACAGTTGACCTACCGCTCTATGATGCCCTACCAACCTAATGAGACTTTCGCGTAGACGGTCACGGTGGGGTCGACCCAAATGGCATGCGCCGCTCCCGAAGCCAATATCAAGAAGGCCGAGACGTTGGTGCGCATCGCCCATCAACGGGGGGCCCAGATCGTGCTCTTGCAAGAGCTGTTCCAACATACGTACTTCCCCATCGAGCTGTCCAGCCAAAACTTCCATCTTGCCGACACCCTTGAGTCGTCGGGCATCCTTCGCGGCATGCAAGCCCTCGCCAAGGAATTGAGCGTCGTGTTGCCCATCTCGTTCTTCGAGCGATACAAGCACAGCTACTACAACTCGGTGGCCGTCATCGATGCCGACGGTTCCATCCTTGGTGTGGTCCGCAAGGCGCACATCTCAGGTACCGTGAAGTCCATACTCGAGATCATCCCTATGAAGGTTCACGTAATTGATGTGCATTCTGTAGACCGCTTGGGATACAACGACAAGTACTACTTTACGCCGAGCGACGATCCCGTCCCCGTGTTCCACACGGTGAGTCGTCAGTAGATAGCTCCAACGAACGTGCTTGATGATGGTTGACGGACGTAGCGCTACGCCACGATTGGGGTCGGCATCGGGTGCGACCAGTGGTACCCTGAATATGCCCGGTTGCTAGCGATCAGCGGCGCCGAAATCATCTTTTACCCGAGCGCATTGGGCAGCAACCAATATGTACGTACCTTTGTCCAAGATCCCGACAGTGACGAGTGTTCGTGGTAGGATGTGCAATACGACCCCCGTGACCAATGGCACCGCGTGATGCAAGGCCATGCCGCAGCGAACATGGTGCCCATCATCGTGTCCAACCGGTAAGTTGATGCGTCGTTGCCAACGTCATCTCGAGAACCATGACCGAACGCATGTAGCGTGGGGACGGAAGAAAGCGACGGCGTCCAAGTGACTTTCTGCGGGTCTTCGTTCATCACGGGAAACACCGGGGAGTTGGTACGCTGCTCTCGTCCCCACTACTACGCGTGAAGGTTCTGCTAATCATTTGCGTTCTTTGCAGTTGAAGATTGCCGATCGAGACTCGGAAGGGGTGTTGGTGGACACACTCCCGCTGGGCAAGTTCCACATCCGTCGTGCGAGCTGGGGCCTCCTTCGTGATCGCCGTCCCCACTTATACAAAGGCTTGTTGACGCGAGATGGCAGCGCTTGAAGCATGCATGTCCGCGAGCGCCTCTCGACCTCGCTCCTCGACATGTACTTTACGCCGCATATTCGAATTCGACGAGGAATATAACCAGTAAAAAGTGAAACCGTCAATTTGAAAATACTGGTCATTGATTGGCTAAAATGATTCTATTTTACGAGCCAATCAAATTTGTAATTGCATTTTCAACAAGTGTCGAATTGGTTGGAGCGAACAACAAGCACACACATATCCACGACCATGGGACGAGATGGTGGAGGTTCAAAAGGCGGACGTGGCGGCGGTAGAGGTGGCCGTGGAGGTCGTGGAGGTGATCGAGGCGGTGAACGAGCCAGCAGCCGCGGCGACGACCGCGGTGACGGCGGTGTCAAGAAGCCCCACGGCGGCAAACGCAGCAAGCCCGAAGTCGAAGTGACGGTAGCGCCGAAAACGCTTCGTAAGAACCCTTCGGCGATCAAAAACAAGATGAAGCGTCAACAAGTGATGGTGGAGTACAAGAAGGAGAAGCGTGCGATCAAGGAAGAGAAGCGAGCGGCGCGCAAGAAGGAAGCCGAGGAGCTGGGTGACAAAGCACCGGCCAAGCTCGAGCCCCGCACCATCGACAACACCCGTGAGCCTGAAGTGACAATGATCTCTGCGGAAGACGAAGAGATCGTCGGCGACGAGCAAGACGACGAGTTCGCATCCATCTTTGCGGCCGAGGAAACCCCCAAGATCATGTGGACGACGCGGCCTTTCCCGTCGGCGGACTTGTACCCGTTTGTGCAAAACTTGATGGAATTCGTGCCCAACTCGTTCTATTATAAGCGTGGCACGTACGACATCAAGGACATTTGCAAGTTTGCCGGCAACAAGGAATTTACCCACGTTGGGATTTTGTCGGAAAAGGAAAAGACGTGCAACGGGTACGTCGTCCTCTGCTTTCATTCTTCCCATTATTCCCATCGAAAGGAAGTTTTTCCCTGGGATTATGCCTTGGTGTTGACATGTTGATGTCATGGTTGGTTGTAATCTTTCCATATTTTTTCTCGAGGATTGTGCCCTATGGGTTGACTATATGTTGATGGTTGTAGTTTGGTGATCAGCCGCCTCCCGCATGGCCCGACCGCGTACTTTAAGATCTCAAACGTCGTGCTCATGGACAAAATCGTCAACCACGCGCGCAAGACGAGTCATCAGCCGGAAGTGATCCTGAACAACTTCAACACGCGCCTGGGGCACCGCATCGGCCGCTTCCTTGGGTCGTTCTTCGAGCACAAGCCCGACTTTGTCGGTCGCCAGGTCGTGACATTCCACAACCAGCGCGACTTTGTGTTTGTGCGTCAGCATCGATACGTGTTTGAAAACGGCAAGAAGGCGCGGCTGCAGGAGATCGGACCCAAGTTCACGCTCAAGCTGCGGTGGTTGCAGGACGGCACGTTCGACACCAAGTACGGCGAGTACGAATGGATCCACAAGCAGCACTCGATGGACACGTCGCGCCGAAAATTCCATTTATAAACTCCATAGTACATCCAATAATGAGCCCCGAGTGTGTCTGTCTGTGCATGGGTCTGCTTGTTGCTACTCCCGGTCGTCCATCCCGATGTCCTACGAGTTGCCGGTCGAGATGGTCATCGTTAGTTGTCCACTGAACGAGTAAGTCCATTTTGAGGATGAAGATGATTGGTTGTTGTGGGGGGAGGGGTCGAATTATCCGCTGAAAAGTGGGGGGACCCATGATTTCATTGATTGCGGCTGTTGCGTTGCTACCAACATGGTTGGAAGCGAAAACTGATAGGGAAGGATTTCCATCTTGATGGACACGTTGCCTTGCTATGCTGATGGTGCTGGCATGACCCGCATCAATGTTGTGTGAGACTGTCATATGAAGAAGAGCATTTCTAGATGTACATGTATGTATGTCTATCGTCCTTGAAGATGGAAATCGTGCGATAAATCGTCACAGCAGGCAATCTCTCCCGTGCATCGTACTTGTTATCGGCACCAAAGTTAACAACGACATGGAGGAGGTACAAGAGAATGGAGGAAGAGTATATATAATCGTATTCTTTCCCAAAAGGTTAATCTATACGGCTTGGCAGCTTACTTACTTGGTGGATTCAATCAAGTAAGCGATCAAGTCTCGTCGCTCAGAGGGCTTCTTCAAGCCGGCGAACACCATCTTGGTGCCCTTGATGTACTTCTTGGGGGCAAGCAAGTATTCGAACAAGGTTTCGTCGGTCCACACGACACCCGAGTTCTTGTTGGCGGCCGAGTACGAGTAGTTTTCGGCTTGGCCGGATTGACGGTTGATCAAACCGTGGAGGTTGGGGCCTTGCTTGTGGGCTTCACCCGCGGCGACGGTGTGGCATTGCGCGCACTTGGTCTTGAAGATCTTGGCACCGCTCGCGGCATCGCCTTCACCTCCAGCAATAGCAACCATCTTGACTTTTTGGATCAAATTAAGAAATGGCGAAATCCCAACACCTGCCTCCACATGGGCAGTGTCGGTCACTTCATTTCCACCAATCAAATCACAGCGTTCGGTGCTAACCCTATGCGCGAGGCACATCTTTCAACAGCCACACCATTCATTTGGAGCCTTAGGACGGTTGACACAGTATACTGTATTCAAGTAAATTGGAAGCTGATTTTCATACACGACAGGAAAGTTATGGGCGAGGCGGCCAGCATTTTGTATACATATATAGAACGAGGTGATACGATTGTAGTCGTGGGAGGGGTGATTTGTTTCAAACAAAATATCGAACAGCCGAGATGCGTCAACTGGGCCAAATATATATGGGAAGTTCCGCGGAAAACAATCCACGGACGTTTCAATCGTGTTTTTTATGTTTGCGACACCTGAATCTGCGTGATTTCAAAGTTGAAGCGGCGGCCCCGCGACATGGAACCTACGTGTCCTGTACATACTGGTAGGTACGCTCGAGACGATGCGCAAGTGGCGGATGCAGCATTGGGGCGGCGTTGAGACGACCTCGTTCAAGCAAGGAGTGGGGAAGCAGGCTGATCCACATGTGTGGTGGTATCAAGGCTCGTCACATGGTTGGAGCTCAAATACGAGCGGTGCAAGGGCCGAAGGGTTGGGTGAGATTTGCACTGGGAGACTCCAAGTGGGAAGCAGTTCGAGGTATTGTATGTACTGGTGGTGTTTGCATTGGAGTTGATGGCACGAGTGGTTTCAAAACAACACATGTCGTGAGTAAAACCGGCTCCGGTGGAGTGTGATTATACTGCGCCACGACCCGACATTTATACACCGTGCCATAAGAGTAACAACGACATCCCATTCCCGTGGTAGACTTGTAAAGCGAACGTCGAACGACGGACGCATTTCCCTCGGACTGGAGTCATCGAGCAACATGCATCCATGCGCTTGCCCTCCCTCCCTTGCCTCTTGGCGTCGCGCCACGTCAACCAAACTGTTGTTGGCGCCGATTTTGCTGTCCAATCAAATCGTTTAACGTACATAGTTGACGTTTTAGTGGATTAAACGGGGAAGTTCAGAAAAAACGTGGTTTTGTCATGAAATGTTGCGATCCTACTACTAACAAGTCAACAAACAGGCAAGACCAGCGCCATGAGTGACGCCGTCGCCGCTGCGGACGCGGTTGATCCCTCTGCTGACGAAGTTGGTGGCATCGATGAAGAGATCAAAGAGGATCGCGCCAACGCGTATGTGGAGCACTTCGTGCATATCGTCCAGTCCACAGTAGGTTGACCACCACAAGCTCCATCACGTCGACTCCAGTGACGGCGAGTTGTAGAAAACATTGTTCCCCACGCTTCTCGATGCGGACGAGCATGCAGCCATCGACACATACCTTGCCCTCCCGGCGGCGGCCCAACTCGTGTACTCCCGCCTCTTCCAGCGCAAAGGGCCATGGTTTCGCACAACGTCCCTTTCGGCGATCGCCGACCATCTGCATCCAGACCCAGAGTCATCTGTGCCGCCGCTGCAGACTGCTCTGCGCGCCCTTGAGACCGCCTCGTTCATCCGGCGCTGTCCCAAGGACTCGTACGTCGATGCTATTGATGCCATGAAGTCTGCATGTACTATTCCCGAGATCCAAGCCGTGATGGTCGCCACAGGCGCGTCCAAGTCGAAATCCGCCGCTCGATACAAAACCAAGGTCCTTCTACCCCAATCTAAACTTCATATGCATGATATTTTCGAATTATTTGCCAAATACTATCCCAAATCAAGAACATCGACTTGCGCATCTTCCAAACCTCAAATCACGACAATATGTAGCCAGACATGCTGGAGCGGCTTCGGGCGTTCGTCACGACGCAGCGCCGCATCGATGGCTCCTTCCTCCCCTTGTCCACACATGTACACATCCATATACACTACTCCATCTTCATCATCTGTAGCTAGCTGCATGCTGCGTTAGCTTTAACGTCATTTGATGCACCTGACCTCTCGTCCCCCCATCGACAACACCGCGTCCACGACCCTACTTCGTTGACGCTGTTTCAGATACACCCGAGGACTCGGGATGCGTTCTATCGCATGCATCGTCTCATGTACATGACGTTATCACTGCCAGTCCAACCAACTTTGAAACGAGCGACGTGGGGCGACTGGCAGCGCGCCGTGTGTCGGTACGAACCCACGGCGTGGCCAGGCCTCCTCGTCATATTTGGCAAAGTCGCCGCGTTTCCCAGAGTGACGTTAGCTGCCCCATCGCGCCCCCTCTTTCCGACCTTGCACGCGCTGATGGCGTACGAGTGCGCGTCGGTGCTTCGACACGCGACGCGCCTCATCGTCGACGGCGTCCGTCTCGACCACCTCTTGCCATCATCAGCTCGCGGGCTCACGGCCGACTGGCTGGATGTGCGGCCGCCGACGCTCTTGGCGTTTGCAGGCGCCGCTTCGCCCTCTATAACATCCTCTTCCTTCTCGTCCTCCCAGCCGACAAAAGCTGACTTCTGCGACAACGTTCACGTACGTACGTCATTCGGGAGTGTGTGTGATACAGTATGTGTGGTGGTTTTCGTTGTACAAATGTGTGACAAGGTGCAAGTAGGCGTTTCTGCAGTCTGTGGACAACATGGACTCGTTCGTGGGGGAACTTCGGGCGTGTCTCGCATCCAGCCTCCATCTGACTCGAGAGGATGACAAACAGAGGCGGGTGTTCCTGGAGCCATATGATGCCACGTATGCGCTGGCTCGGAGTATGGACTTGGTCGTGGGAGTGTATGAGAAGCTGGGCGAGTACGACAAGGCACTGGTGCTGCTGCAAGAGCTACTGGCCACGTCCGTGCTCGGACACAAGCGGTAGCCAAATATATTGCCCCTGTCGTTGATGATTCGATGATCTTTATATATTTATATTATATATATATATTATATCCAATACTTATATAAAAATATTATTTTATTTTATATCCAATACAACTTATACTTCGAAGTATAAAATTATTAATAATATAGTATTCATATTGAATAATTCTTAGAAAATATTTTATTTTTTATTTTCAATTTTATATATATCTATATATATATTACAACAAGTGCTCTTGTTCGTTTATTCGTTTGCTTATTTATTTGTTTGTGGGGATTATTAGTTTGTGGGGTTGCATGATTGAGTAGCGGATCGTGGTATACGCGACTGGCAATCAATTTGGAAATGCACATGAAGCAGCCAACCGACGCACGCGCCGTCTGCGACACTGCGCTAAGCGACCCCCGCGTCTTCCCCGCCGATCGGATGGACCTGCTGCGGCGCCACCGCCGACTCGCCAAGACTCCAACAACAGAAGACAAAGAAGTAGTAGTTGAAGGGTGTTATCCCACCCACACGATCGACGGGCGGCCGCTGAATCGGGCGGTGGGCGAGAAGTCGCGGTTCATCGGGTACGACGACGACAGCGTGACCGTGGAAGCCCTAGTGCTCCAGCACTACAAGAGTCAAGGTATTGTTCGAAACACGTTCGAAACACGTTCGAAACCGGCGGGTGGTAGGCTGGCACGGCGCGCACGATGAAGGGGCGTCGTTTCGGTCGCTGTTGGGGCTGTTGCTGTGGGACGTGATGTTTCTCAACGACGTTCCAGACGTGTTTCAAACGCCGTTTCAAGTACAAAACTTGGGATGATTCTGAATATGAACTATGGGTGGTGGTTGATAATATATTGACAGAGTCGACCGTTGGACATGGATATGCGATACAGTGATCACTTTTACAACGCCCGAGCCGCGGCCATCGATGCTGTCGTGATGAAACTGCGCGCGTCCAGTGCCCTAGACCTGTGCGCATGGATCGCCGCGACGTGGCATGCACATCAGGTAATAAATACTCTAGTATACACGATATCCCTATGGTTATAGGACACATATACATCACGAATGACAGGATCAATATGAGATAGGGTACGCAATGTTGGTTGGTGCGGTGGGAAGGATCATTGACGCTGCCGTACATGCAGCTGATGGCGATAGGAATCGGTGCGCCGGCACTGGCGGCGATCGTCCAAGTGTGGGGTACGTCGACCTATGTACCACAATAGTATAACAATTTTGTCTAATCTACCCTGGAGTTCTGGTTGAATATACTTCCTGTATGAGCCAATCAAATCTACTCAAAAATTGGATTAGCCAATAGCGTCGATTCGTGATATAATTTGCATAATATTTGGTTTTGATCACATTATACATGTAGTCAAGCACTTGGAAACGAGCGGTTTGCCCGATTTGTTTATGCTGCGAGTGGTCGCGCGGCCACGAGAACACATGGGACTTCCCGCGCATTTGGTGGACAGACATACGAACTGCGTGGACATCCCCGCGTGGAGTGCAATGGAAGGCGGCGGCGACATTGATGCGCTCATGGGCCAGCATCAGACGGTGGAAGCCCAGTTTGTAGAGGTGAAAGGCCCGCGGGACCGACTCTCAGACACCCAAATCGTGTGGCTCGACCGGCTGAATGCCGCCGGCATCTCGTCCGTCGTGTGCTACGTGCAGGAGCCTCCCACGAAGAAGAAGAAGAAGCAGAAGACACAAGAGGAGGATGAGATTCGTGGCAAGCCGACCACAGACCCACCAACGTGTACTACTAGTACGTCCAAGACCAAACGATCCAAGGGAATTCCTCCGCCCCATGTTCCCATTGAACTCTTGGACTATTGACTGCTAAAAAAGTATGAACGGTATCCATGTTTCGACGGTGCAGTGTTGTTGTAGCTACTAGTAGTAGGATCATGACATATGAGGGTATGTATACCTTATTACATTTCGATCTGTTCCTATGTATGTACCAGCTCAAGCTGGGATTCTACTGTTAACTTTTCTAACTGTAACTTGATGCGTGGTGACGATCTTGGTGACATTTCACACGTGTGCAATAAATAATATTCGATCGATCGGGGGGTGGGAGTACGGATAACAATTGTTATTATCCGGAAACTCTGTCGTTGGGTGTTTTGTTGGCGTCAAGCGTAAAACAAGATGGTTCTGGTGACGGCGGCGGAGTTCCTCCCGAAGTTCAAAGCGCTGTTCGCGCAGGAGATCCAAGGGGGCAACAGTGCCGTGACGGTGCAGACGAAGAGCAGTACGTCCTCTATCGTGTCATGGCCTCCTCGCATGCTGAAGAAAACATGACGTGCGTAGTTCCGTCGGAGAAGGTCGGGAAGCTCCTTCGTGCACATGCCGTGGAAGCGGGGCCAAACGTGTGGCTGATTCGGGCGTTCAAGAACGGGAACAACAAGCACAAGATCAAAATCTCCACGGCGGTATGTCGATTATGTGCATGGGGCGAGGGTGCCTCATGTGGTGTGTGATATGCAGGTGACGGCGTTGGAACACACGGAGTTCCAGGCCAAGTTGGCGGCTGTGATGAAGGCCAAGATGCATGGATTGGCGCCGACGAAGAAGAGCAAGCGACACGCCAAGGCAACAACCACCCAGTCGTAGATAGGGAAACTGTACGAGGAGCATGTATTCTCTCTCTCCCCTTATCCGACCACAAATATAGGCCTCTTAGAACTGTTCGAATCGAGTGCATGACTGGATGGCGGCGACGACTTGGACGTCCGACACGATCTTGTGCAAGTACCCATGTCGACTATATCAACAACGATCCCCTGATCAGGAACATATATCGACAGCAGATGCGATACACACCTGGAGGACCTCCGCTTGTGCTGATGGGTTGAAGCATCCACTTTGGCCAACTTGCTCATCATGGAGACGGTGTCCAGGACAGCTCCAGCTCCTTGCATGGCCACTGTCGTTCTACATGTGTCATCCCCATGTCAATTCATCTCGATCTGGGACGTTCGACGGCCTACCCTTTGATGGGGGAAGCGGTGGCATCCAAATTGGACACACATTGCGCGAGCTGCCGCCGTCGGTCTCGACTACGCATGATCATTGTTATGGTCAAGCAGATTCTTTTGGCATAGACGTAGGCTCGGAAATGTTATTTACAGTGTTCGATGGCGAAGGTGCGCGTCCATCGCGAGCTGAATGCACGTCGTCGAGTCCGACGTAGCGGATTGCGACGGACGGCCTTGGAACGTGACGTGGCACGCCTGCAGTCGAGCGCTGAGGGTCACACGATGGAGCTTGTCGTCGCGAAACTCCGAGTGAGACGCCTAATGACCATGTTATTCCCAGCATGTGACGACGTTTCTTGGAAAGTCCAGTGGAAACTTTCATTGCCAAGTCGATTTTATTCGAAATTGAAGTGGAATTTTCAATCGAATGACAAATCAGCAGATGACAATCGACCGACCAATCAAAAATCAGATCACAAATCAACTAGCCAATCAAATCCACTCTTCGACCAATTCGTGTGTGATTGAAATGAGTGGGATACGAAACGATCTTTACATATTGTCGATTTGATACAAATTTGGGGAGGGGGTGCAATCGAATCGATCCACGATCGATCTGATTGGTTGAATTTTATTGAGAATTGGGTCTTGATTGGTTAATAATTTTGAGCTCATCGGAGGTAGCCAATCAAATCGATTTAAATTCCAACGAGAAACCACGCCACCACACGAAATTTCACTCGAAAGCACAATACAAAAGTCAACAATATCGATCGAAAAGCACAAAAGGCAGCTAAATTTTGGGTAAAAGGACAATACCAAACGTGCCTGCGACAACGTGTGCGACAAGGTGGTGGTGATTGGTGTCCACAGACTGTCACAGAACGACAAGCTGTCGGCCATGGCATCCAGTCGGTCCAATTCCGCCAGTTGTTGGGCTTTCTTGCCGTCTCCGTGTGGATAATGTGGTCCCAGTTCCTGCAGGTACGAGCTGTGGAGCAAGTCCTTGTCGTCGATGGCAGCGGACGCAGCCAAGATGGACATTGCATGAGGACGACGCGATGACTTGCTTTGATCCGACAAGCACGATGTCCAGCGCAGCACATGAGACAGAGGAGGACAAACACTCCCGTGCACTTGAAGCATGTGCAACGCCCGTCGAATGTCGCCGCGACATATGTGGAAGAGCCGGTCCAACGCCATCGCAGGCGGCGGCTGATCTCGGACGATCGCATGGACATGCCGCTCAAAGTCGGCTAACGGCGGCCGCGTAAAAGTTCGTTTGACGTGGCCCAGCGACGGTGGAAAGTTGTCGGGCATGTCTAATAAGAGGATCGAGATTGAAACAATTATATATATTCCCAACAATTAGACTCGGATTTTTGAAGTGAAAAATCGTAATCTACTAGTACTAACATGTAGCGTACAATGGATCTCTTTTGCAGTTTACATCGATACATGTATGGTGCTTTTCAGTCAAATGTGCCTATTTTGGGGATTGATGAAATCGCCAACTAAGCGAGCAAACGAGTATGATTGGCTACAAAGAATGATGCTTGCAATATGATTGGCTAAACAGATTGATTGTTGTATTGCAGTCCCAAAGAAACCTCTTCAACTTTGTTTTATATGAAATTTCAAAGGTTCCACGGGGGAAATTTTGAGTCGAACACACAATAACACATCGATTGAACAAAAGTACGTTTGAAAGCGCTTGAATCAAATATTACCCCGAGTAGTAATACTACTCCTACGTAGTATACATGGATATATATATATTCGCCAAGAATTGGCATACATATATATATATGAAACGAAGGGATCCAACTTCACCTGAAGAAGAATACAACTAATCATATCGCATATGAATCCCAAAATAAATACTAGATCGACGACAGACCGAGCCGCCTGTCTACCCACCCGTGCACGTGAGCACTATAGGACATCGCGCGTTCTTGGCTATTTGGTGCAGGGCCGCCATGAATCCCTTGTCCGATTCAAACAAGTGATCGACCTACATATACCCAAACCATTTCTCATTCATTTCCACCTCATTTCCATGCATTTCTACACGTACGTCTTCCAGGAGCACGAGCGTCAACGATGTGGTGGTCGGCGGGGGAGAATTCTTTGTGGCCTTCTTTTGTTTCTTTTTCGACGGGGGCTTGGTATCTAGGTGCACGGGGGTCTGCACCACTCGATTCGACTGCGTGGCTTCTCCTGCTAGCTCCAGGAGGTGCTTCCCAGAGCGAGGCTGGCCAGCGTTCATTTCCAGCACTTGGTAGCCCAATTCACGGGCACACGCGTACACGCTGCACGTTTTACCCGTGCCCGACTCCCCTTGGAGCACAAACACCCGGTGCAGCAGGTCCTCATTGCCGTCGTCGTCGTCATCCGACAGGTACGTGTTGTTGTCGGCGCCGTTTTTGGCCGCAAACAGGTCGTGGTATTGCTCGCACACCCGCCGCAGTGACTTGCCATCGCGAAAGCTCTTCCACGCCCGAAGCCATTCGCACAGCCACTTGACGCTGTGTCTGTTGCCGACGACGTCGTGGGACGTCTGGGGGGCGTACTGGTCCACGAGGAGCCGCAGTCCCCCACGGGGGGGTGGGGGCGATGGTTGTTGTTGCAGCTGTATGGCGTGGTTGGATGATGTGTTGATGTCTAGGCAAGTACGAGGAGCAGCAGTACTACTACTACTACCCCCCCGACAGGACCAAAACACATCGTCCAGGGTCGTTTGCAGTTGCAAGTATACGTCCTGGTCGTGCCGCAGAGCTGTCCACATGCGGGCGCGGGGGATCGTAGCGACTTCGTCGTCGTCGTCATCGATGGACAGCACCAAGGGCGCAGCGGCGCCGCCTCGACGTGGCGGCACCCATGCATCATCATCCGTGGAGACGGTCCATGCCACGGGAGGCATTGCATTCACATGCGAAGGCGCGGGGAAGGTCGGCGCCGGCTCCTTCTTCCACACGACCACCCCCGACAGAAGAACAACATCCCCAGGCTTGTCGTCGTCATCTATCGTGACCACGGACGATGACGACAAGGGTTGAGGGGGTTGAAAGAACGGGTTGACCCCCTCTCGACCGGCAAAGAACGCCACGTCCAACGCTTTGCGACGCTCGAGGTCTTGCTGGAACTTGAGCATGGCTTGGACTTGGCGCTGTTCGTCCAGGAGCGCCACGTCCTGCCGCTTGGCCGCGTCCCGCTGTTCCGTCGTGAGAAACATGGACGGGGTGGCTGGTTTCTTGGCGTGGACAGCTCGACGTGCGGGGGCCACAGGGGGGGGATCGGCCACGACAAGCATGCGGCACATGTCATTTGATCGCAGCGTCCGCAGCCGCGACGTCGTCCTCCGCGCCGGCTCTACGAGTTCCACGTCGCCCAGGACGACATCCTTGGCTAGTTGGGCATCCCGCACGGGATTGTTTCGCCGTTGGGGTGGCAGCAACGTTGATGCGGACGGGGCGCCACCACGTTGTCGCAGTTTTGCCTGTGTTTCGTCCATGGTTGTTGGACCAGCATTTGCTTTTACGCGCCGCCGTTTCAAAGGAGATGGAACCGTGGCGGGAGGAGCAAGATGCATGTTGCTGTTGTTGGTTGTGCACGAGGATGGATGGACGGCCGACTGCTTGCGCTTGCTCGCAGTTTGTCGACCCGCAACCGTATCGTCTTCCGGCCTGTCTTGGTTGGACATGGAAGGATCTTCATGGGAGCTTGCCGGCGACGCCGCTGCCTTGACGTCGATACTGGAACCATCCTCGTCGTCGCCGCGTTCATCAGGCACAGCAGTGTTTGGTTGAGGCTCTATGGTATCTTCACTTGCAACAACCGCATTAGCTTCATGTACAAACGAGTCATCTTCGATAGAGATGATGCTCGGGTCGGCATCGGTTGGGTTGGTTGCCTCCTCCATGTTGTCCTCGACAGTTGGATGACTTGCATCGTTCAAACCCGCGATGCGAGCATTCAAGACATCTCCACCACCTTTCGATGACGTGGTCTGGATAGGAGAGTCCCGTTGCACGAAGAAACTCATGCGGAGTTGTCCTTTATCGTCCTGGCCTTTCTTCTTGCGAGCTTTCTTCCCGACCGCCGCCGCCGCCAATCCCTTCATAGTCTTGTCCTTCCTCTGTTTGACGCCATCGATAAACTCGCCATCATCTTCCTCTGAATCGATATCTTCCACATACGCTTCCTCCTCGTCGTCTTCTTCGTCGTCGTCGCCAGCCGTCCTGAGCCACCGCGCCACGCCTCGCATCATGCACAACTTGCGCCAAAAATGTTCACAATTGTCGTTATCCGGTACGCCCTCTATTTCTACGTATCTCTTTTTTTATTACCTTGATTTTACTATGCGAATCCTTCGACGGCTTTGAAATTTCAGTTTCAAAACTTTCCGGATAAAGCGAATACCGCGGGAATTCACCATCCGTTCACGCGAGAGATTCATTCCTCAAAGACGCCGTCGTGCATGATGCTTGTGTCTATCTCTCCATGATGTCCTAGCGAAGATCTGCAGCAAGGCAGAGCCGAGCTTCTACGAACGACCCATCTAGCACCTCATTGAGCAAGACAAACGTCGTGTACTGTAACATGATCGTCGTGTTCATCTATGCAATCTATTACAAGCCCATGGCGTACTTCATGATTTGAGTCTACAAATCGAATGTTAGATGAACGCAGCAGTATCCCGACACACCCAAGATCATCATGTATACCTTGATCGGCTCGACGGCATTCAACGTGGACATGCCGACGTTGCGCGCGACTTGGACGGCATCGGGGGCAGGGCCAAAGAGGTTCTTGAACCCGTCCATGGCCAACGCCATCGAGATGTTGGCCTTCTTTCGGTCGTTGTCGTAGTGTTTCAAGAACAATTCGTCGCCCAAGTGCACGCCCGCTTGCACCCCCTGCGACAAGACGTTGCCGAGCGATGTCACATCCGCCAGGCCCAAGTTCAAGCCCTATCGACGACAAAGTCCATTTCCATCCTATTTCTAACCTGGTTGCTTTCACTCACTTGACCCGCTAATGGATGGATCGAGTGCGCGGAATCGCCAATCAACGCCACCCCGTACTTGGAATAGCTACCATGTCCATGTCAGCATCATCATAAAACATGTAAGACTGTACCGTGTCGCATGTTGCAGTTTGAGTGGGAATGCAATGCGGCGACCGACGGCTTCCGTGGCCTTGGGCGGCGCTTGGAACGGATCGGCGAGCGCGCCGGCCGCCAACACCGTCTGCGCGGCCAAGTGGATGCCTTGGATGAGGTTACCGAGGAGCGGCACTTGCGGCGGCGACGGTGTCACAGACGGCTTGTGCAGCGCTTCGTTGAGCGCAGCCACAAATTCTTGGGGGGAGATGGACTTGAGTTCGATCGCGTGGTTCTCGGTGGTGCTCCACACCACGGACGAGTACCCGTCGCGGAGCGGCAGCAGCGCGATGGGACCCGACGGGAGGAAGCGCTGGAACGCCGTCGTGTTGATCTGGTCCGTCTTGACGGTGGCCACCACCGCCTGTTGGTCGTACGTCCAGCCCCACGTGCCCAGCGCCGACAGTTTGCGGATCTGGCCAATCAAATGGTCACAAACGGTCGAGTTTTAGCCAATCAAGACGTACCATGGACTTGCCACCGTCGGCAGCCACCACGAGGCGGCTGCGAATCTCGGTGCCGTCTTCCAAAGTGACGGTGCCCGCGCGATGCACTTCGCCAGGACCTTCAAAGTTGCGCACCTGGTGATGGAACATGGTGAGATAAGGTGATGACGATGTGGAGGAGGAAGGGGCATGTACCTCGGCAGGGCTGAGGATGCGCAGCGGGTTGGGGTCGTCTTGGCCTGCAAGTTCTTGCATGCGGAGAGCCAACGCGCGCTGCAACACGCCGTGCTCGAGCACGTACCCGAGGTCGCTGCCGCTCTTCACTTGGGCCTTGGCCGCGTCGAAGCGGATGAATCCGTCGCCCATGGCGTCCCACACCTGCATGTGACCGAAAGGCGCGATGTGCTCGGGCTTGATTTTATCCCAGACCCCGATCGCTTCAAACAGCTTCTTGGACGCCGGCGTGATCGTGTACACGCGCGCGTCCGGGAGGCCCAACGAAGCGTTGGCATCTTCCAACTGCTTGGGAGGAGATGGTTCAATGACCGTGACCTTCTTGCCGTGGAAAACAGGGTTCGACTTGAGGTTGCACGCAAGCGCGCTGCCGACGATGCCGCCGCCGACGATCACCACGTCCTGCAGCTCACGGCCACGTTCGGCACGTTCAGCCTTGTCTTCTTCAGTCCAGAAGGCCAAGCTACGGGTGTGCATGGAGGTACAGATGGAGGAGCGGACTTTGCGTTGCACATGTCGAGAGACCATGATGCCTTAACGTTGAGGAGGCGCGATGTCCAAGAATTCGACTCGAATGACAGGCAGCGGGTGGAACGATCTTTTCAACCAATGAGATATCGCAATTATAATAAATCAGCGAATGAAATCGATTTATGCATCATCCAATCAAAATGGGTTGCAAAATAATAATATTAATGGTTCAATGAAGGCATACAAAACCCAAGCTCCGTAAAGGGCCATTAACGCAGGCCATTAAATTGCATTGTCTGCCACAGCAGCGCCAACCAACAGGCACAAAGTAGTGACCATTGCATAGATACGCCGTTCACACTCGTTTGCGCTGCCATGTCCACTGCCGGGTGCAACATTGCGATCAAGAATCTTCCCCATGATATGGGAAAAGAGAGCCTTCGGCCTCTCTTCAAGAAGTTTGGCAAGATCAACCTCCTTCACGTGGCCAATGGCACGGCGTACGTCGTCCTCGTCCTTCTATCTGGAGCTACATAGCTCATCCCTGGTTGATATATAGCGCCATTGAGTTCCAAAAGCCCGTGTCCGCCACCTCGTCCGTCACGTCCATGAACAATGCCGTGATCGGCGGTCAACGCATCTTTGTGTCGCTCACGTCGGACCCAGTGCCGTCTGTCAAGCGTGGCACGGTGCCGGCTGCTCCCACGTCCTCCTCTGCCGCGCCAACCAAACCCGCCAAGCCCACAAAGAAGGCAGTCGCCCCGACCCCCGCGGCGCCGACGCCAGTGCCAACGGAGGCTGCCGCCGCAGACGACGCCGATCGCAGCTTCACCAAGTTGTGTTATCATTTCCGAAAAGGACGGTGCAGCAAAGGCGACACCTGCACGTACGTGATATATCAACGAGCCCAACAATCTCGTATCGTCCAGTCATGATGACGACATAGGTACCTTCACACGTCCAAGTTGTGCCCGACGGTGGAATATGGCGGCGTGTGCACTCGCATGGACATGTGCAAATACTCCCACGATCCGAACAATGCATTGGCCAGTGGCTTGAAATCGGCGGACGCGACCAAATCCCAAACGCTGTGTCAACGGATTGCTTTGGGCGGCCACTGCACCTACGGCGACCGATGTCGGTATGTGACCAACACCTTGGTTCTATTTGTCTATTTCTTTGAAGTATATGTCCTTTTAATTTGGACTACCAAGATGATTCGCATAGTTTGTATTATCTGGTGACACGCTGATAATCTAAGTCATACATTAATTCGAGGTTGAATGGTTGAACTTGATTGGCTACTTGAATATTGTTATGGGTTTTGATTGGTCGATCGATTGTCTGGCGGTGGATTGCCATTTTTGAACAATATATAATGTTTTGTCCTTTCAGCCAAAATTTGGACTTTTACGGTGCTTTGCCAAATCATCCAGGGTGGATCGATGTTTATCCTGAATTCTGTATATATATATTATACATATATATACTATATATATGTATATATACTATTAATATATATATATATAGTGTGCAGGACTTTCATTCGATGTTGAGTTGGCTTTGCTGCAATCTGATTAGTTAAATAGACTTATTATAATGTATGATCAGGTTTAGCCACGACCCCACGACGGCGCTCAAGGGAAAGTCGAACGTGCTGTGCAAAAACTTTGCTGCGGGGTGCCGCAAAGGCGACAAGTGCTGGTACGTACCATCACTCTTGGAGTGTTTGAACAGAATGTGTGTGTAGGTTCAGCCACGACCCGACGACTGCCGTGGCCGCGCCAGCCAAGCGGCCTGCCACCGACGACGTGCAGCCAGCTCCTGTCGCCGCGCCCCCCGCCAAGAAAGCCAAGACCACCACCACAAACGAAGTACCCCAGAAGGCAGAGGTTACAGCTTTGACGTGTGGCGAATGCACCAAGGCCGCCGCCGCCATCACGTGCGCACAATGCGACGAAGGGTTGTGTGCCGCCTGCGACACTGCGCTCCATGCGTCCCGCATCATGTCCAAGCACGTCCGGACGGCCGTGCCAAAGGTTGAGGCGGTGGTTGCGCAGTGCGGAGAGTGCCGCGGCGCCGCCGCCACCGTCCACTGCGTCCAGTGCGACGTGGATTACTGTGGCAAATGCAGTTGGTCAGTGCACGAATTCAAAGTGTTTCGTACACATCGTCGCGAAGCATTGCTCAAAGACCGCACGACCCCCACGGCGCCATCCCTCGTTCCAGTGACCCAACAAGTCCAAGGGGTAGCCAAGGCAGCGGCGGCTCCAGTGACCCAACCCAAACCCACCACCACTACCGTCCACAACATCCGCGCGTACCCCAAGACAGAGCTGTCAGACGACGACTCGAGCGATGACGACGACAAGCAACCGCCCGCCAAAGTTCAAAAGACATTGGCGGCGGCGCCCCCCGTGGTGGCCAAGAAGAAGGCGGCGGCTATCGCCCCTTCCCAGCCCAAGACCGCGCTCTCTTCCGATAGCTCGGACGAAGGAAGCGACGTTGAAGTGAACCAACCCCCCCCAGTGGTTAAAGCAGCGCCATTAGGGGCCAAGAACGCCCCCGCCGTCGATCTGTCAAGCGAAGATGAAAGCGATTTCTCCGACGAAAAGCCCATCATCCTGTCCGCGAAAACAAGCGCGGCGGCGCTGTCTTCGAGCGACGACTCGAGCGACGAAGATGAAGGACAAGTACGTGTCAAGCCAGCCCCAGTCAAAGCCGTGGCCCCCCAAACAGCCGACTCCAGCGACGAGGACTCTAGTGATGATGAAGAAGGGGGCACACATGTCGTGGCGACTCGAGGGACCAAAGCCGCCGCCGCCGTCCCCACGGCCGACAGCGCCCACTCACTGGTCAAGAAGATTGAAGCGTACGCGGCATCGACCAACGTCGACGTGTTGCACCTGAGCCCGTCCTTGAACAGCTACGAGCGACTGCTGGCCCACGACTGCGCCGAACGCCTCGGACTTTCCCATGAAAGTGTCGGCCAAGGCTTGGACAGACACATTACCGTCGGCCGCGGCGGCGGCGCCACGAAAAAGAAATCGTGGAGTAAAACACGCGCGTAGTAATACTATTAATAGTAGTAAGTAATAATACAAATTGGAGGATTGGAAAGTTATGAAATTTCACGACTGGGTTCATGCGATCACGAAATTCGCTCCCATTGGTTAAATCGGAAAGTGCTGCTTGTCGCTGATTGGCTACATTGTTTACGTTTTTACTTTGGTAATTCAATGAATTACTTCGAAGTATGTTACGACATCGTGGACAACATGTTTCAATTTTGATCATCAGATTTGTTGCTCCAAAATGTCAAGTTGGGCCTGAATACTAGTATTACAGCAGCGCACTAGTAGTAGTACTAGTGTTCTCAGAGTACACTAACGGAGCTGACACTTCATCATTGGCCAAAAGTTCTACGTATTTGCCGTACCTTTGCACCATGGAATTAAATTTGAAGAATTTATTTAAATATTCGAATTGTATAATTGATTCAAGATTGTATTGAATTATAGAATTATATTCGCGTTTTGTATTTCATGGTGCAGATCAACGACAAATACGGTACGTTTATCACCTCTACTGGCAAGTAACATATACAAGCTGCCATATACCGCATAACTGTTAGCTGTGATTATTGGCTTAACGTTAGTTACGATGTCACATGCAATTCACTGGGAGTCCCCCCTTGTCCCAGTGAAATACTAGTAATGAAGACTTCACGTTTACTCTTGGTCCAGCACGGCGGCTCCAAATTTCCCGCCAAAAAACACTTGCGATGGCGCGAGTCGCGGCGACAGCGCCGGCGACGGATCGACTTCGATGGGGTACCCCGAAGCCACGACCACCGGGACGGAGTAGCGGTCCGGAATGTCCAGCGCATGGCGCACCCACGTCTCATCGAACCCTTCCATGACACAGCACCCTGCGACACGGACAGGGTTTGTTCAATGTTGTTATAAACAGGATCGAAAGGTACCGATGCCGTGGGATTCGGCCGCCAAAATGTACTGACTCACGGCGAGCATGGTGGACTTGTATGACCATGCAATGGTTGGCACGTACGTCGGGACGGGTTGGAATGGGGTGAGCGCCGTGGAGAGGCCATTGCGGATCGCGCCGGCCAAGTGCCCTTCGCCGCCAAAGAAGCGGAGTTTCAGAGGAAGTTGCTGGATGTCCGCTGTGGATTGGCCTGCCGAGCGCATCATTTCTTGGATTGCAGGCACGCGCTTGCTGGGCTCTACGTCGTGTGTGTAGTGTCGGGATATGAACGACAGGTGGGCATTGTACCGAGATCCGAGGCAAAGACGGCGATAAGCGGAGCCTCCTTTACCTTGCGCACATTGTCGCCAAGCATGGCGGCACTCAGCGTGTTGCGGTCGGCGGCATCTTGCACCAACACACAGGCATACGGTTGGAGGTTGAATCCGCTTGGCGCCCGCTGCAGTCCATGTAAGACTAGACCTTCTATATGACCCTCATACCTGTGTTGTTAGCATGATGTCCTTCAGGATGTCATTTGGAATCGCCTTGCTTTGGTATTTGTACACAGAGCGCCGCTGCCGCGCTAACGACCGAAATGCCTGCGCTGCCATAACGAAGAGTGTCCTCGAAGGGTAGGAACGAATGCATGGTTTTGATTCGTTAGTTATTCAAAGGAACAACCAATCATACTCGACTATTCATATGTTTATAGCAAATCAAAAGTGTTTGTTTGATGTATAATTATAGCCAATTATGACTAAGTTGAGCATTGATTCGTGTTAAATCAGCCAATCCAATGGTTAAGGCCGTGTACTTGCCGAAAAGATGGATCTGACCGTCGGGCTGCGCTGTGAGATCAGCGGCAAGCGCCGCGGCGAAGTCGCGTACATCGGTCCTGTCCAAGGCATTCCTGCAGGTGAATGGGCTGGCATCCGGTTGGACTTGCCTTTCGGCAAGAACGACGGGACCCAGGGTTCCCAGCGGTACTTTGACTGCCAGCCCTTGCACGGGGTGTTTGTACGGCCAGACAGTGTGAACGTGTCGGGGGACTTTCCTCCGTTTTTGGTCGTCCAAGACGACGCGTCGCTGGAGGAGAAAGTTCGTCTTGTGGAGGACGCAAGAGCAGCGCAGCGGCAACAGACGAGTCAACGGCAAAAAGCGCAGGCGTCGGCGACATCGTTCACGTCTCGCGCCGAAGCAGTCGACGCGTTCTGGTCTGAGTTCAACGACAAGGAGGCCAACGTGCGGCGTACCCTCGAATCCATCGAAGCCGCGTCCCCCGATGTGGGCCATTCGCTCGATTCGTTGTGCACGGACGTGCATGGTCTGCGCGACTTGGCGGCCGCCGCCACCATCTTCCTTCCGCCGTATGACATCCGCGCGACACAGGCAGTGACCCATCGTCTCCTGCAAGCCATCGACGCCAAACGAACGGCGCTCGCTCCACGTAAGAAGTTCACGTTCAAAGCCCGCGCTAAGCTCAAGACCGCCGGAGGCACGCCGCTCCCGCCACCGCCGCCGCCCCTTCCCGCGTTCACACCTTCGTTGGCCGCCCACGACCACGAATTAGTGTACGCCGACCAATCCAACACGGTCTTGCACATCACGGCGGCCGACATGCCGGACTTGAACTTCGCGCGCCTCTCGCATTGTATCATAGTGATTCCGGTCATGACGTCAGCTATCCGGGGCACGGAGCTGTCCCACTGCACCATCTACACGGGTCCGATCCAGGGCTCGCTGTGGCTCGAGAACTGCTCCAACTGCACGTTTGTGGTGGCATGTCGGCAGCTGCGGGTGCACCATACTTCGGCGTCGGCGTTCTATTTGCGCATCAAGAGCCACCCGATCGTCGAGGACTGCGATGGCTTGGGCTTTGCGCCCTACGGACTCGCGTACGAAGGACTCGGCGCCCAGCTGGATGCAGCCGGATTGGCCTGTGACACGGTGCTGTGGAGCCAAGTGCACGACTTCAAATGGCTGCGCCAGACGCAGTCGCCGCATTGGCGCGTGCTGTCGGACAGAGAGCGTGTGCACGCGGTGGACCCTACCGTCCAGGAGCTCGTGTCCATTGTCGAATGCCAGTAGAAGATACTCAATGACTAACATATACCAGCCTAGTAAGTCTTTGTGGTCAGGTTAGATATTAGCAGCACAGTACACGACGAACGTGAGCGTAGCCAGCCACTAGCCAATGGCATGCATGCACGGTGTATGTATGTTCAAGTGCAAAGTGCACCAGCTTGGCTTTTCAAAGTCCAAACAATAATATAAATGTGTTTTCTAGAATTTATTACTACTGTAGTATGTATTAATATTAATAGTATGGTATTAATACTGTACTACTGTAGTAGTTCTAGTATGGTGCAAGAAATGCAAATCTTTTGCCCTACGTTTTTCTATTTAACCTATATGTTTTGGGCTAAAACCTACTTGGGATGAGCGTTAAACAGTAATATCTGCCAGGTTAAACCTTGGATAATGATATGTTAAACTCAAACTACGTACGGATAACGTGTACGGATACCTGCCCATACATTTCTGTTGTAGCAAGGCGGTGGGTGAACAACTAAAATAGCTCTCTCATTTTTTCGTCTATTGTGAATTGGAACCACATGATCGATTCGCCTTGTCGAGCGAGATCTATCATTTTTGTGGTTCATTTGCCAGGAAATAACAATACTACACATGGTATCACGCTCTAAAAGTGCTCAATATATCGTCGTTTCTAGGCTTCTTGCAGCATACTGCGTAGTACAGGAACGTGCATGTTGTGAATATATTCGCCAATATCATCCAATGATCCACTCTTGGACGAATTCTTGTGTGACGTAATTCGTATTTTTGCATGCAAAAGTCAGGTAGAAAGAATAGATCGATTGATTTGGTGCATCAGCACTAAAGTCAACCAGATTTCGGGTACACCAATATGTTTAAGAATTGCCACGAGTCAAACCAGGGTAGTTCGTAATTACTCGTTCAATGTGGACTTTTTTTTCGATTTCTTGGCCTTCTTGACCGGGGGCACCACCGCTTCGTCGTCTTGGTCGATATGACGTTGTGGCTGAATGGTTGATTTGGCTGCTTTTTTCGCCTTTTTGGCCTTCGTAACCACTACGATATCGTCGTCGTCGTCGTCTGCTGCTTGTTTTGACTTTTGCGTCGGCTCGGATGCTTCCAGTACTTCGTCTTCAAATGCCACGTGCTTGCGCTTCAGAGTCTTGGCCGCCTTCTTCGATACGTTGGGCAGCGATGGGAGGTCGGATGCGACAGCGTGGGGCTGGAGCGACCGCATGGAGCCGTCGATGGAGATCACGCCATGCGCGACATGCACTCTACAACCGAATGATTTCATATATGCATATAACATCATCATGGACGCATGTAGATCGTACTGGAGGACTCGAAACTCGACGGCGTCGTCGACCGCGATGGCGCTGCTGTCTTTGCCGACCCATGCGTCTTCGTGGTAGTTGTGCACGAAGCCAGACGGCATTTCAGTTGCGGCAATGGACACGTTGAATACCCCGGCCAAGAGCAACCCAATGTGGTTACTGCCAACCTTGTTGACGGTGGCTGTCAACTGCATGCCTGGCGTCGGGCGAAACACGAGCGCATCCGCCGCAATACGCACGTGGATGTATGGCGTTTCGTTGATGATGTGGCCATACGGGTTGATCACTTGCAACGAGTTGAATGCCAAGAGCACCCCTTGCACCGGTTCGCTGTACTTCATGAGCATGTGGTTCAATTGATCTTCCAGCCCTTTCTTCGGGTCCTGGATATGGTACGGCGCTAAACTGCAGCTCATGACCAGCTACGAACGATGGAATGAAGCTGCGGTATTAGTCCTCATGGAGACACCGACATGTGTACCTTGGCCTTGGCAAACGCCGTCGTCGACGCCATCACACTCGGTTGTGTGCAATTTTGCTTTCGACCAGTCGTGAACACCAATCCGTCTCGGCCATTTGAATTATCCGGATAATGTGGGATTCATCCGGTAAAAGTTAATATCTTGCGCGCGCCATCACACAAATCGTGCGGATTCATGGGGAACGCAGGGTGGCTCCGTCGCCGATGCTTAAGACACTATGGTACACGGAAGTCTGTGTCGGCAACGAGCAAGTCGACGTCATGCATAATGGGTTATCCAGTCTATGACTTTGTCGAGGAGGTGTTGATCTGCATGACGTACAAGTATTCAATCGAGATGGACATTGTGGAGAACCACCGTGTCGACGACGCACCAACAAGAACGAATGGCGCGGGCATGCCCGGCGCGCGTACGCAGGTAGTTTGATGGATCGACTCGAGCCACATCGATCCAAGGGGATGCACTGCTTGTGTACAACGACAGATTGTCCACGGCAACAACGTGGTGGCATTCAGTAGTCAGCCACTCCTCCGATGAATTCTTCCAGCATCTCCTCGACTTTTGGCGGAGATTCCGTCTTCTCTGCGACCACCACGCCTGGCACAACAACGGTGGCAGCAACCTTCGCGGCTTGCACTCGTGCTTCCAACTCGTCGACGCGCTGGCGCTGTAGACGATCCGCGTCAAGCTTTGCCTGCAGTGCCTTCTGTTCTACCAAGAGGATCTCGATCTGCGCGAGTGCCATTGCCTTGGCCTGCTTGATGCGCGTCAAGTCCGCCTGTAGCGCGTCGAGCTCGGCTTCCATGATGATGCTCGGTTTATTCAGATGGGAGAATTGACCAATCACGGGAAAGATGCCTCAAGAATTTTATTGGGACGAGGGACGTTAAAATAATGGGACAAGTACAATTAAATTTCGTGGGTTTTAATACAAACCCCCTGTTGAATTTGATATTTTATATAATTAGAAGGCTTCAGAATAAAATTACACTACAATAATCGAGTGGCCCTAACACAATAGAACGCATCAAGAACCATGTCGGACACCCTGCCAGTGCCTGGCCATGCCGAAGACGTCGCGGCGCCGCCCGCCCCTGAAGATGTCGCTTCCATGTTTGACTTGAAGAAGAAGAGGAAGAAGACCACGAAGAAGGTATGTCATGCTTGCTAGGAACGTAGGGACATGGATTTGATCGTCGTGGGGAGTGTAGAAGGCCAAAGACGACGCGGGGGATGCCGCCAACGACGACGATGCGGCCACCGTCGACACTGCCGCCGCCAGTGGCAGCAGCACCGACAACAAGAATGCTGTGGATGTGGCTGTTGCCAGCACCACGTGCGCGTACACGTACGAAGACATGTTGGATCGCATCATGAACAAACTGCACGAGAACAACCCGGACTTGGCGGACCGCAAGAAAGCGATCATCAAGCCTCCGCAACTCATGCGCGTGGGCACAAAGAAGACGTTGTGGGTCAACTTCCAGGAGATCTGCAAGATGATGCACCGCAACCCCGAGCACGTGCTGCAGTTTACGTTGTCGGAATTGGGGACGGAAGGCAACTTGGACGGCACGCAGCGCCTGATCATCCGCGGGCGGTACGTCCCCAAGTACATTGAGTCGCTCCTTCGGAAGTACATCACGGAGTACGTGACATGCCAAATGTGCCGCTCCCCCAACACGACCCTCACCCGCGACAACGTGACGCGATTGCATTTCGTCAACTGCCAAGAATGCGAGTCCAGCCGCTCCGTCGCGGTCATCCGATCGGGGTTTCATGCCACCACCCGCGCCGATCGTCGGGCGGCCAAGAAGTAGACACGTTAATACAGATGAGATGTTGGATGATACACTGCGATGGTGGACACCCGATATGTGTGTGGGGTGATGGACAATGGATCGTGTAGTTAAGTTGGTATGGGACTTACCTGTACGTCATTGAATGAAGGCATGAAGTATAATGTCGAGAAGGAGAGGGCAGCATGCAGCGTGGATGTAATGCAGTCAGAGAGAGCATGATGATTGTGGAGCATGTCGCGAAGAAGGGGTAGCGTGCAGCGTGGATGTGATGCAGCCAGAGAGAGCATGATGATTGTGGAGCATGTCGCGAAGGATGCAGCGTGGATGTGATGCAGTTCATGGTACGCTACATGACCAGGGAGTGTCTTGGTGAGTCACGCACTGACGTGCACAAGGCGCTGTCAAGATCCAGATGCGGACCATCCTGGCGTGTCGTTGGGTGTTGTGGGACTGGACGTTCAAATGGAATATGGCGTTAAATTGCGTGGTATATGGCGTTAAAACGATGGGGTAACGGTTTTTTTTCAAAGTTTTTTTTGGCGATGTTACTTCGCCCCCGCCTTTCTTTTCAGCAAATTGGATTGGTCCGTCGACAAATTGAGCGATTGTGATTGGTCAGGTTTACGAACGACCAAGATCGACATCCACGATGGTAATGTCCAAAGTTGGTAATACCCGGTAGTAGTATGTCCAACTTCAAAGTAGCAACATACTCCAACCAATAACTGTTATTAATAAGACTAAGCTTAGTATGTATAGTACTGTACTCGGTTTATAATTGATGCACACGTTGTAACTTGCTGTTCACTCAAGATGAAAGCACAGCATTCTGCCAGGTAGTACAGGCCAGTGTTGGACGACCTGCCCTCACATGTGAAACTCGTGATATGGTCGTTTGTAAGCAAGTCCACTTGTATGCCAGGGTTATGCTACCTCGAGCCACATGCACAGACATTACTTTTCACTCATGTCTTCTTGACATGGGTGGGACCAAATGTATTATGTAATGCACTGCTACAGTATCGACAACGCCCATTGTGCAGCCTTCACACAGTGTAGTAGGTAAGTAGCCCATGTATATTACATAGTGTATTGTACTTACTACTAGTAGTATATGTTTCAACGGGGCATTGTATACGCATGTGTAGTTAGTTGAATGAGGAAGAATGCCGAGGTAAGCTTATAACGGCAATTTCGAAGTTGGGACGAGTATGCACCGCCTTTCAGTTCACTGGAAGTTTCCATCCCCCCCTCGCTCGCCCTTGTCGTCGTCCACACGTCTCACTACCGATATACTAGTAGTATGTAGTAAGTAGTACTGTATAGGCTGACATAGTCGTACCCTGGCTCGGTTCTTGCCGCCTTGACAGGATCGGTGTCGCACGTTGACTCGAGAGCGGCGTCGCAGCTCAGTGGTTTCAATTTCGACCAATGAGAGCGCACCAGTGAGCGGTTGAGGTCCAGAAATAGATCCCGAAAACTAGCTTTTGTGGCGTTCTTTTTTTGTTTTGCATTCGTACTACAAACTACCACGATGCCAACTATCAGCAGCAGGTTCCAGAAGCGTCGGATCATGGCATTCAGCGTGCAATCCTTTGCAGAAATCCATCGAAACGGTCCAAAAGAACCACGAACGCCTGTATCCTAACTTACTTACTACCCATGTACTACTTACTACATGTGTATCCAGAATGTCGAAAGGTTGCGAAAAAATCGGCTGAAAAAAAGAAGCAAAAAAACCTCAAATGGCCAGTTTTCCAACGTTATTTGTTGTTGCATGTACGTCGTCATGTTCTTGGTCTCATTTTCCAATTCTTGGAGCGATGGCAACGTGTCGATATGTACAGGTGCGGCCGCTGGCGCCGCCAGACGTGATCTTGTGCCGTGACCTGTGCACGGACATGGACGTAGTGCTGAAGCGGAATGAAAGCACCCCCGTGGACGCCGGCGTCGAGTGTGCGATCTACCACATGCTCCATGCCGCAGGAGGACACCAGAACATTCTGCCCCTTCTCGAATGCATCCACGACGACGACTCGCACGTGTGCCTCGTGCTGGAGTACTGTCCGAACGGCGATCTATTCGACCTTGTCCTTGCAAACAAGCGCATTGGCACCCACATGTCCCTCGTGTACCTCGAGCAACTCTCGTCGGCGGTTGTGACACTCCACGCGCTCGGGTACGCGCACGGCGATCTGTCCTTAGAAAACGTCCTTCTTGGCCGGGACATGCAAGTTCAACTCATGGATTTTGGCGCGGCGGTTCCGCTCCATGTTCCTACGACCTGGGCTGGTGGCAAGCGCAACTATATGGCGCCGGAAATCTTCACTGGATTGCCATGGGACCCCGCGGCTGCGGACGTGTGGGCCCTTGCGATGACGTTCTTTGCCATGCTCACGGGTGACTTTCTCCTGGACGACTCAGTCGTTCGCGACCCGATCTACCCTATTCTCGTTCAACAAGGCTTCCGCGGCGTCCTCCATCATATGCCGCAGTGGGCAGCGCTTGTTCCCGAAGCCTTCGTGCCGCTCCTCGAGCAAATGCTTCTAGTCGACCCGCGCGCGCGCCTCTCCATGACGTCGGTGTTGCAGTACGCCAAATTTCTCTTGGCGCTCCTCCTCCATGAAGAGTCTGCGTCGTTGCGACCACCCTCGCCGACTCGGTCGCATTCCCCGCGCCACAAGATCATGCGTCCTCGGACGTTGTATCGATTCAACGATATTTATGCGCGGATTCCTGCCGCCGCCACGACACCCGCGTTTATCCGTTGCATCTGAATACTTCCTTATTTAAAATGATATTCTATAAATGAAACAAATGAGTCTCGTCATTTTCATCGGTATTGCACAAGACGCATGGCGGTCTGGGGGCGGCGCGGTGGCAAGGCCGTCGCCGCCGACTTGTCGGCCTGTCGCCTCTGCTGTACTTGTTGGTGATGCTGTAGTTGCAACTTGGACGGAATCGCATGATGGTACCCCAAGTGCCCCGTCGCATTGAGCATGGCCTCGGTGGACGTGCCGCTAGTCGTCGAAGGACGCCGTCGCGGGGTCGGCCGGTACCCCGTCATGGGTGCGACGACGCCCAAGCCCACACTCTTGTTGAGGCTGAGTTCCCATCGTGATACTCCCAGGGATTTCCATAGGCGTGGGGTATCAGCTGCCCGATACCAGCGAAAGCACACTTGCATGGCCATGCCCAACGACCTACGAGTGACAACCTTGAAAGTAACTTGACCAAGCGATGACGCAGAGTAGTAAGTACCTAGTGTCGAGGAACGAGAGGATGGCTTCGCGGTGAGCAGACCGCAGGGCCGCGTCGCCATCGGGAGCTGAATAAGGAGAAAGAAACCAAGTCTCAACAGTGGTTATGAGAGTGTAAGGACACCTGTGGATCGAAGCACCAGGCGGCGGCGGGCGTTCTCTTCTTTGGCTAATGCAAAAAGCGATGACGAGATTGTTGTCTAGTATAGACAGACACATATAGATGCATGTATGTATGTACATGTCGTAAACTCGAGACGAGTGACGTCGTTGGATGCTTCGTCCTCGGGCAGGTCGTCGAATCGATTGCGGCGGGTCATGTCGGCCTCCCGACGGAGTAACAGCCGCACCACGCGAAAGTGGCCTTTCCGGGCGGCATAGAAAAGCGCGGTTTCGACATCCTACATATCTCTCGCTTGTTCATGCAACCAAACGGGACGACGGGGTACCTTGTTTACGGCGTGGATGTTGGCTCCCTTGTCTAGGAAACACTCGACGACGTGCACATGACCACCGTAGCATGCCAAATGCAATGCCGTTTCGCCCATCTACAGTCGCGGGTACGTAGGTATATCGCATCAACGAGATGTATGGACATTACGTCGTTTGTGTGGTCAACGGGCCATCCAAACGACAGCAACAGTTGCGCGATTTCCAAGTGACCTCGGGACGAGGCATGATGTAGTGGGGAAAACCCTTTCTACACGGGCAGTTCAACCTTGACAAGTGTAACACAGGGAACCGACATACCATGCCGATGCAGTGGGTGGGCGTGAGCATGCGCTGATGCAGCAACAAGTAGATCGCCTTTGTGTTGCCTTTCTCGGCCGCAACGAGAACTTGCTGCGCCAACCGCTTGCGCTCTTTGCCCATCAATCCCGTGAGTTGGTCGGCATATTGTTCGTTCTATCCCAAAGCAGCGTGAATAATGTCCACGTTGTCCAACGCCCAGCCACAACAGGCATGTACGTACGGGTCTCAACTCGTTTGGCGGCAACGTTTCTGGTGATTTCAGCTTGCGTGGTGGTGCCTTGGTCTTCTTCCTCGTCAATGTCGCGGGCGCTGCAGACGCTGTCGTGGGCCGCGGTAGATCGTCGGCAAACAGGAACAGCGCCGCCGCCGCGACTTGATTGCTCCCACGCAGCACCATGAGTTGCCACTGCTATATATAGTGGGCGTTTCGGAACTCCTTATCACGGTCGCGCCCTTCCTCACGCTTCATGCATGCTCCTTCTCCATCTGCAGAAGCATGGTCTGCATGTTTCCAGCAGAAAGGACACCTTGGAACGTCTTCATTTCACCGACAGCTTCTTGAAAAGTGCGCGAAAAGCGCGCCAACGGGCTCGCCACCATTGTTGTTGTCCGGATATATGATCCGGATAAAAGGACCATCTTGAACAGGTTGGTTTTCATCAGTACTTTCAAATGCATCAACACTCTCAAGGTCGAGGTCATGAGCGCAAGCAGGCGACGACCGTGCGGCCTGCACAGGACGAGCTACCGGGTACACTGGCAGACGTGGAGGAATGCGTCGCTCGCTTGAAGAAGCACGTGCATGACGCGTCGCTTCCGCAGTCCATTCGCCGCAAGATTCAAACGGTGCATGCGGCGGTCCAAAGTTTGCGCGCGAACGTCGACTCCGAGTTGGTGCACATACGCCCGACAACGTCTCCCCCGGAACGAAGCGAGTTCAACTGCGTGGAGATAGCGATGGAAAAACTTCAAAGGCGCATTCGTGCGGACAATCGGAAACGCATTGTCATGGACAGCGACGCTACCGAGTCGGAACCGGAGCAGGTCGTTGGTCCATCCGTGCCGATTCCACTCGTCAAGATGGAAGATCCGACTGTTAAAGACGAACGTAGTGGTGCGGAAGAAAGCGCAACCACCACTGTGGCAAAGAAGAAGCGGAAGCGCATCATTCGCATGAACGGATCAAGCGACGAAGGAGGAAAGGCGCCGCCGCATAAAGTCAAGGTGCCGCCACTCTTACCTCCGCACAACGCGCAGCAACCGTACGCATCCGACACTGAAACGGACGACAACATGACGACGACTGCTCCATCGCCGGCATCCAGAGCGACGAACGACCAGAACTCCACCACGTCCCCCTCAACCTCAAAGATCGCCCTTCCTCGTACTCCGTCCGCTGATGTGATCGACAAGCTTGACGGCGGAGATACTTCGATCCAGGAACCCGCGACGCCACCACCACCGCGACCGCCTCTTGTCGTCGCCAAGACCCGCCATGATCCATCCACGTACTCAGGCGATAGTTCCGACGATGAAATCGCCACGCCGACGCCGTTCGCTGCGTCGGCACCACCGCAAACCAAACCCCGCACTCCCCCTCGTCAACCACCCCCTCCGTCCATTCCATCCGCCGCACCTCCCGTCGCTCCAGCGCGTTCGCCATCCCGATCGACCACAGGCGGCGCGGCGGCTTCTTTGGTCGCCGCCACATCACCCGCCCTTCCTACCCAGCGTTCGGAGAGTACCGTCCATGCATGGACGAATCACGTAGACATGTCCATCTCGGACGACGACGACGTCATCGAAGTAAGCCCGTTGCATGCTTCCCCCCCCTCTGTGAACCCCGCGATCTCATCTTCGCCTTCATTGACCAAGCACTCGACGACGACCCCGCCTCCCAAAGCCCTTGACACGACACCGAACTCTGTACGACCACCAGGTCCCAGCAATGCAGCCTCCCAGACGTTCCATGCCAGCGATAAGAAGATCACTACCACCACCATGCCGCCACCGCCGCCATCCAACCCACCCACGACGCTGTCGGACGCCCTCGTCGCATCGGCCATCGACATCTCGTCCACTGACTCGTCCGATGACTCGTCGGATGAGAGTCCGCCGCGGAAGCGCGTGTCCGTGTGGCACACGACGCCCATGGCGAATGCAAACGCGGCCTCTTCAAGTGATGACGACGCCAGCAGTTCCGACGGCGAAGATGCCGCCGCCGCCGCCCGTACCCATCACAAACAACAACAACCACCACCACCCACCAAGACACTGCTGGCGTCGCCGCACCGAGGTCCGCTGTGGCCCAACTTGGACAAGTTCATTGGGATGCTCGTGCACCCGACGCGGCCGCGGCTGCTTCCACACAACTTTATCTTTCCCAAAGCCTATGCGTCCGTGGCGCATTACATGAGTGGACTGCAGCAAGCCATCGTCGAAGAGTGTCTATGCGCATTTGCCAACCACCCGCCGCCATCCCGCCATCCGCCGCTCGCGACCGTCACCATCGCCGCCGTGTCCACGTACAACCCATCGCTTCAATCCGTGCTCTTTCGGCTAACAAGACCCAAACCACTCAAAGCAGCTTCTTCGTCCATGTCTAGTCTGCTGCAATCCCATGACCTGCTCGTACTGTATCCATCGTCAGCACTTTCTCATCCTTGTAAGAAGAACAAGGCGACAACAACAACAGCATGTCCTCCAACTGGCATCCCCGCGATTGCCCTGTCGACTTCCCTCACTCAGGATGACCTTGTCGTGCTCGTGTCGCATGTCCACTCGATCGACACCCTAGCGTCATTTGACGTGCATGTCGTGGGAAACCTCACCACGGGCTCCCGCGAGTACCAGGCGGCGCTGTCTCTGTCGTCGTGGCCGGCGTCGCTGCAGACGATGGTCACGAGCGCCGTCGTGCCCACGTCCGCGTCGCTCGGCGTGCTTCCATTGACTTTGATTCCATCCCTGCAACAACACTTCAACCAACATCAGTTTCAAGCGATCCAAAGGGCGATTCACCAGCCCATGACGCTGATCCAAGGCCCCCCCGGCACGGGCAAGACACACACACAATCCTCGGCATCATCCAGTAAAACGATTATATTTATATCTATGCGAGATATGTTACGATCCGGTAGAGCGTTGCTGCGACAGCCGTCGAGCCGCCGCGCCAAGATCTCGGTAGGCGCCGCGCTCGGTGTCAACACGCAGCCCAATATCCGACTGCTCGTGACCGCGCCATCTAACGCCGCTGTCAACGTGATCATGCACAAGATCCAGGCGCAGATGCCTGACGTCGCCATGGTGCGGCTCGGACAGCCCACGTCGCCGTCCCTAGTGTGGCTTGAACACCTGATCGACCACGACAAGGCCAAGAACGTCAAGGGACACGACTGGAGTTCCCAGGAAGCCCGCGAGCGGCTGCTGGACGGCGCGCAGATCGTGTTTTGCACGCTCAGCGGCGCCGGGTCGTGGAGTATGTGGAACCCCAAGCGCAGCCATTTTGATGCGGTGATTGTCGACGAAGCCGCCCAGGTATATATATATACGAAACCCTCTGGTAGGCATATATGTTTCATATATACCTACCAGATGCGGGCTGTTATAGTGTCATGATGGCTTGTATATATTTATGTATATGTATATTGATATATGAAGGATGGGGGATACTGAAACACGATATATATATTTATGTATATGAGTAGGCCACGGAAGCGAGTAGCTTGATTCCACTGCGGTTTTGTGCCCAGCGATACATTTGGGTGGGCGACCACAAGCAACTGCCCGCCACGATTATGTCCACGGTACAATAATATTGTGAACGTCATATATATATATATATATATATATATATATATATGTCCCTGCATGGAGACATGCTGCTTGATGATACATGCCTGGATTTTCGTTGGTCTTATCTCAACTTTACACATGCAAGTCCAAGGCATTGGACTAATTTTGTTTTATTTGGACATTAGTAAGATATATACATGTACTAAAGTAGTTTGATTTGAGTATGAAGGAGCTATATACATGAACATATTTATATAAGTATAATAATGATAAAAAGTGGATATTTTATCAAGTATGAATATTATTTTTATTTTTTTTATACCTAGAGTTGTGCATTCTTTACTGTTAATTTCAAGTTCACAGTTCTATCGTTTTGAAAGAGTTAAGCTTGATATGTATATTAATAATACTAGTACATAATTTTATACGGTATGAATAATCATGTATAAAATTATATTCGTTGGTTTTGCATATGTGCGGTCATTTGGCATATCGCGAAACATCCGGATAATTAACCGTAAAAGTTGGCTGTACAATGCCATGATCTAAGGGCGATGTTCGCGATCGTAGCGCCTCTGTCGCATGGAGTACGACCACAGCTTGTTCCAGCGCCTCGTCAACAACCCGGTGAACCACGTGGTGTTGCTGCGGGAACAGTATCGCATGCACCCCGACATCTCGTCGCTGCCGTCGCGGCTGTTTTACTCGAACGTGCTCGTCAACGCCCGCCGCGACCCCCCCGACACGCCGTACCACGCGGCGGGGTTCCCGCCCTACATGTTTTACGATGTCACAGACGGCCTCCAGTCGCGCGTTGAGACATCGTACCGCAACGTGCCGGAAGTGACGTTCATCGCGTCGAGACTCGGGGAACTGCTCAAGGTGCCGTACGACTTTAAGAACAAAATCGGCATCATCTCCCCGTATAAAAGCCAAATCGAAGCGATCAAGGATGCGCTGCATGCCGCCAAGTTGACCAAAGCCAAGATTGAAGTGAACACCGTCGATGGGTTCCAGGGCCGAGAAAAGGTACAAAGCTTGATGGAGAAGATAGATGGGGGGAGGGTGTTGACATGACGTAGGAAATCATCATTGTGTCTTGTGTGCGCACCCTGCGCAGCGGAGACAACAGCTTCTGGGGCGACGTCCGCCGCATGAACGTGTCGCTCACTCGTGCTATCTCGAGCTGCTGGATCGTCGGCAACTCCAACCTGCTCAAGGAGAGTCCCGCGTGGGCCGAGCTGCTCGACGACTCGAAGCGCCGCAACGTGTACCAAAAGGTGGTGATCCAGCCGCCCACCAAAGTCATTCCGCCTCCTCATGCGCCGTGAAACCCGCCGCGTAACGGTCAACAACATTCTTCCCCCATTGAGTATACAATAGTCAAGATTCAAAGGAAAATGTGACCAACATTCCGCACACTTGACGATACAATAGTCAAGATTCAAAGGAAAATGTGACCAACATTCCGCCTGCTGGACGGACGGTATACAAACCGCAAGACACTGAAACCAAGCCGGATATCCATGTATTTTAATGTCCCCACATACAAATAGCAAGTAGATGTGTAACGAAATGCATTTTATTGAAATGCACCAGTCAAAACGGTCGAAATCAACGACGTGGACTTGTTGTCGGCGTTACATTGCTCAGAGTCAAGTCGTCGTCGTCGCCGCCGCCGCCTTCTTCTTCGCCTCAACTGCCGCCGCGACCGTCTTCTATTCCACCGCGATTAGCGATATGTGTCGCATGACTGTGTACAAAGGCCTCGGGCTGGACCAGTCCATACTCCTCGCAGACCTGATCGTCAAGCCCAAGCACAGTATCATCCACCAAAGCTACGACTGCCATGAACGTTTCCACAACACTGGCCTTCCGTCGCAACTGAACGCAGATGGATTTGGCATCGGGTGGTACGCCGAGAAGCTGTACAGCGCCAAGACCCGTGACGAGTTGCTCTTCAGCCCCAAGCGTCGCGTGTCGGACTCGTTCGACGGCGTCGTCATCCCCCGCAACAAAGAATACGAGACGCCATGCGTGTTTACGAGCATCTCCCCCGCATGGAACAATCGCAACCTCGTCCAACTCGCCGACAAAGTCAGGTACCACGGCATGGACGATTCCCATTTTCGCATCAACTTGACCCGTCCACGTAGCTCGCCGCTGTTCTTTGCGCATGTCCGCGCCGCGTCCATCGGTTCCTTGACGTCGGAAACCAATTGCCATCCATTCACGTTTGACAAGTACTTGTTCATGCACAACGGGTACAACATCCATCCATCCATCCGTCCATCCATCCCACTTCCTCCATGTCCATCTTCGTAGAGGCGTGTCAGACTTCCACAAGATCAAGCGCAAGCTCATCGACAGATTGAGCGATGTCGCATACAAAATGATTCGTGGCAGTACGGATTCCGAGCACTGGTGCGTATTTCTGCGACATGATGCGAATGACGTGATCGCGACGAATAGACTCACGATGACTTGTCTAGCTTTGCGCTGTTTCTGACGCATTTGGAGGAGCTCGGGTCCCTCGACCAAGAGTTTAGCGGCAAGGACATGCGCCACGCCTTGGGCACGACCATCCGTACCCTCAACCACCTGTGCCAGTAACTATGACTTCATATTTGTTGTTTTTTCAACAGCGTCATGATGACTCGTCTAGTGCCGCCGGGATCACGGAGCCGTCGCTGCTCAACTTTGCCGTCACCGACGGCGACACCCTCGTTGCGTACGTACGCACTTGTGTACTTCTACCTTCGTTCTTGCATGTACCATGAACATGGAAGACTGACCACGTGATGGCGTAGCACGCGGTATGTGAACGTGTCGTCGTCGGCGGCGGCGTCGCTGTACTTTTCATCGGGATCGCGATGGATCCGCAGCGTGGAACGGCCCAAAGAGTACATCATGCAGCGGGTACCAAAGATATATATATATATATATATATTGATATATATTGATATTTGGCAATAGCACAACAAGGAAGAAAAGGTGTTTGTGATGGCGTCGGAGCGCTTGTCCAATGAACCGAGCGACTGGCTTGAGGTACGATAATTGGAGGACGACATACATTCATGAGAATGTAGGTGCCGAAGAACTCGATTGTGACCGTGACCAAGGAAATGAACATTCAAATCTGCCCGATTGTGAGTCTCCTTGGCGACGAACCCGAGCCAGAAGTCGTGCCGCAATCCCCCGCCGTGCTGGAGAAGTCTTAACAATAGTACAAGTCGTCCTTCCTCCATTCATCACTGCTTTGGTCCAGCATGCTACTATACTCGTTGCATTGTTTGCATACACAGTCGCCTCTCCAAGGGTTCGAAGCACCACCGTTACATCATACAGAGTCGCCGCTCGGAGGTTTCGACGCGAGGCAGCAGCACTGTTTCCTTGACGCACTGTCCTTCCACGTCCCACATGAAGTCTATGTACTAGTACACCATGTTGCTGTGGACGACAGGTCGGTCATGTGGCGGTCGGTCGTGGTCGTCGGCTGGTGATTGGCGCGTTTTGATTGGCTCGGGCCGGGAGTTTTAATTAAATTTCATCGACTAGAATAAAATCATCTTGTACATTGTATACAATGTCTAATCGACACTTTGCCCAGCTCGTACCAGGGCCACGATGGGCACAAAGGGCAAACCGTTGGTTAGTGCACGAGTCGAACTTTGCGGGACCTGCACGTTGGTTGGTGGCCAAGGGTGGTGCGTCGATTGGCATCGCGCTAGCAATTGATCATTGCAAAAGCCTGGTTTACTTGCTTCTTTAGGTACGTACGTACACATGCAGCAGCAGCTCCGTCGTCGACATGATGATCGATCGGTGGGAATGACATGACGTGTTATGTTGTATAGAAATGGCTGATGAAATTGCTCTTGCGCGTGAACGCCTCGCCGCCAAGTTTGGCGACGTGCGCACCGGTGGCAAAGGCTCGGTGCGACGAAAGCACAAGGCCGCGCACAAGGTCCAACCTGGTGACGACAAGAAGTTGAACGCGGCGTTGAAGAAGCTCGGCGTGACCCCCATCCCTGGTGTCGAAGAAGTCAACTTGTTCAAGGCCGACGGCCAAGTGATTCACTTTGTGCAGCCCAAGGTGCAAGCGTCGATCGCGTCCAACACGTTCGCCGTCTCGGGCGCCGCCTCCACCAAATCGCTGCAGGAATTGCTCCCCGGCATCATCAACCAACTCGGCCCGGACAACCTCGCCAACTTGAAGCAGATTGCCGAAACCTACACCGCCATGCAGCGCAACGCCCAAGGCCACGCCGCCTTGGACGACGAAGACGACGACGACGTCCCCGACCTCGTCGAAAACTTCGAAGATGTGAGCGAACAAGACTAAGCGGCTCCCCCTCAACGAGGGCGATTTCGGCACTTCGTAGGAACCATATTTCTTCAATAGTACATGCAGACAGTACGCCAGGCTACAAACACTCTTGTGTTCCTTCGAATCACGCAATGAACGGGTACTAGTAATACTAGTAACTGGTTACTAGTACTACTAGTAGTAGTGAACGGGTACTCCTAGCCATCAACATGACGTTCGCCATGCCGGTACTACTAGTATTCTGTAGTCTATTAGTATGGCTAACTAGAGTATAGTAGATAGACCTCACTGATTGCATGTGCAGTACAGTAGTGTCCTGTTCTAGTACGGCTAGCTAGTAAGTTAGTAGTAGTATTCATAGTAGGCCGCGCTGAGTGTCATGAGAGTACTATTAATACTAGTGTCCAAGGCGTGTACTGTATCTCATAAATCACTGCGCATGTCGTACATACACTAGGTGTACTGATTACGGTGCTGTGTTTGGTCTACGCGATGCGGCGCACCGTGCCTTCCCCCGTGGCGCCGTCAAAGAAGAAGTAGTTGTTCAGAGGTTCGTCCTTCTTGGAGATGGCTTTGATCACTTCCTGGCCGAGGATGCCTGCGACGATGGCGCACACCGGCACCACGTCCGCCGTCGCCGTCGCCGCGAGGGTCGCGAGCTGACTGCGGTCGAAGAAGCCCGGGAGCCCCTGGCTCTCCAGTCGAGATGTGGCCAGCGCCACGAACTGGTCGGTCGTCGCAGCAGTGGGGAACGCATCGGTCGACTCCAGAAACTCCAGCAGCACTAGAGCATCCCGTCTTCACCACATGTTCAAGCAGATGACCAGGGCGGTGTACGTACGTTGATACGCAATGTAGGGCGCGGGGGTGACGGGGCTGCGCTTCCGCGTCGGTTGGAGGGAGCTCCATGGAACGAGCGCCGATGTTTCCAGCGACGCGTACGACACGTTGAGGTCGGGTGTGTCGGCTGCCACGGATGGGTCAGCGGATTGGACGTGGCGGCGGTAGACATGTTCGCTCCCCAAGTCGCAGAAGAATATGCCAGACAGACCAAACGCATGCCCGGCGTAGAATGCAATGTTCTTCTCGCGACTCAAGGTATCGAGGTACAGCTACTCGTGATGACGAGGAAGGTGTCAGTGAGTGGGACGATGTGAAGTGGGAAGACCTGGAGCTTTCGAGACGCCGACAGGGTGCAAATGACGCTGTACTGGTCAAAGTGGTCGCGGGGATAGTACTCGAGCGGCTTGGTGATCGCGTTCACCTTGACAAGCGGGTTGAGTTCCTGAACTGCCGCCAAGCACGCTTCAGCGCGCTACAACTTATGCGTTAGAGCAGAGGACAAGGGACAAGCGATGCGTACGTTGAGTCCGATCTGATCTTCAGTGAGGAAGAACTGAGTGTCCACATTGGCGCGTGTGACCACGTTCACGTCGTGCAGGGTGACGGACATGCCGGAGAGCACGAGATTCTTGGCGACTTCCGACCCGAGCTGGGTCATTCCACTGATGAGAATATGGGAGTTCTGCAGCCGTTTCTGCGCCTCCACTCCCCACAAACGCATCTGGCGATCATAAATGGCCGCTTCCTGCGCCGTCAGTTCTCCGTCCGCGCCACCGTCCTGTTCGTGCTTTGCCATGGTGTGCGCGCCTTGTGCAATCAATTCAAATGTTGGTTGGAAACCTCTTAAACCCGATCATGACAAGGATGTTAATCACGTGTGGTAGGAGTATGTATTTTAACAGTATATTTATTTAGGAAGGTAATATAAATTATGATAGGGACAGTTGGCAACATGCATTGTAACAGGTTTGGACCGTGGTTCAACCGGTCATATTTGTTGTGGGAGGTTATATCAATTGTGACAGGGATTGGCTGACCGACGGCAGTTCGTGGTGGAGTTTTTGAGGGCTGCTGCAAACATCATGAGTTCCAAGACCACGACCCCCGCAACCGACTCGACGGCCTTACTGGGCGCGGCGACCATCTACGGCACAGAATGCGCGGGTGTGAACAAGGAGTACCTCGTGTGCAAGAGCAATGACGAGAACCCTCGCGCGTGCCTCGTGCCTGGGGAGAAAGTCACGGCGTGCGTGCTGAAAACGCTGCGGGTGCTTGAGACCAACTGCGGCGACGCGTTCACCAAGTACAAGAACGCGCTAGACTCGAACTGGCATGAGTTGCAGGAATGCCGCAAGGAACAAGCGGCCCTCGAAGCGTGTTACAGAGACTGGAAGCACCCCAAGTCGACATAAGGCCACCTGTAGTCCGTTGGCCGCGGTCTGCCACGAGTATGTCCGACAGCCCTGTCCTTCTCGATCCATTCTGTATGCATCATTATCTGCAAAGTGAATAAACTCCGTCACATTCAACCATGCATGCATATGACGTGTTTGTGTTGGTCAAAATGTCGTCGTCGCCCATCCTCCTGTCTAAGCTGGTTAAATCGACCGCAAAAAGCCGACATGGTCGGTGAGGACTGCGAGAAGATTCGCGGCGGTCGCGTCTTGCGCCGCGGCCACCTTGGCTTGAACGCCGCCCGCCGCCTCCGCCACCACGGGATGCGCACGGACACGGGGCACGACCGCCTTGAACTGCTTGCACACATGCTGACCACGGACGTTGAGCGCGACGTGCGCTTGAACGACCGCCTTGAGGCTATCGATGCACCCTTTCTTGTCATCCGCAGCCTTGGCCTTCTTCTTGGGCTTTACGACCTTGGCCACCATGGCCACGAATAGCAGCACGTACGGACTCAGTTGAAACGCCCACAGCGACGCCAGGGACAACCCCCACGTGGACAACAGCTGGGCCTTGTCGTCACCAATGTCGTCACCAATGTCGTCACCAATGTCGGATTCTACCAACGAGTCGAACACAGTGACGTGCACGAGCTGCGTGGCCAGGGTGTCCAGGGTGGCACTGGCGCTTGCAAAGTCGCCCGAGATGGCGAGCAGCAGCGCGTCGGCTGCCGTCTGCGACACTGTCCACAACGGTGTCGCAGCTGCGTGGATGTGCTGGAGGCTTTGCACCACGGATTTGAACGTGTCAAAGTGACCCTCCAGGACCTACAACCACAATGTATATATATGCACAATGTATCATGATATCGACTCAGTCGCACACTAGTAGCTAGCCAACTAACGAGATTCATTGCACATATACACACATACAGTAGCTGGCAGTATCACCAAAACCACCCGCATATAAATAAACTAGTGCAAAGTTTATACATGTAGTTAGTACCTCGGACGTGGCGCCGGCCGCAACTCCCGACAGAATATGGGGCACACATGCGCGGAGCTGGAGCCACTGGGCCAGCAACGCCGGGTCGGCACTCGTGCGATCACACGACTGCGTCGAGTTTGGTTCATACAGGTATCGTCCGTTCGTTGTCTAGAACGGTGTCACATATGGTCCATCTGCTCGTCAACTTGTCGCAGATACGATACACTTTGTATACATGTATATATATACCTCGGGCACGGGCGGTGACCACGTAACTTGGACTTGGCGGTGGTAGTTTTGAGATAAGCCACATGACGTGGCATCCTGTACGAGCCGGTCGAGATCAGGAAGAAGGGGCAAAGTGGGCTGGAGCGTCAACTGGGTGTGCAAATGGCTGGTCGAAGTGCGCGAGAGGTCGACGAGCGCCGAGTGCACGAGCTCGGACGTGGCCACCGCTAGCATCTGCGATCGCTTCATCTTGTGCAGCAGAAACATGGTCATGTCTTGGGCTTTGGAAAACACGCCTACAACAACACAGTGTCACATGTTCGTCGTCGTCGCATATCATTGGTGTGTCGTCGTCACCGAGCTTGTACGCGCGCGAGATAAACTCGGGCGTGTCCCGCGCCGTGGTGCGATGCAGCGCCCGAACCGCGTCGCAGATGCGGCGGGCGTCGTCGACCTGTCCCAGTGCCAGCAGCGGGTCCAGCACCAAGTACGACAGCGAGTCCACTTGGATCTGCTTGACGTCGAGCTCCTGGTACCGGCCAAAGAAGGCGGTGCCAGCCCCAAGCAGCGCGTATATGCGACACAGTAGCAGCTTCATCTGAAAGTTGTAGGCGCTTTTCGCGAGCCCAGACTCCAAGCACGTGGCGGCGTGCAGCAGCCAATCGCGACGAGATTTCGTCTGCGACACTGTATCAGCAACGTCGACGACGTCCACGAGCAACAACACTGTGAGCAGCAGCAAGTCGTCGGTCACTTGAACCTCGCGCTGGCCGCCCACGGCTTGGTGGTTGAGCGGTTGGTTGGCATGGTACTCGTCCAACATGGCGTCCACCCGCCCCAGCAACGCCTCGACCGACAGTGTCGCATGTTCGCCGAGGAAGCGCAGCATCTTGCGCGCCGTCAGCGCATGGCGAAACCACTTGAGTTGGTCGTCATCGCCCACAGCAGCGCCTTGTTGGTGGCAGGCCGTGGAGAGCCTCGCTTGGCACGCCGTGACCCACGCCGCCTTGCCAGAATCCCCCAGCACCCCCGCGTACCGCTGGAGGTCTGTCACGCAGCATGCTTTACTCGCAAACCGATCCATGTACGGCACGATGGCGGCGACGACAACCGCCGCGTCCAGCTGGTCCTGGTCATTGTTGTCTGACGACGACGAGTCAGTGGCGTGGCGAACGGCGACTTCGACGCCAGCGAGCCACGGACCACGGAGTTTGTCCCCGTGCTGCTGCTGCAGCGTGTCGATGGTGTGCCGCAGGTGCGCGTGCGCGGCAGCCGTGCCGACGTGAAACGTGGCGTCGATGAGGCCGACCCAGAACGCCCAGTCATCCGCTGCGTGGAACGTCGTGAGGAGGTCCGTGTATGCGGCGGTGGCCGTGTGCCAGTCCTGAATGTCGGCAGCCAGCGACGCCTCCAGCACCTTTCGGTCGATGGCTTGCATGGGTCCGAGCTCGATTTCGTCGTCGGGGACGCCTACAAGATGGGGGGGGGTATAGTATCATCATCATATGGATAGCTATGCCATAGACAAAGCTAGCTACCAAACATGTATACTGTGACACGGTGTGCATCATACAAAGGTAGGTAGGAATACCTTGGCCTTCCAACGCCCGAGGCTTCGCCGCGTCGCCGCCACACTCACTTTCCTGACGAATAAACTCATGGAATGCTGCCATGGCCTCGTGTGGCTTGTCTTGAGCCTGCAGCAGCTGCACCAAGAGCAAGCCAAGCTCGCCGTTCGAGTCGGCGGGGTGGTCGCGGAGGGCCTTTATGAGCATTTTGTCGGCCAAGTGCAGCATCTTCACAGGCAGAGACTTTTCCACGGTCACTTGAAGCAGCATGCTCAAGCACGCCCAGCCTGTAGGTCGCGGTCAAGTGACAACACATACGACGACAACATGATGATCGTACCAACGTATTGCAGCGAGTGGAATGTCTTGTACATTTTGAACGCGAGCTGCTGCTGCTTGGCCAGCGACAACGATCGAGTGTACCCAAAGAACAACTGACAATGCATGTCCTTGTTGGTTGGGTGCGCGACCGCCGCATGCTCGTACGTCGACAGCATCTCGTCCGGCACCCCGCACAGCTTGAACACTAGCTGCATCGTGTGCAACAAGTTCTCGTCCGTGGGTTTCTTGAGCTGCACGCGACGCACGATACGAAGAGCGTCGTCGACCTTGCCCGTGCGCTCCAAGCAGTGCGCCTGCAACACTTGCACGAGGTCGATGTCGCAGATCTTCTTTTGGTTGCACAGCTTGATCGCGTTCTTGTACTGTCGGCCGTCAATCGCGTCATAAATTGGTCGCAGCAGTCGCATCAACTACGCACAATATCATCAGTCTGCGAGACCATCCAGATAGGTTCTGCAGTTCTCGCCGTCGGCGTACCTTCTCGACGTCCGCCATGGTCACTGGTTTTTTTTTTTGCCTGCCGGTGTTGTCGTTGTGTTACCACAAGTGATGTGAACACATTATCCGGATACGTGCGATCATCCGGAATTATTGATCGGGTTATCCGGAAAATTGCGAATGTTATCCGTACATAAGGTGGAGTTTCCAATTAAGTGCGACCACTCGGACTTTGCGAACCAACACAGTATTGTCAGGACCTGCGGCGGCGATGAATAGCATGACGGGGTTCCCTGGCGTGTCAAGCCTAGTGGAGCAACTGGACAGTACGTTCGCACCTCATGACACCTTGATGGCATGTGACATCGTTTGCTCACGCTGCTGGATGACTAGAGCAACTGCTCGTGGTGTTGCGGGATGGCCGACATCTTGTGGGCATCATTCGTAGTTTTGACCAATTTTGTACGTATGCACGCACACGTCCATTCTTTGCCAGGACAAAGCGGCGATGCGGATGGGTGCCCGAGATGATGATCGTGGTTCTTCCTGCGTAGCAAACATTGTGCTGGAAGGCACATGCGAGCGCCACGTTGTCGGCAACACATACTGCGACATCCCATTAGGGCTGTACATCATTCGGTATGGATGCATTTCCTCGTTCTTGAAGCAATCTTTCTCAACATCATCTCCATGCTCACATCGCGCTTGTCCTTCAAGGGGGGAGAACATTGTGCTCATGGGCGAACTGGTACATTCGTTCTCGTTCATGTGCCCATGCTCACATGAATCATTGCGACAGGATCAAGCCAAGGAAGCCGAGGACGTCAACCTCACGCGCAAATCGGCGGAAGAGGTGCTCACGGCCGAAATGGAGCAGAATGAGCAAGGGCTGCCCACCGTGCGGGACGCGTGGAACTTTGACCATCCGTCGCAACACTAATCCCATTCTGTTCTTCGTTCCACGATCTTCTTGGATAGACAATAGTATGTAATACATAATACTAGTAAGTATAACGTTACTATAATATCCGGCAACAATACAAAAAATACTTGGAAATATTAGTTATCATAGCTCTTGATATACTATTTATTTCTGCTGTTGGAGTTTACTGTCAGTCAGCCATACCTACTACTAGTATTAACAGTAACGTTAGGTAGTAATAACAAAAGTCAGAAATATCTTTTTTCTGCGGTATACAGTATTTTATGTGTAGCATCAGTAGGATATATTTATTACAATGTATACATATCTCCAGCTCAAAACAAAATACTACTCCGACATACTACTAACGTTAGTATTTATTAAGATTTATAACTAACTACTACTATTAATAGTATACCGTTTACCCCACTACTGTAGAACATAGGACAGTATATATATATATATATTGTCAAGTCGGTAGTAGGGTGGCGCTCAATCAAATGAGCAGAATCACCAAATCGAAGGCAGACGACGATCGATCGACCAATCAAAACCCAGATTACAAATCCAGTAGCCAATCGAATCCATTCTTCGACCATTTCAACATCGAATTCGTGTGTGAATGAAATTAGTGTGACATAGGGTAATCGATCGATCGATAAGTTGGCGAATCAGCACAAAAGTCAGCCAAATATATTGGGTAAAAGGACAATATATTAAATGATCGTTTCGGCCACGTCGGCGGCGGCGTCCGCCATGTCATCGCCGACCACATCATGGACTGTCATGTGATGATGCGCATGGAGGTGGGCGTGGTTCATGCTTTCAATGTGCATCTGCATGAGGTTCTGCTGCATCATGGACGACGGATCGTCCGAGTCGTCGACGAGCGACTGCAGGTGCAACGCGCCCGTGTTGGCATTCAAGTGGTAGCGCGAGCAGAATCGGCGGTACCATCCGGCGCTGGCTTTGAACGACACCATGTTGTACTTGGGGGCGATCTCCAGCGCCTTTTTCCGCACAAACGTCGAGCTGAGTCGGGACTCGTGCGTCTGCATCTCAAAGATGAGCCGGTACAGCTCGTCTTCGAACGCGGCGTTCCCGAGCTTGGAGCCGCGCTGCCGCAGGTCCCGCACGTGCTTGTTGCCTAGAAGGTACCGCTTCTGGACCTCGCCCTTGTTCTTGCGCAACTTGCGGATCGCTGACTCGGAGATGCCGTACCGCAGCGCCAGGTCCACGTGGGTGATCTTGGCGCCAGAGTCGATCACGTTGAGGATTTCCATGCGCTCCTTGTCCGTGAGCCGCTTCCCCGCCCCGCGCTTCTTGGGTTCCTGGAGCGCCATGGTCGCCGACGGCGATTGAGCCACTGACAAGGCTGCCGCCTGGCGTGCCGCCAACGACGTCGACGACATCGCGGCAGCCTTGTCTTTGTCGTCGTCGAGCAACAGTTGTTCTACAAGAAGGACATAAGGTATGACTTTGGAACAACCTGCATACTAGCAGTCAGCTTCTTGTCCATCGTGATACCGCGGGCGGCGCGCGCGGCAGCGACCTTGGGCACCGCTTGAAGGGGAAGCTTCACCAGCACGTGGATACGCTCGTCCTCTGGCGGCACTTCAAAGTACTTGCGCAGCTTGGAGAACACGGTCATCTCCTCGACAAGGCCGCCTACATGCATCTGCAGCACGACCTGCGCCCCCGGCTTTTCCAGCTTCTGAAGGATGTTCAAGTCAAGGGGGTCTTGGTTGCGGCATCGGTACAGCACCAACTCGTCGGCTTCGATCGACTCGAACGTTCGCGGTTTCTCCTTCAAGATGACTTGCTTCACCTGGCCGACGAGGTCCGTCGCGCCTGCAGCCACCACGAACGGGTTCTCCTTCTTCCCCGTGCCCACGAGCAGACACACCAAGACAAGTTGCTGGTCCATCGTGTCAGCGTAGTAGCGTTGGTTTCTCCAAATGGAAGCTGACTTATTGGACCAAATTCAAAGTAGATGTGCATATACAAACTTCCAGTCAAATGCCGCGGCCGTGAAGACGGACCTCCATGTCCCTCGGGAAGCTTCGTGTCAACTCCATCATGATGCCGCCCCAAATTTCACTTCCTTGGCGCGCAATTGGATCTTGCTACTGGTTCCTCGGCAATGTGCGGCGGACTTCGTTGGCGCGCCATGTAGGTGCGATGTACCCCAAGGGGAATATACTTGGGTTTAGTATACTCATGGCTTTCCAGAGTGCGAAGGGTTGGGGCAAATTCAAATCGGACCAATCCGGACACGAACATCACCTTACAGTTAATTAAAAAAATTGATATAGAGTTTAAATATTATTGTGGATTTGATACAATTTGGGGAGGGGTAGGTGTCCACAACCGATCTGATTGGTTGAATTTCATTAAGATGGTTTTGATTGGTTGATAGTTTTGAGCTCTTCTGAAGTAGCCAATCAAATCGATTTAAATTCCAACGCGAAACCACGCCACAACACGAAATTTCACTCGAAAGCACAATAATACTTCGACGTATTATTTTGTACAAAATTGTATTTAAAACGATGGTTCAACCAAGTACGGATAACGGATTCTAAATAGCAACAGCTATACATTGTATTGATACGATCGTCTTCCAACATGAACGTAAAGCGATCAATGTAATGCAGTCAATATTCGATATACATTGTACCCACAAGTATGGACTACGGAGTACTTCAGTACCTGACGAAAGAAACAGATTGGAAGGACATTCCACCCAACATGCGGCGGTAACGTAGGCGGCGGCAACTTTTCGGCCAATCAAAAGATTGGAGCTGAAGTCGTGGAGGGGCGTCCTGAGGAATGTAAAATGCAAAATTATTTGATTTTATAGTCATAATGAAACTCAAGTTCAATTAGGTATAATCATTTGAAGGTAAATTTCGGTCTGGAATATTATTCATTGCTTCATAGCGTTTCAACAACGTTGAGAAATATTACGTGGTTCATGATATATGCATAAAATATGCTTACATATACCTGGCACCTACCTCTATCAACTGACCAATTCACAGTCAAGTTTGGACCATTTCAGAATTCGACCGATGAGCGGATCACCCAGGCGCGTGCTTATCACTGGTGCCGGCCGAGGCATTGGGCTGACCTTTGCCAAGCACTACAAGGCGCAAGGATGGAATGTCATTGCTGCCGTTCGCAACCCTTCTTCGGCCCAAGAGGTACTGTAGTTCCTGTCATGATTCATATCGCAACTAACAGCAGTAATTTGTCGTAGCTGATTGACTTGCAAGTGGAGAAGATTGTTGCCCTCGACGTGTCCAGCGAAGAGTCTGTCAATGCTGCGGCAGCGGCCGTGGGAAGGCAAGTCCCCATCGACTTACTCATCAACAACGCGGGTGTGTTGGCACGTGACACCTTGGAAACAGCCACGAAGGCTAGCTTGCTGCATCATTTTGAAGTGAACTCCATTGGTCCGTGGCTGGTTACGCGTGCGTTTTTGCCCAACTTGGAGCTGGCTGCGTCGCCGTCGGGTGTGACCATTGTGGCTCAAGTGACATCGCAAATGGGCAGCATCGAGCGCATTCTGTCGGGAGGGTACTACGCGTACCGGTCGTCCAAGACGGCGCTCAACAGCCTCACCAAGTCCCTTTCGGTGGACCTGAAGCCCCGTGGTATCACTTCCATCCTATTGCATCCTGGCTACGTCAAGACCGATATGACGGGGCACAACGGCGACATCACCACTGCCGAAAGCGTGGCCGGGTTGACCAGTATCTTGGCTAACGCCACCACCGAAGACAACGGTCGCTTCTTCCACACGGACGGCTCCATCATTCCGTGGTAGTGTCGACTAGTGTGAGCTGAAGTAGCGATTTTATTCGTGAGATAACGTTAACGTTATGGTCATTTTGCATTTCCATCGAAATCGAATCCGGATACCACCTGTCCATCAAACAGTTATCCGGAGATATCGTTCTGCTCAACAATTTACAATTGTATTGAAAAATTATCGCTTTTTCCTGTATTTTACACTAGAGGATGCGTAATAAAAAACTCTGGCATTCAAACACTTTGAAACAGCATATCCTGTCACATATAACATTTGAAACAACAATTTTGAATACAATTTTACCCCAAATATAGATAATTGTATATCATGATATTTGGTTCCACTGCACTTGGTATCAAATGGTAGAGGCTACACAATTTTCATTCCTCTTTATTATATACTACCTCCAGTCGGAAATAAACCAGCCATTTGGTGAAAATTGGTAAAATTGGTGTTTTGTTTGATGGTGTTATCTGATTTTGCCCTAAGTATGCTTGTTGTATACGTCTTAGTATGGCCAGTATCCCTGTGGAATATAATACCTTAAACATGAATACCCTAATGGATAAGTGGGTTCTACGCTATGAGTGTTGGTGGCTTACATGCATTCTATCTGCATCAACCAATAGTCAGCAACATTTTAAAACTATGTTTTGTACAGAATATAAATTACTGCAGGTGTATAATATAATCAGTATCAAATCGTGACAGATATCCGGATACATGTTTTCGGTCTCTATAACATAATTTATTCCGGTAAATTCTGAAAAAACCTCCAAGAATGAAATTGGCTGGTTTATTTCCGGCCGGAGGTAGTATTGAGTAGTACTTACTACGTAGTATTGATTTATACAGCTTATTGTATCTAACATGTAAGTAACGCTACTCCCATATATGATCCATCCGGATAATTATCCGTTAAGTTCCCTGGGTGCTGTTAACACGATGGCCATCGAGAGTGCCAGACAACGACGGGTGCTTATCACTGGCGCGAACCGAGGCATTGGCTTGACCTTGGCCAAACACTACAACGCGACAGGATGGAATGTCGTCGCTGCCGTGCGCAATCCCGCGGCGGCTTCCGAGGTACATGCATGCATCCTGACCATTCTTGACGTGTCCTTACAGTTGCATGCCCTTCAAGTGGAATCCATTCTCACGCTTGACGTGTCCAATGAAGAGTCCATTCATGCAGCCGCCTGTACCTTGGGCGCTGATGTTCCCATTGACTTGCTCATCAACAACGCAGGGGTGTTGACGAGAGACTCGCTTGCTAGTGCGACGAAGGCCGAGTTGCTCCGCCAGTTTGAGATCAATGCGGTCGGTCCTTTCCTCGTCGCTCGAGCGTTCCTTCCAAACTTAGAACTCGCCGTGGCTACGTCTGTGAGACCCCCGATCCTCGCGAACGTGTCGTCCATCGTGGGCAGCATGTCCCTCAACACAACGGGCCAGAATTACGGGTATCGATCGTCCAAAGCAGCATTGAATAGCTTGACCAAGTCGCTGTCTGTGGATTTGGGGGCGCGAGGCATCTGTTGCCTGCTTTTGCATCCTGGATACGTCCAAACGGACATGACGGACCACCGCGGCGACATGGACGTCCACGAGAGCATCGCGGGGCTCGCGGCGGTGTTGGCCAAGGCCACGTTCGACGACAATGGAACGTTCTTCCACACAAACGGATCGGTGATTCCGTGGTAACTTAGCGTCCAGTGTCAAGGGGGGTCCATGTAAATATCAGTTTAGTTCATCATCAGGCGTTGGATCCTTTGTGAGATGTCCATTCACATGATGTGCCAAGTTCAAAGTGATAGAATTCAGTGGCCATATTACGACCCTGTGTCAACGGGACATTTCAATGTTGTGAAGTTTCTACACATGCATGGAAAAAGGTTTACACCAAGTGCCGTCGTGACCACGATGGGCGGCATGTTGTGCATATGTCGGAGAGGGTGTAAAGAGTTTACAGAAGGGTACTACGTGTGTCGTTGCATCGGTGACTACTGTAGTTAGGGAATATGATAAGTGAAACACTGTAAGGATGAATGGATTTGTACGTTGTACTAGTATGCGAACCCAGATCATAACAATACGTGGGTGCCTATCGGCGCTGGGTACGAGCAACCGGTGTATGAGCCTGGAATTGGTCGCCGTTCACACTAGCAACAACTCTAGCCCCTCAATCTGTGCATGCATCAAGGGATACAACGATTTCGTTGCAGTCAAATCTGCCATCAAATCGAATGATGTGAGAGGTAAACAAACACGAGTGCAGGCAAGGGCTTCATTTCACTCGCTTACTGGCGGACTTGGCCCATGTCTTGGGCGTACTTTTCCTTGGCTTCGCGTTCCATGGATGAGTTCACGCGCCCCGTGGTCGGATCAGTGCCCAACGGCCGTCGGAACAACAAAATATGTGGTTCGGGCTTGTGTATGGCGTAGTGTACCCATCCTCTGCTTTGTTGGACACCTAATTGGCGCCATTCGGCTTCTGCAAGCAACCGGTCAGGCAAACTTCGCTGCATCTCCTTGGGGAGGATGACGTGTCTACCACCAAGCCGCCGCGCATGAACCTCATGTAGATCAAAGCATCTACCATGATCGACGCACATACCTGTATTCATGGGTGTCATCCACATACTTCTCCGAGTACTCGATGCGCGCCGCGATGTCGTGCGTCATCTTGTTCCTCCACCTTCGAAACTCAACTGAGCCTTGGACTTTGGGCGTCGTAGAAAACCTCTCACAATTGATCTCTCCTCTGGCCTTAGATACATTTTTTCCAAACATTCAACCCAAGCATATGAATTTCAAGTGAAATATCTCCCGCAGCATTAAATTCACTTCCTATCGCGCACAGTTTTGCGCGCCAAATCCACTGCCTCTCAAACTAAATATTTCTCGGAAAAGCACCATTACCAGTAAGCAGCATGGAGGAACCCGCAGTGAAGCATCTCCATGAGAACTCAGGTCCACGACGACACCACAAGGTTCTGCATGAAGGAGGTACGAATGTCTATGCATGTCATCAGCGCGTCGACGTCGTCCACATCTCAAACGCAGCAGTGGGGGACAAGCGCTGTCCACGAAACGAGACGAACAATGCAATGCGCCTGGGAGCATGCATGATTGATTCTCTTAGCCTTTGCTCTTCCCACATCTCTCACTCACAACGAACATAGGTCCCATGTATGTCAAGGGACGTCGACGACATGAACGGGTATAGTTTTCATTCGGACAATCGATTAGGCACAACTACATACTACAATCGAAGCGTCCTAAAACGCGGCGTTGCCGGGCCAACGGGGGAACGGGATGACGTCGCGGATGTTTTCAATGCCCGTGACGAACCGCACGAGACGCTCAAAGCCGCAGCCAAAGCCGGCGTGGGGCACGGTGCCGTATCGGCGCAGGTCGCAGTACCATCCGTACTCGGCCGGGTCATGGCCGGTCGCTTCCTTGATGCGCGCTTCGAGCACGTCCAGGCGCTCTTCGCGCTGGGAGCCGCCGATGATCTCGCCGATCTTGGGCACGAGCACGTCGCACGCAGCGACGGTCTTGTTGTCGTCGTTCAAGCGCATGTAGAACGCCTTGATCTCCTTGGGGTAGTTGTACAGCATCACGGGCTTCTTGTAGATTTGCTCCGTGATGAAGCGCTCGTGCTCGCTGCCAAGGTCGTCGCCCCACTTGGGCTTGACCGAGAACTTGCCCTTCTTCAAGTTCTCCGGCTTGTTGATCAGGTCCACCGCGTCCGTGTATGTCAAGCGGACGAATGGCGCCGCCACCGTCGCCTTCAAGCGCTCAATCAGTCCCACTTCCACGTTCTTATCGAAAAAAGCCAAGTCGTCGGCGCAGTTGTCGAGCGCATACTGCGCCGCGTACTTGAGGTAGTCCTCCGCGAGGTCCATGTCGTCGCCCAAGTCGGCAAACGCAATCTCGGGCTCGATCATCCAGAATTCCGCCAAATGGCGCGCCGTGTTGGAGTTTTCCGCGCGAAACGTCGGGCCAAACGTGTAGCAGTCCGACAGCGCGCAGCAATGCGTTTCCACGTTCAACTGCCCCGACACCGTCAAGTACGCGGGCTTGTCAAAGAAGTCTTTGGTGAAGTCGATGGACTTGCCGTCCGCGGTCTTGGGGAGGTTGCCGTCGCCGTGCTTGTTGAACAAGGTCGTGACCGCAAACATTTCCCCGGCGCCTTCGCAATCGGACGCCGTGATCAGCGGCGTGTGGATGTACAAGAACCCGCGTTCGTTGAAGAACGTGTGGGTCGCATGTGCCATGGCGTTGCGCACGCGCATGGCGGCCGAGTGGATGTTGGACCGCGCGCGCAAATGCGCGTTGTCCCGAAGGTGTTCCAGCGTGTGGCGCTTCTTGGACAATGCGTACGTCGCAGGGTCCGCCACCGTGCCGTACACGGTCACTTGGGTCGCCTTGACTTCGATCAGTTGGCCCTTGGCAGGACTTTCCACCACGTCGCCGACAATCGAAAAACTCGCGCCGGTACCGCCCGAGTTGATCACGTCTTCGAACCCAGGAATGTCTTGCTTCACCAACACTTGGACACCCGTGAAGCTGGAGCCGTCGTTGATTTCAAGGAAGACGAACGCCCCGGCACCGGCTTCGCGCAGCGTCTTGGCCCAGCCCTTGATGGTCACGGATTGCCCAACCAAGGACAGACCCGCCCCAAGGAGTTCTTTGACACGAACGCGGCGGCGCTTGAAGAGGCCTTGGATGGCCGTTTTGTGGATCGACAGGCTCGGGGCCGTGGCGTCGTCGACGGCAATGGGATGGACGTCGGCGATGGACAGCGCTTCCATCGTCTAATTTCGCAAAACCAAGAATGAGAGGCGTTGTGAAGGACGAAAAATAGACCAATCACACACGAGTCTGCATTCACACCACAAGATATTCGGTTGTTTAAACCCATTTAACCCCTTTCGATAAAACGTGTTGTTTCAACTATTGAATAGACTTGGATAATGTATACTAGTGACGCTGGTGGTGGAAACGACCAACATTCTCCTTCCCCATCGCGTGGCGCCACAAGAACGCAAAGCCCGAAGAATAATAATAGTATGCGACCCCGAGTATACAAATCGACAGTACTACCGGTAACAATATGCGGTAAGTCCAAATCAAAATACTTTGTGAAGTATCGACTCAGGAATCGACGCTATTATTGGCTAATCCAATGTCGAGTGGATTTGATTGGCTCATACAGAAAGAACAAACAAATTCAACCAATCAGAATTTGGAAATTTTTATAGCGAATTCAAAATATATTTCACTTTTTGTTCTAAAATCAACCTAGGCAAACTTGACCAAACTTCGGCCTTCCAATTTTGGGCACACGGTTCGGTTCGGTTGGATCTTAGTGAACTCGTCGATCGTGACTTCGTGGCGGGACGCTTCGGCGGCCGGGATGATCAACTGGATGGTGTTGCCGCCGGCCTTCTTGAACAGGGCGTACACAAAGTCAGGGAGGGCAAAGTTGAACACGTCCGTGTCGAGCACGGCGCCGGTGCGGTTGCCGCCGATCCATGTGAGGTCCGTGACCGCGCCCGATTTCAACCCGTTGCACACAAACACGTACTTCACGCCGGCGGAGTGGATGTAGATGCCGTTCTCCGCGACCAAGTTGTTGCCGCCGCACGACGCGACCATCTCCGAGTTGATTAGTTTCTTGAGCGAGAGGCCGTCCGTCCTCACGACCACGAGCACGTTGCCGAACGGGGACCACGAGATGAGGTCGCCGACGTTGATCTCACCCGCAGGCCAAACGCGGTCCGTACGGATGCCGCCGCCGTTCATGATGGCGACTTCAACATTGACGCGAGCCTTGTAGAAGGACAGGAACCCGTCGCTGATGTAGTTGCCGATGGGGGATTCCTTGAAGCGCACGGCGAGCTTGGTCAGGTCGGTGGGTTGGCAGAGCGACCCGACCACGCGCTGGTTAAGGTCCTTGATCTGGGCTTCGTACGTGGCAATAACAGCATCGAGCGCGGCGTCGGTGGGCAGCGCTTCGGTGATGGGAAAGTTCTTGTGCGTCATCTTGGTGAAGGCGGGGGTGGCGGCGGTGCCATTGGACTTGCTGCGCGCGGCGTACCACTTGAGGTGGGAGAACCAGATGTTGCGCATGTCCAGGTCCGACTTGAGGTACGGCGTGCCAAACTGGGTCTGGTACATGGCCGAGTGGTCGTGGCCGCCGTAGATCATGTTCACGCCCTTGACTTCCTGGGAGAAGACGTTGTCGTCGTCGAGGAACTGATGCGTGAGCGCGATCACAAAGTCGACTTTTTCCACATCCCGCAAGTACGCGACTTGCTCCTTGGCGGCCACAATCGGGTCGGTCCAGTACAGCCCCTTCGAGTCATCCTTCATGTCGTACATCACGCCAAAGAGCCCGACCTTGAACGAGCCCATGGTCGCGGACTTGAACGTCTTGACAGCGTTCGGCTTGGTGCCGCGCAGCAGCTGCTTGGTGCTAAGTTCGTACGCGTTCGCATTCAGCCACGGAAATTCCGACTTGGCGCTGACGTTCAAGAACCCGTCAATGCCAAAGTCAAACTCGTGGTTGCCCAAGCAAGCATAGTCGACGCCGATCGCGTTGTGCGCGTCAATCATGTGCAACCCCTTGAAGTATGCCGACCACAGCGACGGACTCATGGTATCGCCGGCGAACAAGACCAAGCTGTTCTCGTACGTTTTGCGCAGGGTCTTGGTCAAAGGCACGACATGGGATGGACCGCCCACGAGGATGCCGTTGCCGTCGTTGTATGGCTTCATCTCGTACACGTCGTTGTACGAGATGATCTGGAGCTCGGCGGTCGGGGGGCGCTCGGCAGCGCCGGCGCAGTTGTTGGCTTGTACAGTCGCAAACACCGCCGACACCACGGCGAGTTTGGTCACGTACTTGAACATGATGTGGACTTGGGACTTGACGGGCCAAAGTGAGAATGACGACAGACTGGTTGACTTGGAGCTGAGTGAGCACTCGGTATGTGTATGGGATGTCGAGTAAGCTAATGCCATCTGGTAATTTACCGAAGTTCGGCGGACTAACGCGGCAATGTATTTTAATTGCACTCGAATTACATACAATTGGTCGGTCAATTTGAGCCAATCGAATTAAAATACACTTCGATACTAAGCTTGGAGTCGACGCCCGTCAAATTCAACCGATATTAATACTAATACTGAGAATAGAAATATTGACTGCTTTTTCGCATAGCGTCGATGGACGTGGTAGTTTACTCTTTAGAGTACTATATGTACTAGTACTGCGTAAGAACGACAACAACGCAGCAGCGGCATGCGCAATATATGCCCACGGTGGCCAAGTGCATGGGTTTTTACTGGAGGAGTTGGATGGCTATTAGTTTGTACTGCGTAGTACTACACTGTATTATTGCTCGAGTCTGCATCTCCAATTTGGACCAATCCCCATGCCGTAATTTCGATACTTATGTCCCATTCGTCGAATTTAGCCAATCAAATTGGACGAGTATGCGGGATTGACACCCAAAGTATCGACGAAATACATACAGTACGCACTAATACGTTATTGGAATGCACATGTCAATTAATCACTCGCCTCAGATGTCACAGCGTCTTTGTAAAATCTCTTTTCTCAGCAGAGACGGACCTGCTTGTGTGTGCCATGACCTTGGCGCAAGGTACAGTTAGCACCGCGGCCAATCTAGCCATTTATGCATCTACTCCGACGACAAACAGTGTATGTAAAACGTTAAGTACCGTAGGCTTTCCTTGTTTATTTCATTCCATCCAGGTACCAACCACCATTGTCCCAAATGGGTGGTTGCCAATGTTCGAGAATCAAAGTACCCGACCACATACGTACAGTACGACAGTTCGCGTCAACACACTCTCATACTCTCCCTACCAAGGCTAAGGACCGAGTGCACCGTGCACAAGTCAAGCTTGTCGTTTTGAGGGTCTCTTGTTGGTAAAAGTGCGATCAACATGTGCAGTGCCTACATACCAGTCATATTCCAAGTAGGTCGTAGAAACGTAAACCATAGAAGTCGATGTGTGCATTATCCTGGTCCGTGACTCTCCTTCACTCAACGCCTACATACTTTATGCCCACACAGTTGCGACAAATACTTCCCTCCAGAGTTACAACTGGGTACGCTGCTTCACTTAATGGAGATACAGCTGTACAGTCAACTTCGACGAAGTATACCATGGTACACACAACACCTAGCATGCGTCATTTCCCAATCAGCATGAAGGGTCTCTTCGTTGCTGCTATCGTTGCCGCCGCCGGGGTGCAAACCATCGCGTCTGCCCCGTCCCAGGCCCCCTGCCCAACTCCGCTGGACGTATTCGCCGTGTACGACCTCGTACCCTGCAATGACCCGCCCCGCACTACGACTTCACCCACCCAAGTGCCGACTCCCGCGCCCTCCAATTCGACTTCTACTCCCACCACAACCACCCCTCCCTCACCCACCACGACCTCCACTTCCAAGCCCACTACGACTAAGGCGACCCCTACGACCTCTACTTCCAATCCCACCACGACCAAGGCGAGCCCTACTAAAACGACAGCCAGCCCCACACAAGCTCCCAACCAGTGCGGCCATTGCACCAACTGTTATTATCCCCTCTCTCAATCGTGTTATGTGGGGTGGACTGCCCGCCAATGCACCTCGGTACCTCAGCTCAAGTGGTGCGGATATTAGAAAGTAAACGATATTTTGTCATGAGTTTCGAAAGCAAACGGCTTGCTTCAAGGTAGCTGAGGAAATACTAGATAGTTACTCCCTCTGATAACATTTTAACTATTGTATACCGCTTACGCTTTGGGCGCAGTCTCCTCGTGTGTTCGTCTATTACTTCTTTTAACGCTAACGGTATTACTGTAGTGCACTACTACGTAGTAACCAGTCCCTTAACTCGTTGCGGAAATGATCTACCACTTGCGTAACGTAAAAAAACAATTTAACGTAAGGAAGAATGGACATTACTTTTGAGTCCGTTACGATATTTGAGTTTTGAGTTGTGATTCCAATAGACAAGTTTTTGCATTTCATTCACTTGATGGAATGGTCAGCATTACTTGTAAACAACCCCTATTATATACTTGTACAATACTGTATATGTCTGTCAACGAACAAGTAAGGCATTAATTAATTCATCCCAAGATCTAGTACTTATAGTACTACTACGTACTGTAGTACTATTTTAATAACGTTTGTACTACAGTACATAATGTGGTACAGCAAATATGAGGATACTTGTATAAGGGCATCTGCACCGGTACCAGCAGGTCCCAATAATTTTATTGGCCGATTTACTGGAATTCCAAAAAGACTAGTATAATAATAATTGTACGTAACGGGTAAACCTATCGAGCATTTCCAATCAATCGGAGGTAACGTTAGTACTGGTACCGTATGTCCAATCTACCCGGTAGACATTTACTACATAGTATGCATCTACTCCCAGGACAAACAGTGTACAACGTTGGTTAATTGAGTTTGGATTATCATTTTTAAGACATGTGTACAACGTTGGGTAGGCCTTCTTTATTTCATTCCATCCAGGTACTTCCATTGTCCCAAATGGGTAGCTGGCTGCCAATGTTCAAGAATCAAAGTAAATTCGAACAGTACGACAGTTCGCGTCAACACACTCTCCCTACCAAGTCTAAGAACCGAGTGCACCACCGGTACATACCAGTCATTTGTTGACCAAGTAGGTCGTACAAGCATAAACCATAGAAGTCGATGGTGCATTGTCCTGGTCTGTGACTCTCCTTCACTCAACGCCTACATACTTTATGCCCACACAGCTGCGACAAATACTTCCCACCCGAGTTACAACTTGGGGGGGTATGCCAGCTGCTTCACTTAATGGAGATACAGCTGTACAGTCAGCTTCGATGAAATTTACACACAACACCTAGCGTGCGTCATTTCCCAATAAGTATGAAGGGTCTCCTCGTTGCTGCTATGGTTGCCGCCGCCGGGGCGCAAACCATCACGTCCGCCCCGTCGCAGGCCCCCTGCCCAACTCCGCTGGACGTATTCGCCGTGTACGACCTCGTACCCTGCACAGACCCCCCTAGCACATCAACCCAAGCGCCGACTCCCGCGCCATCCAACTCGACCGCGTCGACGCCGGCTCCAGCCATGGCCGCCCCTCCCGCGCCCACCAACTCGACCTCTACTTCCACTCCCACCACCACCACGGCTACCACAGCAACAACTACCCAGGCTACCACGCCTACCACAACCTCTATGGCGACTTCCACTACCACCAACGCGATAAACACCACGTTCGCCCCGTCGCAGCCCCCCTGCCCAACTCCACTGGACGTATTTGCAGTGTACGACCTCGTACCCTGCACAGACCCGCCCCGCACTACGACTTCGCCCTCGCAAGCGCCGACTCCTGCGCCCTCCAATTCGACTTCTACTCCCACCACAGCCACCCCTCCCTCACCCACCACGACGAAGAGAACTCCTACCACGACCAAGGCGAGCAATAGTACGAGGCCAGTCACGACCAAGCGCGGCAACTCGCCTGTGTGCACGCTAGTGAGCGTCAAAGGCGACGCCACGTACTGCATCCCCGGCTCCATCTGCAGGGGTTGGGGAGACCACGTGTACGGCACCGACTGCCCCGTCAAGGGCGACGTGGCCATCAAGTACTGCTTCAAGTCACTCAAAAGTTATACCCAAGCGGGCAAGTGCATCGCCCCCCACGACGCCGTCTGCAGCAAACTGCGCGGGGGGGTCTGGGGGTGCAAATGGTAATCCATCGAAATACGAAGTATTCCATGTTTCAAGATACTCCGAGTTTTTGATTGGTTATTACCCAAAATATCCGGATAACTCAATCCTTCACGCTTACAAGTCAAACTTCGTTTTTACGGTTGCATACTAGCACTGTCCGGACTTTTTAGTCCCTCAGAATTTATATCTTCGAGTGAAAATGCAACAAACCGTCCGGATAGTACAAGAGTTTCTATTCTATAACTTCGAATTGAAACAGAAATAGCGTTAAAACCACCGTTGCTGATGTTCTTAACGCATGCAATGCGAGAGGCTGCGGCATTGGGGTGGACTAATATAGCTTTGTCAAACACGTTTCTGTCTTTGGTTACATCCGCATGCAGTTGGAGTTTAAACTATTGAGAATAATCCTGTCATTTAAAATAGATTATTAGTTTTGCCGTTGTAGGTATTTACTGTTGGGAAAAGATAACTTATCTATTTTGGTGGTGGCACAAAATAATCTATTTTCCGTTCGAACAAAAAAGATATTGTAAATATATTATTTTTAGAGAAACTCTGGCTATACTATTAATACTAATCCAACCACACACCTATCATGATCATTGATCGACGATGTACGAGTCGTAATTACAATCATATGTAGTTATGTAGCCCTTGGTTGTTATTCTAATCTTCTATTCAATACAGTAATGCACTCTGAGTCTACTACTGGTGGTTCTCAAAGTACGCCGTGACCCGCATGACGACTGTCCATGTGATGGCTTGACCTGGCGCCATGCGTGTGAGCCGCGGCACGAGTCCTTTCCACAGCGCCGCGTGCCCTTCCTCCTTGGCGATCACGTTGAATGCGTGGATGAACCCTCTGTACTTGGGCTCGATGCCCGCGACCGTCTCCTGCGCCATGAGCCGCGTCTTGATCACGTCCATGGGGCAGTTCAAGCACGGTCCGACGCTGCCGGCGACAAGGCCGTTCACGAACGTCTTCCACATCTCGAGCTGCTTGCCGTCGCCGTCCTCCTTTTTCCACACGTTCGAGTTGAGCCATGCGAACGACATGAAGTTGAACGACTGGTTGCTGCCCTGTCGGATCATCGTGGGGATGTTGCCCTTCCACATCGCCGCCACGCCCTCTCGTCGAATGACTTGCTGGGCGCAGTCTACCGGTCCAGTGAACTTGCTCACGCCAATCTCTTTTTGCATGCGCGTCTTGATCACTTCGAACGGCGTCACGATCAGCACCGACTCGAGGAATCCCGTGAGCAGCCCCGCCGTGAAATTGACCTGGTTGCTCGCCTTCGCGCCTTGCTTGGCCCCCAAAAGCTCCTTGAACCACGCAAATGACCCAAACCGAAGCGCGTACTTGAGAGTCAAATGCACCACGAACGGAGACAGTCCCTTGTACAACGCACCGCCGCCTTCGGTCTGATAGATCGTCTTCCCGCAGTTGAACATGCCCTTGTACATGCCCGTGCGGTCTAACTGAAGCCGCGTCTTGGTCACGTCCAGAGGCTGCAACACACATGCTTCCACAACACCCCCAGCCATCCCCGCAAACATCTTCACGTACGGAGACAACGGCTTGTTCTTGAGCTCCGTGGAGATGGCATCCTTTAACGCGCTCGTCGCAACGGGAGCTTGGGACTTGGTCGGGCTTGGCTGCATGGTTTGGTCGAAAGTTGTGGAATGGAAGTTTCCTTGCTCCCGAGGTGTTTCGGCTGTGGAAGTTGCGGATCTCGCAGATATCTTGGGCTCCCAAGTCCCACCAATCAAATCGTTTTCAGTGGAATTCTCGACCGTGGATTGGTTCCTCCACTGACGTACGTTTAGTATTGCCAGCTGTGAGCCAATAGAAATTTCATGTGGACATTCAATATATGTGATTGGTCGAATTGTGTTGACGAAACGGTCCCATTGGTCGTACCGCCACGTCGACGCGGCGGCGTCATTGGTGTCGCCGCCCCAACCCACCAATCACGTTCGAGAGCATGTCGTCATGTTGAAGTTGACAGCGAAGAGGCCTTTGGCACAGGGGCGGCGGAACTAGTAGAAGCGGAAGATACAGTACATAAGCTTGACCATATGCATCCAATGTCGTCCATATCGGTGATGCTGTTCTACGAGCTTGCCACGTCACGGTAGAACCCACGCGACACAACTCCCAATTAACTTGATTTGTGATCAATACTAGTATGCTTATATCATCACTCAATTCAAAGCAGTTCCTCTTCGTTTTGGCATGTTGCTTCTCACCTACCTCGAAAGGGAAATGCTGGTTGCGATAGACTAAGTCAATGATTCATAAAGCACGACAGCTGACAACTACGGCATCAGTACCATCATCAACCCCGTTCCAAAAGCAATGGTCGTCATTGTGGGAAGCTTATATGTAGCTACCTACCTACGTATTGTGCTTTCGTGTGAAATTTCGTGTGGTGGCGTGGTTTCTCGTTCGAATTTATATCGATTTGATTGGCTACTTCAGATGAGCTCAAAATTATTAACCAATCAAAACGTTCTCAATGAAATTCAACAGCCAATCAGATCGATTGTGGATCTGGTTTGGTCGACGTGATTCGATTGCACCCCCTCCCCAAATTTGTATCAAATCGACAATATAAACCACCGATTGGTGGGGTTGTTTCTTCTGGTGATACTGTACTAACTAATAGTTACCGGTAGTTAGTATGCTCATGCAGAATTGAGTACTTCCCGATATTCATACCACTTGAAATTTGTATTTGGCAGTACCAATTCATAGTCAAAACAGTTCATTCAAAATATGGAAAATAGCCAATCAAATTAGTCGCCACATTCCCATTTTGGCGTCGTCGAACGGATTGTTCGATCGATGACTTGGTACGACGATGCAGCAATCCTTCGCGAGGCTATATCGCGTGCCATCGAAGGCTACAAAGGCCAAGTGGCAGCGAGGTGGCATGTGATTCCCGTTGCATTCAAGAAGTTCGCGGTGAGGGAGGAGGTGTTGGTGACCACACAGGAGCATCCAGAAACCCCGTTGGAACTTCGAGCAGGCGACCAGGGTGGTGGTCTCTTTGACGTGGACGACGCCGTGGTCACTCGTCGCATTTTACGTGTGGGTGCCATGGTCGGCGAAGATGATGCCGACTTCCTTTACGGCATGAATACGTTCACGTACATCAAGTTTGACATTGAAGACGCGGCCGGAGTGATCTTTCCATTCGACATGGTCATGAACGAAGGCGACGGCGACGCGAACACGGGGTTCTTTGCCGTGGTGTGGATTAGGACTTTCGGTCATGATGGCGCCGAAGTCGCGCACTGTACGACCTGTGGAGACCTGGAGACCAGGATCCGATGGCTGGACGAGTCCATTTTGCACCGGTATGTTCCCCACCAAGGATTATGTCCTTCCACCACCGATAAGCACTTGACCCGAGAAGTGGACGACAACACAATCGACCGAGACCTGCACCGCGAGTTCTTTGAGAGCAGTTTAGGCTATTCCGGTCTCGAAGTGTCGTTCGACGACGATCGCAACCAGCTGGAGCTGCTGATGGCCGTCGCCGCCAAGTTGAACGAGAAGCCGGCGCTATTTCCGACGGTGGTGCCCCAACCTCTCCTGGAAAAAGCCACGTCGGCGTATCTGAAGGACGTGCTCCGCGGCGTCCCCACCGACGTGTGGCAGTGCACGGGCTCGTACCTGGCCTCGGCAATCTTTTACGACCAAGATGGTTGTCCACCCTTTCGAGATGTGGATCAATGGGACTAAGTACATGTCGTCATAAAGTAATTGGTCAGATCTACGCTACTATATTCATTAATAAACGGCGACAAACCGACCCACGAGTGTTTTGAGCGAACTCCAGTAGTTATGCAGATAGATACGATGCCACGTGATGACACTGAGTCGAGACGACAGCGCAGTCCTTTGTAGGAGAAACCTTTGGCAGCATTGCATGTAGTACCTGTAGCATGATATATGTCGAGGTGCTCCAGCAGGTTGCTAGGTCCAACTCATTCAATTTCGATACCCCGTCCAAGTTCGCATCGAGCTGATAAACCACCTATATACCTCCTTCGTGCCCAGCGACCTCGGCTAGTCTGCGTGTAAAGTGGCTTGCCTACGGGTTGGACTTGATTCGACGAGACATGCACGGCGCAGCCGGATGCATCTTCATGACAGGATGAATATGTGGTTGGTATGCATTATTGTCGACGCAAACGAAGTAGTTCTACTATTAATAGTATATATACGTAGTTATAGTATGTATAGTCTGCGAATTCTATGGAAATGATTACAGCAATAAGCTGCTAAATAATACAGTATTGTGCTTTCGAGTGTGTGGCGTGGTTTCTCGTTGGAATTTAAATCGATTTGATTGGCTACTTCAGATATGCTCAAAATTATTAGCCAATCAAAGCCTTCTAAATGATATTCAACAACCAATCAGATCGATTGTGGATCGGTTTCGTCGGCGCGATTCGATTGCACCCCCAATCGACAATATTACTTCAGTAATACTACTAGTACTATGAATACCTTACTTCGAAGTATTAAAAAAGAACATACGACGTGACCTTTTGGCACGAATCTTTGTTGACAAGTTTCACTTTTCGGTGACCAACACCTGTAGTACCCGGTCGTTGGAGGCTGGTAGTTTGATCTGTGTGGTGCTGCTGCTGCATGTCACGGTATACGTAGCCCACCAGCCCTCCATCCTCGCCGCCGACTTCCGCGGAACCTCCTCCTGAGCCTTCGAGACTTGCATACAGGTATATGCAGTAGTATATCTTGGGCAGAAAGTTGGGGAGTTTCTTTTTCATGTCATCCTGTTGAAGTTCAAAATATCCACCAATCACATCTGGACATTCAGCGGCTGAATCGTTCGATCCGACCAATCAAATCGCACCAAACTCGACAACTTGGCCAGTCCGTTGGGTGCGGCATTCACCGTTTGAACCACCTCCGTCATTCGACAAATTCTCTCCACGATGCAACAACCCATCACCCTCGACCACATCCCCGCTGCGCCCTCCACCATCACGCACACCCGCGGCACCGGCGACTCCACCCCTGAGCATGCCCACCCCATGTCATCTCCGCGCGTGATCTCGCCATATAACCCTCTCCTCAAGTCGTCCACCATGCCGGTGGTGCAAGCCCGCGACGACGTCGACATCATCGCCGACTTCCTCAAGGAACACACGACCATTCGACCGACCATCCTCGTCGTGTGCGGGTCCGGTCTCGGCGGCCTCTCCAAGTGCTTGTCCAACACCCAAACCATCCACTACAACGACATCCCGCGCTTCCCCAAGTCCACGGTCGCGGGCCACGCAGGGGAGTTGGTGTTTGGGTACATCGACGACCTTCAAGTCGTGTGCATGCGCGGTCGCTTTCACACGTACGAAGGCCACGACGTCCGCCAGACGACGTTGCCTATCCGCGTGATGTGTTTGCTCGGGGTCAAGTTCCTCGTGGTGACCAACGCCGCGGGCGGACTCAACCCCGACTACAACGTCGGCGACCTAATGATCATGAGCGACCACCTCAACATGCCGGGGATGGCGGGCAAGCATCCATTGGTCGGCCCGAACGACGACCGGTTTGGCGAGCGCTTCACACCGCTGTCCGACTGCTACGACATCAAGTTGCAAAACCTGGCATGGCGCATCGCCAAGCAGCACGGGATCTCTCAAAAGGTGCGCCGCAATGGCGTGTACTGCTTTGTGAGCGGCCCCACGTACGAGACTCCGACGGAATCCAAGCTGCTGCGCCTGGTCGGCGGCGACTCGGTGGGCATGAGCACCGTGCCGGAAGTGGTCGTCGCGCGCCACTGCGGCATGCACATCATCGGCCTGAGTTTGATCACGAACAAGGTGGTCATGCCCGGCCAGCAGCGCACGGCGATCCCAGCCAGCCACCAGGAAGTGCTGGACGCGGTGGTCGCGACCCAGTCTGTGATCGAGCACTACGTCCGCGACCTCATTGTAGCGATCGGCAAGGACTACGACGACACGACGCTCCTCTTTGACGAAGATTGCTAAGCCCCGTAGACGATATCTATTACTAAACTCAATTGAGAACGTGTGTACTTCTAGCATCGCTGTACACAACATTGAACGAGTACTTGGTCATATGATCGGACTTTTCTTACTGTAATGTCCAGATGCACCACATCAACACCAATCGTGGACTTCAACAGAGGGATGATCCATGGAAGTTTCACAACCTATTTTATTGTTCCAGCAATCCGTCGGCTTGGAGCTGTTTTGTTAGGATCGCAGTGGACGCCGCCGACGCTTCCACCAGTGGCAGTCGACATGCTGCAGAGCAATACCCGAGCAACTCCATGGCCTTTTTCACGCCTTGGGGGTTCACTTCCGTCTCAAACAAGGCGTGGGTCAGCCCCACCTAAATGTCAGCAAATCCGTATCACAAGTTTCAAGTGTCTATCCCAAATACCAATCGTACACATGCGAAATGGGCGGCGCGGGCACCGGCATAGTCGCCACGTCGCATGGCGTCTGTGATCGCGAGCACTTTCTCAGGCGCTACGTCCGTACATGTAGGCAGGCTGACAAACACATCAACCACAGCTGAGATATGTACCTATATTGGACAGGACACTCGTGACCCCGACCCCCCCAATCGCCATGATAGGGACCGTCAGCACATCATCTCCTGCAAAGATTGCAAGGTCCGTACGCGCTGCCACGTCAGAAGCCTGGGTCAAGGACGCTGTCGCCTCCTTCCATCCGACCACATGCGGCAGCTTGGCCAACGCGGCGACCGTATCCATTGTCATGGTCGCGCCCGACCGAGAAGCATTGCAGTACAGTATCACAGGAAGGCCCACGTCCTGTACCGCTTTGAAGTGCTCGTACATTCCTCGTTGGGACGGCTTGTTGTAGTACGGCGCGGCCACCAAACATGCCGCGGCACCGGCATCCTTCGCGGCCTGCGTGAGTCGAACGGCTTCAATCGTGCTGTTGGACCCCGTGCCAGCAATCACTGGGACACGACCGGCCGAGTATTCGACGACGGCGGCGTTGACCTTGTCGTGCTCGTCGTGAGTAACCGTGCAGAACTCCCCCGTGGAGCCCATCGAGAGGAGTCCGTTGATGCCGCGGGCGATTTGGTCGTCGACGATGCGGCGAAGCGCTGGGAAGTCGATAGCTTTCGTGTGACCCACGAACGGAGTGACAAGCGCGGTGATCGAGCCTTCAAGTCGAAGCGCCTTGGAGGAACCTGCCATGGTTTTGGAGTGCAATTGAGAGTTCGCCACACTTGGAATTTTCAGGAATTCGAACATGATCGACATGACGATTCGCCATACTGTATACGCCGATGCGTTTCCACAGTGTATTAATTTATACGATATGTTGTTCCTGCAGAGTTGGAAAAGATTTAGTACATAAAGGCTACTCATTAATAGAGGTTTCTCAATTTGAGAGTGATTGTACGGTGGACAGCTCACGTGTGTGCCATTAATGAATCCGCACAACTTGACCTCGTGCTCTACACGGCTAACTAACTACCACTGTAGTATTAACAATTAGAGCAAGTTGTTCGCTTGGAGTTGTTGCCGGATGATTTGGGCCGATTCGTCCGAGCACGGGACCATGGGCAAGCGGACGGTGTCGTGACACAGACCGAGCAGCTGCATGGCCTTCTTGATGGGTTGCGGGTTCGTTTCGATGAACATCGTCTTGCAGAGCTTGATCTACACACATATGCATGCGTCACGACATAGATGTGGACGCATGTGTACGTACCGACGACAAGTGCGCGACGCGCGCCGCGTTGAAGTCGCCGTTGCGGACGGCGTCCGTGATCGCAAGCACCTTCTCCGGGGACGCGTTCGACAAGACGCTGATCACACCCTTCCCGCCGACCGACATGATGGGCAGCGTTAGCGTGTCGTCTCCCGACAGAATCGTAATGTCGCACAGCGCCGCGATTTCCGACGCCTGCTCCAACGACCCTGTGGCTTCCTTGATCGCGACGATGTTGGGCAACTTGTACAGTTCCGCGACGGTCTCGGGGGTCATGTTGATGCCGGTGCGTCCAGGGATGTTGTACAGCACGACGGGGAGGCCGATGTCCTGGATTTTCTTGAAGTGTTCGTACAAACCTTTCTGCGACGGTTTGTTGTAGTACGGGTTCACGACAAGACATGCGTCGGCGCCTGCGTCCTTGGCAGCTTGCGTGAGTCGGATCGCCTCCACCGTGCTGTTGGACCCCGTGCCTGCAATCACAGGGACGCGTCCGGCGGCATATTCGATGACGGACGCGATGACCTTGTCATGTTCGTCGTGGGACACAGTCGGGCACTCGCCAGTCGTGCCCATGGGGACAAGCCCGTTGATGCCGCGGGAGATCTGCATGTCAACGATCCGACGAAGCGCTTCGTAGTCGACATGTTCGCCGTCGGCCGTAAAAGGCGTGACGAGCGCCGTGAACGCGCCATGGAGTTGAAGCTTGGCCATGGCAATCGCAAATTCGAAAATGGTGGCCACGGACCCATCCACATGGTCCACCTACCTGATTTGTCCCTGGCGTCAGGTTAATCTCACCGTTTGTCCCAAAACTTTGATGAAATTCATCATGTCCCTCTGTTTATATCTTGTTTTTTGTATACCATCTGATGACTCAACACTGTATAGTTTCGTGCGACACAACATATCTGGGATAAACTATCGCGGCGAACGTTCCGATGCTCATCGGTGGACGTCAGAGCGCCGCCGCCACGGTTCCATGCATGTTGACATGTGCCCACGATGCTTGTGCTCATGCAAGAAGAGAACTATTGCCGTCACTCATCATCAACCTTCGCATCACCGTCAACTCCGATGCAAACGTTGAATGCGGCACGTCACATCGACGTTGGTCGTTGAGGAACTGCGGCGCGTTCTTGTGGCACAGGGCGACCTGACGCAAGTGCGGCGGGCAAGTCAACGCATTGAGCCAATATGCGTGTACATACTCCATGTCTGTGATCATGTCCTAACATCCCTCTCTACAGTCGTCTACTTAGCGCGCTACGGCATTCCGATGAACACGCTCGTAGACCTTGATGCATCCGTTGTAGCTCGCCGTGACAATGTATCCCGTGCATGCTTTCCCATGCACATCGTCGGCGCTGCCTCTGCTTCTTCCTTCCACGTCGCTGCCATGGTTCATTAACGCGTACGTGCTCGCGGGCGCAAACAATGCGACGGTCACGACACCTCCCGTCGTGTCGGCCGCTACACATACGCATCATGCGACGAATTGTAGCATCCTAGGACGACTGGAAAGACGTACCGCTAAACGACTCGAACGCGTTGTTGCGGTCTTGCTTATGACCCAGCAACATGCTGCTGGAATGACTCGCGCTCTTGTTCCAAATGTACACGTGGGCGTTTTCTGACCCGCAGATGACGTAGTCGCCGTCTTGGCTGAATCGACCCTTGATCTGCAGGTAGTTGTTGACCAGGCCCTTGTACTTGCACACGCGCGAGTAGTTGTCCACGCTGAAGAGCCGCATGCGACTATCATTTGTGCTCACGAGAAAGTACTTGCCTTCCGGCGAAAACTCAATGCCTGTGACTTTGCGGCCTTTCCGCGTCGCGCCGCGCGCGTTCCGGCATTCGATCTGTGTGTAGTAGTTCATCGCTTGGTGCGCGTTCACTTGGTAGAGGATGCATTGTCCGTTCAGCAGTCCTACATGGCATGTGTGATGTGCTTCCAAACATGCTACTGTACGTACCCGCAATGACGCGGTTGCCCGAAGGGTGGAAGCTCGCGGCGGTGATCATCACCGGTGTCTGCACATACGAGACGACACATCCGTCGGGAATGTTCCATATGCGTGCCTTGTTGTCGAAGCATCCCGAGAGGAAGTACCGGTCGTCCTTCGGGTGAAAGTCCACGGCGGGGACGCTGTCGGGGTGCTGGAACACATGCAAACAATCGGGTTTCGAAATGTGCCACAGCCGGACAGTCTACAAGCGACCCAATTAGGCACTTCCAACCCTCATCTGGCACAAGTTGGTTTCAATTAGGCTCAAATTGGATCCAATTCGGCTTGAATTTGGAACCAATTCGGCATATCTTGGTCGAAATTCGGCAAATGGCATTTCGTACCTTGTCCATAGACGCTGACAACACAAAGTTGCTGCGACTCCACGACACGTCGACTATTGGCATGCTGTGCCCGTAGTACATTTGCTCGGGAGTCTCTTCCAGGAGGTGGCGAGATAGCGGCGAGGATGATGCTGGCGACGAAGGTGATGCTTCATTTCGCGGTGCTGCCGCCGCGGCGACAGTCGACTTGGCGAACGCGGCAACCTTCCACACGCGGAGGATGGCGTCCTGGCCACCAGAGACCAATCGAGCGCCGTCGTGGCTGAACTTCATGGTCCAGATCGTGCCGTGGTGCTGTCGCAGCGTCTGCATCTCCGACACACAATCGAACTCGCGCTTGTCCTTCTTGGACGACGACGACACCTACGATATCGTCCACCATGATGATGTCCTTTTCACCATCATCATCGTCGTACATGCACGTAGGTTTTCCCGTCGGACGGCGGCGGAAGTTTATCTTTTCGTTTGAAGTGAAACCCCGAGAGCGCGGACCGCGAGTGCTGCTTGTCCGTTGCTTTCTTGTCTGGTGACAAGGGACCGCCACTGCCACTGCTCCGTGTTCTCGCACTGTCGCCGTCGTTGAGACTGTCGCGAAGCTGCGGCTCAAAGTTGTGAGGAAACATCGTGTAACAGTCGACGGGGTTGGTGTCGAGCTCGCGGATGTCGAACACTTCACCCGTGTCCTTGTTGCGCACAACGAACACGTCTTCAGGACAGATAGTGTCGTCGCCGCTGCTGCTAGTTCGTGGGTAGTCTGACGATGAGATGGTCGTTGTTGGCTCCTCCCTTCGAACTGACTCCTGTTCCAAGATCGACGCCAAACTCGAATCCTCTACGCGGTAGGATGATTAAGTGTGTTTTTCATGCCATAGAGAGGTAATACCTAGCTCCATACCTTTTATGAGTGACTTGGGAAGAGCGCATGTAGCTGGTACGACTGATACGGACCCCTCACTCCCCTCCTGTGCGTCAAAGAACTACCACAGTGGTGAATGACATGCATACAGCTAGTAGTGACGTACGCTCTCGTCTGCATCGGACATGGACCGCTTCCTCTCTAAAGCCGACGCCACCGCCCCTGTCGCCTTCTCGACACTTAGACTCATCCAAAGATCCAATGCCACGTCGGATCTCGGTGCCGATGGCAGACAGCCTTGGCTGAAACCGTTGCGTCTTGACCGGATATTGACGAATGTCCGGATAATGCTATTTATAGAATATAGGTATCAGCCGAATAAAGATATTTACGACAAATAGTATTTCAAGCGTATATCTCACTCAAGGCAGGAGGCATATATCTACCGAAGTCTCTACCTCAAGAAGCCCCCCTTGACGAATACCGCAATTCTGTCTATGTACCTAGTAAAGTTATCCGAAATGCAGTCGTGGGAGCACCGAGGACGGGGTGTCATACAACTATATTATTAATCCTCGGAGTACTACTTTTTGCGGTAACCTTAATAATGGATATATTCTCGTCAATATATTAAGTATGGGAGAATATCTCCGAGTGTTTTCTGCACGTTGCGACAACACAGCCATGCCACTTGACCTCATCCGCCACGACGGGTTTCCGCTGCCGGCGTCGTACTCCGTCGAGCACTTCGTCTCAGGGCAGAATCTCCCTGCGCGTCCCTCCGACGTGTTCGTCTGCGCTTATCCCGACTGCGGTACATCCTGGGTCCTCGGCCTTGTGAACGCACTGCTCCGTGAGGATGAACATACAGTTCAAGCCGCAATTGACGACGCAGCATCTGTTCCGCACTTGGAGCGCGATGGGCGTGAAGCCTGTGAGCGCATGACATCCAAAGACTCGGTTCGCCTATTCAGAACGCATTTGCCGTACGATCGCACCCCGCGCCACCCTGACGCCAAGTACATTGTCGTCGGCAGGAATCCCAAGGACACGTCCGCGTCCTTCTACCACCGCCACATACAAGACCATGCACGATGGGACGCGTATTTCGAAGACTTTCTGGATGGCAACGTCGAATTTGGCGACTTTTTCGATTTCTTCGTGCCGTGGTTCGAACACCACAGCGACAACAACGTGCTGTTCCTCACATACGAATACCTGCTGGCCGAGCCCCGCGACGGACTGTTGCGGATCGCGCGCTTCCTAGGGCAAGATGCGCTGGAAGACCGTCTCGTGGAGCATAACAGCACGTTCCTGCGGGCGATTCTGCATGCCGTCCAGACGGAGAAGGACCGCATCAAGGTCGGCGGGTGGCGACGCTTATACACCCCCGAGCAGTCCGCCGCCATGGACGAACGTTTCGGTGAGATGACCGAGGGCACCGGCGCCGAGCACATGTGGAGTGACGTCATGTAGGAAGCATCATGTAGTAGGGGGTGGTATCATAGTATCATCGTCCGATGCAAAACTGTGTATATTACGGCTTTTTTTCCCTGCGCTAAATTTGGGGTTTCAAAGTGTAACCGTCGTGTAACTGTCACGCCACAATAAGTCACCCCGCGCTTGTCCTTGCCGCAGCGAGTGGCATGGGGCGGTGTGTTGCTACGACTAGCTAGTTATGCACATGGCAGAGAAGGAAGCGCTAGAGGCGGAGCTGGCGCGGGAACTCGCCGCGCTCAACCTTGACGACGACGACGTTCATTACGAGGACGAGGTCGTCGAGGGGTACTGCCGATTGGACCTCGACGTCCTTCTCGTGGATATCGACGATAGTTCCGTCAGGTAGAATATCATCATACTGACCTCGTGCAAGGCATATCCCGTGACTCACCCTTCCATGTACATCCAGTCGCTCCGAGGTATGGCGCTCGTACGCCGCCGCCACAGCGCAATACGACGCCGATCTTTTCGCCATGTTGGAATCATCCCTTCAAGATCTGGCGCATTGTACATTGACTTCGCCTGCAACGTCGTCACATCCATTGCCGTCGATCGTGGTCGCATCACACGAGGCCCACCTGACGTCCCATCTCGTCGACCATTCCATCCATCCTCTTCACCCTCACGACGGCTATGATGCAGTGCTGTCGTGCCCGGACCACTGCACACCTATGTGCCTCGGACCTTGCACTGCCCATTGCGGTCCTCGCTGTGCGCATTTTCAAGCGCTGCAAGCGGCGGACGCGAGCGCCCAGGCCGCCGCCGCCGCAGAAAACGACCGTTTCATGCGACTGGCGCTGGCTTCCGTCGCGCAGATCGGCGCCGACGTCCGCCACGTCATTTCAGTCTCCCTACCGTTGGAAGCAGCGCATTCTTCTACATTGTCACGATCAAACCACGCAAACGCTGTCGCACTGAGTGACAGCGCCTTGCATCCTAGCGTAGTCGTACCAAACAACGCAACTCCAGACACTGTTTCAATCCAAAACGTATACAAACCGCTATCTCGATGCTTATCTGCGATACCGTGCGCATCTCCGCCATCCGGATTTACGGCGTGCTACTCCACTCCAGCGGAAGTGTCTAGCCCTTCCACGATCCTCTTGAAGCAATCCGAACAGCCACGTGGCGACGACGCCGCGAACCTCCGCATCGCCGCATTACATCGGTCGCAAGTCGATTTTCAAGAGGCAGAGCACGCGATGGCCGCGTACGAGGCGCAAGTGGAGGCCGCCCGACGACAGCGAGCGATCCTAGTCGAGGCCGAGACGGCGGCGTTGGCCCATCGGCGGTTGGAAGACGAGGCGGTGTCCAGGATAGCTGCACAGCACGACCGACAGGTGGCCCAAGAAGCCATCGAGAGCATGTACATGATGGCGGAGGAGCGGGAGGGCACGGCCCGGCGGCGGCAATGGCGGCGGGAGGCACAAGCAAGGCATGAAGGGGACGAGAGACGACTCATGGGTCATGAAGAGGCGCGAGCGGGGGCGATGCGGCGGGACGAGCAAGAAGCGATGAAGCGACTGGAAATGGAAGCTCAAGCGCGCGAACAGCGCCGACGACTTCAACAACAGCACGAGGACGCTCGAAGACGGCAACACGCCGAGCGATGCGAGATGGAAACTCAAGAAACCCATCAGCGAAAGGTCGACGCGGCGCTACAACTCGAGCAAGAGGCCAAGGAAAAGCAGAAACAGCAGCAGATTGAACAGGAAAAGTGGCAGATAGAGAGGCGAAAGCTCGCGGCCGCCAAGCAGGCTCTGGAAGAGATACACCAGTTGGAAAAACAACAGCAGCGCGAAGCCCTCGCCCGCCAGCAACTGGAAGCTGAACAACAGCAACTGAAACGACAGCGCGACGACGCCGTTCGACAGCAACTCGAGCTCGTCGAAAGGCAACGCGAAAGCCGGCAACGTCATTTTCAAAGGGAAGTGCTGGGCGCGGTGCGATCGCGGCTGCAAGAGAGCTCAGAGCGGCAACTGCTGTCGCTGGAAGAGCACCGGTCGGCTCTCGTAATAGTCGACGAGAAAGCACAGCGTCGGACGGACCACCTCACGAAATGGTGGCGACGGTGGCAACGTCGCGTAAAACTGTACAAAAGACTGCAAAAGCAGAAAACTATAGCGGCGGTCTTGATTCAGCACGCGTGGCGGGCCCTGGTGGCGCTGCGGACACTTCGACAAGCCCAGGTCAAGCAACAATATGCGAGGGCAGCACTGCGAGTGCAGCGTGGTTGGCGGCAGTGGCGCCATCGAAAACAGCAAACTTTGATGAAAAACCAGCAAACTTTGATGAAAAACCAGCAAAATCTCTTGAAAAACCAGCGCGCGGCCGCCGCCGCCACCACGGTGCAAGCCGCGTATCGAGGGTATTTCATTCGCAACAAGCTGGCGGCGGCCCTCGCCTCTGTGACAGTGCGTCCATGTGTTGTTTCTCCATACATTGGGCATGGGGTTTTGATTTGACATGAATGTTGGGTAGTTTGTCGACGGCGACGAGTTCGAGTACGACGAAGTGGATTTGGACGCGTTTTTGGGAGGAGCCCCCGAGATCGATGATGACGACGACGAGCGTGACGATGTCACAGGACCCCTCCCCCCTCTTCCCCGTCCGGGGTGGGCAGACCCCCTCGACGAGGACGAAGACCGAGGGGGAGGCGGTTGTTTGAACACCTCCCCCCACCCTGTGGTGCCCCACAACTTGTTCCCATCCCAAGTCGACGTGTTGGAGCGCGGCTTCTGCGAGTGTCTGCCTCTGAAACCACCCGCCGCCGCCGTCACGAAGGCGTCGTCGTCGTCGCTGTACAAACGCATGCAAAACGCCATAGCCCACGGCCGCAAAGGCAAGAAATCAAACGCCGCTGCCCCAAAACAGACCAAAGACAACAACAATACGACGGTAGTCAGCAGCGTCACGTGGTCGTCCAGTGGTAGAAAAGCCAAAAAGGTCAACGTACCGTCGCTTGTGGACCGGCTCCGAAAAACCACCGCCGCCACCCGATGATCCCAGCCGAGATTTTGAACAGTCCGTCCGCTCTAGGAAGCCCATCGCGTTGTGGCACACGCAAAACGCCAGCTTCAAGCAGGTCTGCATGGACATTTGCTTTCGCCAGTGCATATCCAGTTTCGGGTGAAGGGCAATCCTCCTGAATACAAGGCGATAGCGTGTGATCAAAATAGAGGTTGGGGGGTAAAACGCCCCCGTTGGAGCTGCCATTGGTTGCGGGTTAGAGCCCACGGGGACGATGTGTGGTGCGCACGGAAGGGTCCCATCTAGCCTGCCCTTGAAGTCCCACTGCGGTAGTTGGTTGTTCCACGCTCGCCATTGAAGTGGCGTCGTTAAGTAGTATAAAGTTTCACCGACACACGACATGTTGCCGTTGGATATCGCCCATTCGCTCGCGATGTACAGCTGTTAGTCGATGAAGGGCGGCGGCCAACTGCCACGTCGTTACGACACGTAATTGCGGTGATACAAGTCAATCTCGTTTATTTTCTCACTCGAGCTACGAAGAGTTGACATGGCGCGACGCGTCGGTGTGAAAGGGCACCTGCCGTGGTTTGCCCAGCCCAGTTGGCTCCAGGATGCCGTGGTTGGCCTCGTCCACGGCTACACGGGCCAAGTGGCGGCGCGGTGGCATGTCGTTCCCCGGGGGTTCATGGTGTTTGGGACGCTGTGGGACTCGATTGAGCTGGACTCGGCGCAAGACCAGTTCGACTTGGACATGGGGCCCGTGTCGTCGTTCCCCGTCCGCATGTTCCGCGAAGGCGGTGTGTTCTCGCACGACGAGCGGCGATGGATTCGCGATGGCATCTGCGAGCGCATCCTGCAGCTTCGCGCGACGACCACGAGCCAACCGGACCGGTCGTTTTTGAATTCGTTCACGTACATCCACTACGACGTCGTGGATGCCGCGAGCCACCGGTTTCAGTTTGCCATGCTGTATTCCGAAGGCAACGAGGAAGGCGACGCGTCGGGCTTTTACGCAGTCGTGTGGCACCGCCAGACCCACCAAGTGGTCGCAACGTGCTCTGGAGACGGCAACGTCGGCCATACGTTCCTGCAATGGCATGACGCGTGGCTCACGCACACATACGTGCCCCACGAAGGCCGGGGGTTCATGCCAACCATGACCCGGAACTGCATCCTCCGAACCAAGAAGATGCAGAGAAATACCGGGTGGAGCTTGCTCATGGAGTACTTGAACTCGACCGACAGTCGCCGCGGGCTCTACTTTAGCCACACGCGCCACGAACTCGAGCGCCTCGTGCCCGTGGCGGCCAAGCTGGCGCATCCGTCTAAGTGGTGCTTGTTCCCGCAGCCGATTCCACGGTCACTCGTCGTGGATGTGGCCGCCATGTACTTGCGAAATTTGGACATTTGGAACAAGAAGGTCGTGTCGAGGGTGCCCATGGACGTGTGGCACGAAGTGGCGTCGTATTTGGGCGAGTTGGTGTTTTGGGATCACACGTGCAAGTCTCTCGGCCAAGACTAGCCCTCAACCCTCCGCATGTGTACAGAATAGTACACACTATGTCGTTCCCCCGGCTATTGAACCCTAACGTTACATACGGTTACACTGACAGTTCGTTTTGCATTATGAGGGAGGTCATTTTCACAGGAACCGGGCGCATACACATGGCAGTGCACCTAAGACGTATTGTGGCCTTCGGTATAGCAGGGCTTGGTCTACTGGTGCCACACTCATCTGGTTTGACATCGTTAGCCTACCAATCTTACGATGTCTCAGCAACGGAAACTGGATCGACGGCGCCACGTGTTGGATTGATGGCAGTGTCGACTTGTGCTGCGTCATCAGGGGCGTTCGAGTGCTCCGTCACACTCCTCCTCATGCCAGGCATGAGTTGTCGTCAATGCTCGGGGGTAGCAGGGTGCTCAACGTGTCGCAGCTACCAGCTTATGCCGCAGAAACGATGTCGCAGAATTCCTCCTACCACACCAGCATCGACAACAACTAGCAACCAGACAGAACGACCGATAAGCTCGATAGAACGGCCAATAACGCTACCGACAACACTTGAACCGACGAGCATGTCGCCCCCTTTACGACCCACGACCACCCCCACTTCGATGAGCACTCCAGATGCCACGACTGCAACGACTGGTATCGTTCCTTCCACCGCGGCACCACCTCCCATCAGCACCGCCTCCTCCATGACGATAACACCCATCGCAGTATCATTTACAATTACCAAAGCCCCCACTGGCCTTACACCACCTTCATCTGCCACGATTACCTCCACTACTCCATCGTTAAGTTCCACTACACATGATCGACAGTTCACCAGCGTCAGCACTCCACCACCAACAACTCCATTGCCAACCGGGTCGGCTCAAGGGACTGCTTCACTCTCAACAACTCCTCCTTCACCAACCCAAGAACTCGACGACGAAGACGTGGAGTCAATCGATGATCCGTCGGAGCCCACCAATTCGACTGCCCCCCGTCGGTCCCGCAGTCCTCGTCGCACCAGCACCACTCCCCAGCCACCCACAATCCCCCCCAACGCGTCTACAGCCGCCCCCAATCAGCCCCCGGCGCCTACTGCACTCCCTGTCTTGTCCAGCGGGGCTATCGCCGGCATCGCCGTCGGCGCGGTGGTCATCTGTTTGAGTGCCATGGGGGGTTACATGTGGAAGAAGACGAAGAAAGCGCACGCAGACGTGTACCGGGAAATGCTGCTCAGCGACCACACCACGGGCAGTGGCCAGTACTTGGCGATGCTTTAACCCGTATCATGTACACTATTTTTTTATAGTATTGAACTCGTCTAGCACACTATTTGCTTGTTAGAGATAGCGCGTCATGCGACTGCTATGGGGCGTCTGAATTTCCTTGAGGGCACTCTTGAGGCTGTCGTGAAGGGCATGGAGCTGTCCGTGGCTGCACTGCAACAGCTGAGGCATCGCATTGTTGGCAGAGGTCGTGACTTGAAGAGTTAGCACCGGGCTCGCGTGATGATGCAGTGTACGCGTTCCAATCTAGGATGGCGCGAATGAAGCATGGGTACGTGTGACGAGGTGCAGCAGGAAGGTGTGCACCTCCATGTCCAATCGCCAGTCGAACGAATGATACGCTGGTACCCCGAGCGGCGCGTGCCACGCAACAGCTGCCTTGATTTGGTCCTTGTTGTCGACGTAGTACTACAACCGTCGAGAATGACAACCTGATGCTGCTGGGGAGAGAGAGAGGCGTATGAACCTGTACGAGGACATCGACGTGGGCGGGAGATAGATTGAGGCTCGACACTGAATGTGCAAGGTCTGCGGGCGACAAGTCTTTCTGCACAGGTTCATTCGACGTGAGCGTACACGGGATCCATGAGCTTCACAAACCTTGGACGCTTCGGTGAGAATCGTGCTCAAGCCCAACACTGCACGATCCATGTCTTCTGCCACCAACCCCACAGTTGCTACACGCATGGATCAGTGCGATGGAGCCCTCTTTCCATTTCCTACATGCATGGCGACTGAGTTTGCGGCGCAACTTGTCCGACGCTGCAGTAGATGGGACGTTAAGCTGCAACATCATGCATAGGTCTTCCAGCTCTACATTCCGCGCATGAAGATACGAAGAAGACATTGGAAGAGGTCGTACGATCCGCCGCAATGGTTTCGACGACCGCGGCATCACGCAACACCCGCGTATCAAACGTCAATCCGCCCATGGTGTGATTTTGTTTCGGCAAAAATCCAACGCCACAACCGGATAATTGGATCACTTATTATCCGACATGCAAATACTTCGTTTGAAATACCAGTAACGTTAACGTTGACTTGTAGCATTTCAAAAAATATTGCTTCTTGGCAACTTCCAGTGAATCATTAATTTCATTAATAATCAATAATACTTCAGCTCATATTTATAGTATTAAGAGCATCTGCACCGGTGCCAGTAACTGCCTGATTCCAGTAACTTAACCGGATGATTTACTGAACTTTGCTGAAATTCCCAAAAACGCGTTCGCACCAGCCCAGTAGCCCAATAAAAATTTATTGGAGTCCAATAAAAATTTACTGGACTCCACCAGACCAACAAAAAACCCAACAAATTTGTGTGTATTTTTGTTGGTCTGGTGGAGTTCAGTAAATCAATAGGCCAATCAAACACCCGGTAGAGAAGCGAACTCACTTCGCGATTGGGTTTGTTGCGGAATGAAGGAGCGCTCGAAGAACTTCACAGTGCACGAGCAGATCCAGCTTTGCCAAGCATGGCTGAGGGTGTCCCTCGACCCTGTAGTAGGCAATGACCAAACTGCCAGCAACTTCTTCGGTCGTGTAGCTGAAGCATTCAACAGCAATTCAGAGTGCACTCAAAGGTATTTCAGTTATTGATTGAACACGGACATACAGCGGCACATTGAGCCTTTAATCGATTCGAATACAATAGAACCGGTGAAAGCCTCAACATACATTGGAGGGATACCATTAACAAGCAAGTTGCGTGCTTTGCCTCGGCGCTGAAGCTGTCGAAGTCGATCGTGCGTTCGGGATACAACAACGAGCAGTACTTAGCAGATGCTCATGAGTATTACAAGGCTCAAAAGTGGAACAAGAAACAGGCTTCGTTTCGATTGATGCATTGCTGGGAGATCCTTAAGGATCAACCCAAATGGATGCGCGAGTCATCTGACGCCGCACAACCTGCAGCGACCTCATCCGTCACGCCCACTCAGTAGTGGGCGTGACGGATGAGGTGCTGCAGGTTTGCTCTTGATACGTCGCAAGAAACTCGTCCACTAGGAGCGAAGCGCGCTAAACAGCAACAGAAAGGTATGACGTATAATATTTTGAATTGTATATTGCTTCGAAGTATAATTATATTTTTGTATAATATTTTGAATTGTATATTGCTTCGAAGTATAATT